TAAAAAGATGAGAGAGGCCTGTAATTTTCATCATAGGTGCACGTCAACTATGACAGACAAATTGAGGAAAAAAAATCCAGAAAATCACATTGTAGGATTTTTAATGAATTTATTTGCAAATTATGGTGGAAAATAAGTATTTGGTCACCTACAAACAAGCAAGATTTCTGGCTCTCACAGACCTGTAACTTCTTCTTTAAGAGGCTCCTCTGTCCTCCACTCGTTACCTGTATTAATGGCACCTGTTTGAACTTATTATCAGTATAAAAGACACCTGTCCACAACCTCAAACAGTCACACTCCAAACTCCACTATGGCTAAGACCAAAGAGCTGTCAAAGGACACCAGAAACAAAATTGTAGACCTGCACCAGGCTGGGAAGACTGAATCTGCAATAGGTAAGCAGCTTGGTTTGAAGAAATCAACTGTGGGAGCAATTATTAGGAAATGGAAGACATACAAGACCACTGATAATCTCCCTCAATCTGGGGCTCCACGCAAGATCTCACCCCGTGGGGTCAAAATGATCACAAGAACGGTGAGCAAAAATCCCAGAACCACACGGGGGGACCTAGTGAATGATCTGCAGAGAGCTGGGACCAAAGTAACAAAGCCTACCATCAGTAACACACTACGCCGCCAGGGACTCAAATCCTGCAGTGCTAGAAGTGTCCCCCTGCTTAAGACAGTACATGTCCAGGCCCGTCTGAAGTTTGCTAGAGTGCATTTGGATGATCCAGAAGAGGATTGGGAGAATGTCAGATGAAACCAAAATATAACTTTTTGGTAAAAACTCAACTCGTCGTGTTTGGAGGACAAAGAATGCTGAGTTGCATACAAAGAACACCATACCTACTGTGAAGCATGGAGGTGGAAACATCATGCTTTGGGGCTGTTTTTCTGCAAAGGGACCAGGACGACTGATCCGTGTAAAGGAAAGAATGAATGGGGCCATGTATCGTGAGATTTTGAGTGAAAACCTCCTTCCATCAGTAAGGGCATTGAAGATGAAACGTGGCTGGGTCTTTCAGCATGACAATGATCCCAAACACACCGCCCGGGCAACAAAGGAGTGGCTTCGTAAGAAGCATTTCAAGGTCCTGGAGTGGCCTAGCCAGTCTCCAGATCTCAACCCCATAGAAAATCTTTGGAGGGAGTTGAAAGTCTGTGTTGCCCAGCGACAGCCCCAAAACATCACTGCTCTAGAGGAGATCTGCATGGAGGAATGGGCCCAAATACCAGCAACAGTGTGTGAAAACCTTGTGAAGACTTACAGAAAACGTTTGACCTGTGTCATTGCCAACAAAGGGTATATAACAAAGTATTGAGAAACTTTTGTTATTGACCAAATACTTATTTTCCACCATCATTTGCAAATAAATTCATTAAAAATCCTTCAATGTGATTTTCTGGATTTTTTTTTCTCATTTTGTCTGTCATAGTTGACGTGTACCTATGATGAAAATTACAGGCCTCTCTCATCTTTTTAAGTGGGAGAACTTGCACAATTGGTGGCTGACTAAATACTTTTTTTCCCCACTGTAAAGTATGACTGGAATTTATATATAAATTCCAGTCATACTTTATCAAAAGCCTTTTCAAAGTCAGCTATGAATACCAGGCCTGGTTTCCCAGATTTGTCATAGTGTTCTATTGTTTCCGGTACTTTTCTTATATTATCTCCAATGTATCGTCCATGTAAAAAAAACATGTCTGATTAGGATTAATAATATCTGACAATACCTTTTTAATTCTATGCGCTATGCATTTTGCTAGAAGTTTTGCATCACAACACTGAAGTGTAAGGGGCCTCCAATTTTTTTAATGGACTGGATCTTTATATTTACCACTTGGGTCCTGTTTCAGTAATAATGAAATCAGACCTTCTTGTTGAGTATCTGATAAGCTATAATTTTTATAGGAGTGGTTAAAACACGCTAATAACAGTCCTCTGAGTACATCAAAAAAAGGTTTGGTATACCTCAACTGATATGCCATCCAGCCCTGGAGTTTTCCCGGACTTAAAGCCTTTAATTGCATCAAGAAGTTTCTCCTCTGTAATTTGGCCTTCACATGAGTCTTTCTGTACAGCTGTTAATTTTACATTATTAATAGGAAAAAAAATCATACAATTAACTTCAGTTAGGGGAGATGGAAGAGACTGAAAGAAAGAATTTGGTGAATTTTTCCCCATATTCCATCCAGTTCGCTTAATTTTAATAATATATTACACTTGATCTTTCTTGAATAAACACATTTCTTTTGGTTATTCTGTGCATCTATGGTACCGTTTTTATTGCTATCTGTCTGTACTGTTAGTCCTTCTATGTCCTTTGTTAATATGGACTCTTTTGACCTAAATTGCTTTTGTTTTAGAGATGAGTATTGAATTGTATGGACTCTAAAGGCACATTTAAAAGTGTCCCATACAATAAGGGGATCTGCTGTACCTATGTTATGTCGGAAAAAGTCAGTTATAAATTATTCTGTCCTAGTTAAAAACAAGTTATCATCCAAAAGGCTTTTATTACATTTCCAATATCCTTTCCCACATGGAAATTTTGTAAGAGTGATGTATACGCCAATTATTTGATGGTCCTATGAATAGTTACTGTGCTCAACAAGTTGCTAGTCTCAGGTCTAGCCAGTTATATGTGTGCTCAGAACAAGTCTTGCATCATTCAGTCACAAGACTCTGAAGTGTGTAAACACATGAGATGGTAAACAGAACTGGAGATTACCTTTTGTGTCCCTTTGATATTTTAAGTAGAAATTGTGCACCAATATTGCATTTTAAAAGCCTATTATATTAATTGAATTGCCCTTTAATATAGACCACATGGAAAATGCAATAAATCAGATGTTTTATTTTAATAAAGAAGACTTACTAAAGTGCCAAAATTCACCATTTTGACATGTCCCTCTGTGCACCTTCTGTGACTTCTAGGAATATTTTAACCCACTTAACCCCAAGTTTATATCAACATTTCAAAGCCCTAGTTATTTTGTTGCTTTGATAAAGTGATTTATGAAGATGTATTATTATTTATTATTTATTTCATTTGATCTACTAGTCACATCATAGTGTAAAAGCAGGTGAGCTGGTTCTACTGTTTTTGGTAATTTTCTGGTGTTTTGTGGTGGGAAACTTAGTGGGGTCGAGCATAACATGTCAACCCTGTTACCCATAGATGGACAGGCTAGAAATGTTTTAACAATTGCATTTTTTTGTGAAGCTTGCAATTATTTTATTTTTTTTACCAAGTTGCACTACCCAAAAGGTACTCAAACAGGTACTCATAACAGTCAACCTACTGTGGGACAGGTAGACACTCCTTTGTAGGCTATTACAACCATGAACTACCAGCAAAGCCCGTTACCAGTGCACTAGGTCTAGTCTACACCTGTATGCTCATGAGTGAAAATAATAAGCATGAATTTAAGTCAAAATATTTTTGTTTAATACTGTATCTGAATATTAATGAGCAATTAAATATTATATAGCCTAGCCACAGAAATGTTTTGATATACAGTTTGATTATAAAATATTTGTGTTAATTGCACTAATTATAGAAATTTGCAAACATAGACATTTCCACATAGATGTTGTAGCCTATAAATTAAAAATGAAATATTAAATGAAAATGAAGAAATATACATACACTATATATACAAAAGTATTTGGACACCCCTCAGCTTCTTCAGCCACACCTGTTGCTGACAGGTGTAGAAAATCGAGCACACAACTATGTAATCTCTATATACAAACATTGGCAGTAGAATGGCCTTACTGAAGAGCTCAGTGACTTTCAATGTGGCGCCATCATAGGATGCCACCTTTCCAGCAAGTCAGTTCGTCAAATTTCTGTCCTGCTAGAGCTTCCCCGGTCAACTGTAAGTACTGTTATTGTGAAGTGGAGCAATAACGGCTCAGCCGCGAAGTGGTAGGCCACACAAGCTCACAGAACGGGACCGCCGAGTGCTGAAGCGCGTAGGGCATAAAAATTGTCTGTCCTCGGTTGCAATACTCACTACCGAGTTCCAAACTGCCTCTGGAAGCAACTTCAGCACAATAACTGTTCTTCTGGAGCTTCATGAAATGGGTTTCCATGGCCGAGCAGCCGCACACAAGCCTAAGATCACCATACGCAATGCCAAGCATCGGCTGGAGTGTTGTAAAGCTCGCCGCCATTGGACTCTGAAGCAGTGGAAACGCCTTCTCTGTGAATCACGCTTCACCATGTGGCAGGCCGACTGACAAATCTGGGTTTGGTGGATGCCAGGAGAATGCTACTTGCCCGAATGCATTGTGCCAACTGTAAAGTTTGGTGGAGGAATAATGGTCTGGGGCAGTTTTTCATGGTTCGGGCTAGGCCCCTTAGTTCCAGTGAAGGGAAATCTTAATGCTACAGCATACAATGACATTCTAGACGATTCTGTGCAGCCAACTTTGTGGCAACAGCTTAGGGAAGCCCCCCTGCAAGTCAATGCCCTCGTGCACAAAGTGAGGTCCATACAGAAATGGTTTGTTGAGATCGGTGAGGAAGAACTTGACTGGCCTGCACAGAGCCCTGATCTCAGCCACATCGAAAACCTTTGGGATGAATTAGAACGCCAACTGCGAGCCAGGCCTAATCACCCAACATCAGTGCCCGACCTCACTAATGCTCTTGTGGCTGAATGGAAGCAAGTCCCTGCAGCAATGTTCCAACATCTAGTAGAAAGCCTTCCCATAAGAGTGGAGGCTGTTATATCAGCAAAGGGGGGACCAACTCCATATTAATGCCCATGATTTTGGAATGAGATGTTCGACGAGCACGTGTCCACATACTTTTGGTCATGTAGTGTATGTTGAAGAAAATTCTGCAGAACCTCCCAGTTGGTCAGCTGACCAGGAAGTGGATGTTTCTTCACGACGCACAGGAAGTTGAATAATCAGCTGATACTGGATGTGTTTTGATGGAAGTTGCTGTTGTTTGTGGAGAGTTTTTATTCCTTCTCTTCAATTCACTATAAAGACACATCAAACGATAAAAGGAGTTCGTGGACTTTGAACTAATAGTGAGGTTTTTAAAATTAGCTAAGTGACACCGTTGTAATTTCAATTCATAGCTGGATTGCTATTGAATCCTCGATAAAAAAATAAATAAAAATAGCAACGTAGCTAATGTCAGTCAACGGTTTGAGACGTTCTTTGTTTATGTTGTGCCAGACAGAACTGCAGTATTTGGTTTCCTCTTTTTGAAGATCGTTTTATATTTATTTATAATTGTGCGTGAATATCGATTACAATAACGTTACAGGGGAGCTAACTAATGTTAACGATAGCTAGCTAGCATAACTACAAGTCACGGACAATTGTTGTCAACCTGCTGAGTTGTCCTCTAGAGTCTGATCGATAAGCGAGACAGCTGAGCTTTTTAGATAGTGACGAGTGTGGAAAGATTTCAGTCTAGTTGTTGTGTGATCGTCATTTGCGCATCACTCAGTCAGTCAGCTCATCTGCGACCTGTTGGTAGAGCTAGCTACATGTCAGCCACCAACCTATGTCTCAGTTGGCTTTGTGTGTAACTTAGCAAGTTGGTTGCGCAATTCCTGTATGCTAGCAACTTGTCAGCAAGGATCACTTCAAAGTATGCTAACAGTAATCGCTCGTCGCTAAATTTGTAGTGTCTTGGTCTCTGAGAAGGTACCATTTGTCTCATTGTCAATATATTTCAGGGTGTTTTATGTAAAGCCGTATTATTTATGTTTATGAATTAAGTATTTATTGTGGTATTAACTTCATGTTGTATAGAAACAATAGGAGTGTTTAAGAAGAGAAGGATTAGGCAGTCTAATATTAAAGAAAGGTCCAGTTCTGGCACAGGCAGAGAACCTTGTTGAAAATCCTTCTCCCTACTTGCCAATGCTGGATCTGGAAGTTGTTCCGGAAAGATCTTTAGGAAATGAACAATGGGAATTCGCATTAGGTAAGTGACTCCTGAAGAAACTATTGGGTATTTCTTCAACCTACCACACACCTCAACTAATATGCATGTTTTCCCTGTCAGTCATTTTTCATGTTTGTTTGTCATTTGTAAATGAGAACTAAAGCAATCTCTAATATCTTGTCCATGTTCTTGTCACAGGGATGCCATTGGCCCAGGCCATTTCCATTTTACAGAAACACTGCCGCATCATCAAGAATGTCCAGGTTCTTTACAGTGAACAAGTAAGAGATGAGATAACTGCTCTTGTGTGTGATGTAGGGTGTGGGCTGGCAGATTCATGTGACGGTTTCTGATTGACTGTCCATTGAAATTATATGTTATGTTTCTGTGCTTCTAGATGCCACTCAGTCATGACCTCATACTCAACTTGACTCAGGATGGAATTAAACTGCTGTTTGACGCCTGTAACCAGAGACTGAAGGTGAGGGAGACATGCTCTGGTTGATCATGGCGCTACGTACAATAATGCTGTCTATGTTGACTTATCAAGTCTCTCATTACTCTCATGTTTAGGTGATTGAAGTATACGACTTGAGCAAAGTTAAATTGAAATACTGGTGAGTGATCTCTAGTTCCTTGTGCTAATACCAGTGTGACTGGAGATGTGTCATAGCAAATGTATACACTATATATACAAAACTATGTGGACACCACTTCAAATTAGTGGATTCGGCTATTTCAGCCACACTCGTTGCTGACAGATGTATACAATCGAGCACACAGCCATGCAATCTCCATAGACAAACATCGGCAGTAAAATGGCCTTACTGAAAAGCTCAGTGACTTTCAACGTGGCACCGTCATAGGATGCCACCTTTCCAACAAGTCATTTCTGCCCTGCTAGAGCTGCCCAGGTCAACTGTATGTGCTGTTATTGTGAAGTGGAAACATCTAGGAGCAACAACGGCTCAGCCGCAAAGTGGTAGGCCACACAAGCTCACAGAACGGGACCGGCGAGTGCTGAAGCACGTAGTGTGTAAAAATCATCTCTCCTCGGTTGCAACACTCACTACCGAGTTCCAAACTGCCTCTGGAAGCAACGTCAGCACAATAACTGTTAGTCGGGAGCTTCATGAAATGGGTTTCCATGGCCGAGCAGCCACACACAAGCCTAAGATCACCATGCGCAATGCCAAGTGTCGGCTGGAGTGGTGTAAAGCTCGCCGCCATTGGACTCTGGAGCAGTGGAAACGCCTTCTCTGGAGTGATGAATCACGCTTCACCATGTGGCAGTCCGACTGACAAATCTGGGTTTGGCGGATGCCAGGAGAACGCTACCTGCCCGAATGCATAGTGCCAACTGTAAAGTTTGGTGGAGGAGGAATAATGGTCTGGGGCTGTTTTTCATGGTTCGGGCTAGGCCCCTTAGTTCCAGTGAAGGGAAATCTTAACGCTAAAGCATACAATGACATTCTAGACGATTCTGTGCTTCCAACTATGTGACAACAGTTTGGGGAAGGCCCTTTTCTGTTTCAGCATGACAATGCCCCCATGCACAAAGCGAGGTCCATACAGAAATAGTTTGTCGAGATCGGTGTAGAAAAACTTGACTGGCATGCACAGAGCCCTGACCTCAACGACATCGTTCACCTTTGGGATGAGTTGGAACGCCGACTGCGAGCCAGGCCTAATCGCCCGACCTCTCTAATGCTCTTGTAGCTGAATGGAAGCAAGTCCCCGCAGCAATGTTCCAACATCTAGTGGAAAGCCTTCCCAGAAGAGTGGAGGCTGTTATAGCAGCAAAGGGGGGACCAACTCCATATTAATGCCCATGATTTTGGAATGAGATGTTCGACAAGCAGGTGTCCACAAACTTTTGGTCATGTAGTGTATCTGACAGTTTGTCTGACTGGAATAGTTTGTTGTAGTCCATTAGAATAACCTGTTTTGCAAATTGTTCAGTTTATGTTGGATGTGGGTTTTTGTGCTACTACATATACTGTAATAGCATCTAGGCCTAAATGGTGTCATTGTCTTGCAGTGGAGTACATTTCAACACTCAGGCTATAGCACCCACCATAGAGCAGATTGACCAGTCCTTTGGCGCCACACACCCTGGAGGTAAGGGAAAGACAATCAGCAGATACAACTTTTTGTCTTATCGATAGTACTGTCGAATGCTGCAAGGTTTTTGTGTTTGACCATGTTTTCCTCACTCCCCAGTATACAATGCTGCAGAGCAACTGTTCCACCTGAACTTTCGAGGACTCTCCTTCTCCTTCCAGCTTGACTCATGGAATGAAGCTCCCAAGTATGAGGTGAGACTATTACCTGTCCCTGCTATATTTATCCCTAGTGTGCTGTTTTTATCTGACTGGCTTTATGGTAAACCCTGTTTGACATAGCTGCTACACAGCAAATGTCTTCCATAACTTGCTCTTCTTGTTCAAACCTTTCTGGTTTCCCTCACCTATTTTCTATGCTTTACTTTACCTGGCTGACAACCCCTAATCGACCTTGTTTACCAGATAAAGAACTAGTATTTTTGTCTTAGAATATTATTTATGTTAGCGATAATGAGAACCCCTGTGCCTCTTTTCGACCCCTTGGCAATTAACAAATGAATGTACATATGCTTCATTACCAATACAGCATGAGTATTTGGTTTTGAAGCATTTGGTAATGCTGGAATACAAACCAAATTGGCCCAGGAAATTGCTTAGTATGTATTTATTATGAAAATACATTGTTCTAAAGCTGTTGATGTGAGTACTTGTGTCTGTGTTGAATGTGAGCTTTTGAAATGCACACGCCAATCTACTCCCAGTTGTTTTGCTTTGACAGCCTAATTTTGCCCATGGCTTGGCCTCCCTGCAGATTCCGCACGGGGCCACAGTGAAACGGATGTACATCTACACTGGGAACAACCTACAGGACACCAAGTAAGAACACAATGTATTCACGAGCAGGCCTGGAATTATGGTTGAGCATGGCAAGTTTATGGAGAGATGGAGGAAGCAGGTGGAGGATAGGGTGAAGGGGAAGATACTGTGTGTTTGGTGAGCTTGTTTACTTCAATTCTTCAACTAACACCACCTTCTCCTTTGACTATGGTTAGGTTTAAATCTGATGCATTTGAGATATTATCTAAATACTTATTATTAAGTATTGAGAGATGTGTGATCATGGATTGCAGAAAAACATTTGTAATGACCTGACAATGACTCACTCTGTAATTCCTTAGGGCCCCAGTGATGCCCCTTGCCTGTTTCCTTGGCAATGTTTATGCAGAGTGTGTGGATGTGCTGAGGGATGGGGTGGGGCCACTTGGTCTGAGACTTCGCCTCCTCACTGCAGGTACTTAGCAAGGGGACATTTGAACCCACTCATGTCCCATGAGGACAACACCATCAGAACTGTGGAATCCAAGCTAAATCTGTTCAGGTTGGTATTCCTTTTGAGGCTTCCTGAGCACATGCCACTGAAGGGACTGGAGGATGTAGGTATTTTCCTCCTGCAGCGCAATCAGTCCTCAATTCTAATTGGATAAGGCTACTCTTCTCTTCCTCCCTTTAATTCATGTATTCCTCCAGTACTGTTGTAATGGCTGTTATAGAGCCTCATGGTCTGGAGCTACAATATAATGCTTTCCTGCCAGTCCCTCAGGTCTATCACGTTCCATGCTATCTTCAGTCCACACGTTAGCCCCTGTTAATCTCATCACCATATATCACCTCTGACATGCCCCTCCCCTGGGGAGGCTGAGCTAAACAAATAACATACTACACCCTTTAGTAGATGGGGAGGAGGTCTATCAAAATATGCCCTCATCAATCCCTCATCCAGTGTTTAGACATGTCTCCTTAGACCAGCTGTTTTGTTTGTCTCTGTGGTTTGGTGTATTATATACAGTTCTAATGAAACATCTGAGAGGAAGATGTGCTCCAAAAGTTTTGCAACACCAGGCCATATTAAGCTTGTATAATGAGTGGTCTTGTTCCTATCCTCCTCAGGATGTGGGCCCGGGGTGATGGCTGATGCCAAGGTGCGTGCCGTGGAGAGGAACATTTACTTTGGAGACTCCTGTCAGGATGTGCTGAGCGCTCTGGGCTCGCCACACAAAGTATTCTACAAGTCCGAAGACAAGGTTTGGCCCTCTACTTCCTGTCTCTTCCTTTCCCTTGACCTGCTCCTTTCAGTTGATATGGTCCTCTCTATGTTGATAAACAAGCTCTCTTCATGTTTGGGTTTCCTGTTTCAGATGAAGATCCACTCTCCGTCGCCTCACAAGCAGGTCCCGTCCAAATGCAATGACTACTTCTTCAACTACTTCACTCTGGGGGTGGTGGGTATTCATGTTACATAGGGGGTGGTTAGAGAGGGCTTGCCTTTCTTATGTTGACATTCAAATTCAATGTAGGATGTTGCTTCTTTCTTACCACTGTTTGATTGGTTCCTTTTTGTTTCTTTCCAGGACTTACTCTTTGATTCTAGCACACACCTGGTGAAGAAGTTTGTCCTTCATACTAACTTCCCCGGCCATTACAATTTCAACATGTAAGCCTCTATCTGCTTCAGTTAAGACAGCTGGCACCTCATTGGTCCTTGGCTCAAGTATACAATTTTCAGACATATGATCCATTTGAAAAAATTATTTCCAGTAGAGCCAAAAGAGGCTATTAAACTCCTTAGTGGTGAAGTAATTTAGTCGCAGGAGTGCTGTTCACTACACTCAGTAACATGTAACTGTCTCACTCAACACTGTAGATATCATCGATGCGATTTCAAGATTCCACTTGTCATCAAGAAAGGTGAGTTTTCTAATCAGCATTTTATTGTATTTCCTGAGGTATTTGGTGCTCCGTGTGAACTCTGCCTGTCTCCTCGCTGACCTCTGTGAAGTCTCCTCACGTATCCCTGTCTGTCTTTCAGAAGGTGCTGACGTTCATGGGGAGGACTGCACCCTCACTACCTACAGCAAGGTCAGACATGCCTACACTGCTCAGTCTTTGCCTTGCTCACTCAAGAGTAGTGAAAAACACCCCAAGAGTAACTATGGGTGAACGTTATAGCTACTTCAGAGGAGGTTTGTGTTCTCCTGACTGACTGATTGTTTCTCCCGTAGTGGGATCAGATTCAGGAGCTGCTTGGACACCCCATGGAGAAGCCTGTCGTGCTCCATAGGTAAGAGATGCCTGGATTAGAATTTACATCACTTCTGTCAGTTTAAACATTTTCACTGGACAACTGACTGCTGGCCCTGCAGTTAACAAAAAGGTGTAAAAAATATCTGTTTCACAGGTCATCCTCGGCAAATAACACCAATCCCTTTGGCTCTACATTCTGTTTTGGACTACAGCGAATGATCTTTGAGGTAAGAACACTTGGTGTGTGTGTGACATGAGTGATGATGGTATTAGATTGAGAAGTACTAAGGCCTGTATGTATGTAAACTATATAAGGTATGTATCTGAACTGTTCTAACTTGTCGTCCCAGGTGATGCAGAACAACCACATAGCTTCAGTGACCCTGTACGGCGCCCCCAGACCCAGCAGCCGGGCCAGAGCCGAGGCCAGCGGCCACTGAACAGCAACCCAACCCAGGCCCCAACCCATACCCGGCCTGAGGGCTGTCTCCCCTCCTCTCCAGTCCGCTCCACGGCAGCCCTGGGCTGATCAGCAGTGTACTCTCTGTCTCAGCCACTGCCATCTTCACACCAGAGAGGCCTGCTAGGAGCTCCTCTGGACCCATCTTTCCCTGCGTGACGGGCGCCTCATGCAGGGCCCTGCTAGGAGCCTTACGGCAGCCATCATCCCTCCCCCTCTGACTCACCCTGTCCCAATGGTCTTCATCATCAGAACACTCGTTAGATGTGTTGACAGTGTTTCATCAATGCACATTTGGATGCCTGCGAGCACAAACAAATGCTCACCTGCGTGCATGCTGTAGTTTTTTTAAATTGACATTTTAATACATGCTTAACATACATCAGAAACCGATACCAAAAGCCTGTACAGACACCAAAACCATTTCAATCCTTTCTCCACTATATGTTCATGTTGCCGATTTAAAACACATGCATATGGATACAGGCTCATCTGCAGCACTAACACTTGCATATCAAGTACATCATTTCATACACAGACATATACACATACAAAAACAAACATGCATGCACATTGACATAAACCAATGCATGCACACAGAAACAAACAATTGCATGAACATAGAGGTTGTTGTTTTTAAGAGGAGAGTGGTAAAAGATTGCAAGCACAAACTGGCCACACCATGGAGTGTCCTAGTGCTTTGCATGCTGTGAGGGATACTGTCTTGGCACATGAACAAACACACATACTGGCACACACACACATTCATACACTCATGCCATGACTAAGTCCACAGCATAAGCCACCTCCTATTGCAAGGCGGTGAAGCACTAAATGCATTTGTAGTTTTTGTGTTTTTGCGTGGAACGATAAAAACGTTGGTTTTAACATTTGCACTAAGATGCACCATATTTACTTGATTATTGTCTCCTATCCACTGAGGATTGTGTATTTTGTTTCCATTAGTGATGACTGAGGAAAGGCTCCCGCTCCTCTTATCACCTGAATTGACTTTGGAGAGAAAAGCCATGCTTCTTTCCTTCCAGATGTACACCATCCCCTCCAATGTCCACTGCTACCACTGTCCTTTACAACCTTCCTCCCCATGCACTCTCATGATTGCTCCCTTTCTCCATCCATTTCCCCATCCTCATCTCTTTTTCTATTCACAAGAAATATCTCAATTAATCCAGCTTAGATGTACTTCATCATTGCTGTCATTCTTTATAACAAATGTTTTGTTAAATTGCCAACATTTTAGCCAAAGATGTTTTAGCATGTTTTAAGTTATCCAGACATTTTAGTTTGTCAACTTCACTTCTTGCCCAGAAGAGCAGACATTCCCTCCTAAAACAATCTTTTTTTTAAATGCAGGCCCCTGAACCATAATCTTAATCTCATCTAAGTACTTCTTGAATATATAATCTTCTTTATAATTGCTTTGTGCTTTCTAATGCAGATATTTTATCATTCAGTTTTTACTCTACCAAGATGTCTCCTGTATCTGTAGCAGGTAGATTTGGGACTATGTGCAGCAGCAGTCTTTTGGTGTTTGTACAGATTTGTAAATAGTGTGCTCTTTTGTCTTGTCATTTTCAGATAATGGTACAATGTGGGCCTGAATTGTTTTAAGGTCAGAGCACACACCAGACAAAACACTTGTATTACATAGGAATTCTGTTTGATGTCTATCTCCCCCTAGTGGAGAGAACACTGGCTGGCGCTCCTAAACCCTGGTCCTGAATGGTTCATTCATCTCTCTAGCTCAGCTTTAACCACTATTTGTACTAGAGACAGATGCTGAAGATAGGATAAATCAGAGAAAAAGATGGGTTACTGTTGGATAGGGAAGGGAGCCCTGTACACTCTGTTTAGGACCCCCGGATGTGTGTGTGGTCAGTCGCCCTGTTATAGTGGGTTGATCATGTACTGGTGCTAGATCAGAGGTATGTCATGTTGGGATTCTGTCACAGGTGGCTGGTCTGCCAGTCAGACCAGCCCTCCAGGCCTCAGCTTTGCAGCGTGTGATGCAGGCTTATTACATAGACTTGTTTCATGAGTTGCGATGACAAAAGCCTGTACTGCTGTTGATGTTGTTAACATTGTATCCATTGCTTTGTTCAAGTAGTATACAAAAAAAGAAAAGGAGAAGCAAAAATGCTTTGTTAACGTTGTGCCTCATTTCCCACCAAGCCTGTCTTGACTTCTCTCTGTAAATGAAACTATTGAACAGCATTGAGTAAGACTGAGCATGACAAGCTAACATGATCGACTGACTGTCACCCATAGGCCATCATTTTCCTCTTGCTCCAAAAAACATGACAAGTTGTAGAGTAAAGACTTGATGTACAGTACAGGTCCTGAGCTCAGTCATGAAGGGCTAATCCTCATCTCTCAACAACCCCTGGCGTTCTGATTGGAAGATTTGCACAATACATTGTTTTGGTTTGTTCTAGTTGATGAACACAGAAACATATATATCACTGAACATCTCACAACAGGACTTTGGTTTTAACATCAGTCTGACCACCACCATCGGCCAGCCCTTCATGACCTGAGCTACACACACTGGTTGTTTGAGTTCAAATACAATGCAATGCACTTCCGGCCTGGTAGATTTGTTGCATCTGATTTAACTCCCTGTAGATGAGTTTGCATTTATATTAGCGAGCAAACAAATGCAACACAACCAATGTTGTGGTAACGTTTCTGGAATTTTACTGCTGAGAATGAGCTGGGACGTGCTTGCCCAATCTCAGGTGGACGTAGATATTTTTTAAACGCTAGGAGCAAGTGAATGCTTAATTTTCATCAGTTGGTTTTGGCTGTTTTATTTCCTTCTCTGAATTGATCCTATTTTTGCATTGGAATGAATTAATGACTAATTAAGACTGTAATTATAAATGGACAACTTCAGTTGAGTGTAATACTCATATTAGTGCTATGTATTGTCTCACTTTATATTGTATGTTTATCCCCATTCCCCAAAGTAGTTATTTTGGTGGATTCAGTCAATTTAACCCAGTTCTGGAAATGGGAGTTATCCTTAATTCAACTTGTAAATCAAATTAATTGGAATGTGGTGTCTTATATTTTGGATAGCTTTACTTCTGTACAATAAAGAACATGTAGATCAACATTATTAAGCATGTCATAAAAAGCAATAACCATAGCTATGGTGAATCAGAACGGTCTGCTTAAAGCTTGCACAATGCTCCTGAATGAAACGATGCAAGAATGCTGTGATTGAGATGAGCTCCTCATAAAATCTACTGTCTGAAACTCAACATTTAGAATTTGATAAAACTGCTCATTCTGAATTTTGTTCATTTAAAAAAACCTGTTACTGTGTGTACAAAAAGGATATGAAAAAATTGATGTAATAAATATGACAAGAAAAGTCTTGAGCTGTATTTCTTTATTTTTAAAGAACAAAAAAAACAATACATGCACATGTTTTCTACCAGGGACAATTTCAGTGTTTAACTGATTGCTTTACATTTTTATATCAACAGCATGTAGTCTACTTACAGCATTTGGACTACAGTTGGAGGTATAACTGAACATACAAGTTTAAAAAGAAACAGCATGTATGGATTCTGATTATCAGAAGTATTGTAAATGAAAGCACACACCCCACCCTTCTTAACTGTTCAGGGTTTACTCTGGGCTTTGGTTTGTTGCTTGGTGATTGTCATCTTCAGTGTAGCTAATTGTGAACTAAAAAAGTAGGTGCTGTGCACATAACATTCACGAATATGTAAACTGTTTCTTTGTACAACTGTTTGTACCTCTGCTGGAACGTTTCTAAGAAAGGTTTCTGGAACTACACTGGACAAAAATATAAACGCAACATGTAAAGTGTTGGTCCCATGTTTCATGAGCTGAAATATAAGAACCCAGAAATGTTCCATACATACAAAAAGCTTATTTCTCTAAAATGTTGTGCACAAATTTGTTTATATCCCTGTTAGTGAGCATTTCTCATTTGCCAAGATAATCCATCCACCAGACAGGTGTGGCACATCAAGAAGCTGATTAAACAGCATGATCATTACACAGGTGCACCTTGTGCTGGGGACATTGGCATGCTGACTGCAGGAATGTCCACCAGAGCTTTTGCCAGATAATTTAATTTTAATTTCTCTACCATAAGCCGCCTCCAACGTTGATTTAGAGAATTTGGCAGTATGTCCAACCGGCCTTACAACCGCAGACCACATGTATGGCGTTGTGTTGGCGAGTGGTTTGCTGATGTCAACATTGTGAACAGAGTGCCCCATGGTGGCGTGGGGTTATGATATGGGGCAGGCATAAGCTACAGACAACAAACACAATTGCATTTTATCAATGGCAATTTGAATGCACAGATATACCAGCAACTTCGCACAGCCATTGAAAAGGAGTGGGACAACATTTCACAGGCCACAATCAACAGCCTGATCAACTCTATGCGAAGGAGATGTGTCGCACCACATGAGGCAAATGGTGGTCACACCAGATACTGACAGTTTTCTGATCCATGCCCCTACCTTTTTTTTAAGGCATCTGTGACCAACAGATGCATATCTTTATTCCCAGTCATATGAAATCCATAGATTAGAACCTAATGCACTGATTTCAATTGACTGATTTCATTATATGAACTGTAACTCCGAAAAATCTTTGAAATTGTTGTGTTTATATTTTTGTTCAGTATATGCAGTTGAAGTCAGAAGTTTACATACACTTAGGTTGGAGTCATTAAAACTTGTTTTTCAACCACTCCACTAATGTCTTGTTAACAAACTATAGTTTTGGCAAGTCGGTTAGGACATCTACTTTGTGCATGACACAAGTAATTTTTCCAACAATTGTTTACAGACAGATTATTTCACTTATAAATCAGCCAAGACCTCAGAAAAAAAATGGTAGACCTCCACAAGTCTGGTTCATCCTTGGGAGAAATTTCCAAACGCCTGAAGGTACCACGTTCATCTGTAAAAACAATAGTATGCAAGTATAAACACCATGGCACCACGCTGCCGTCATACCGCTCAGGAAGGAGACGTGTTTTGTCTCCTAGAGATGAACGTACTTTGGTGCGAAAAGTGCAAATCAATCCCAGAACAACAGCAAAGGACCTTGTGAAGATGCTGGAAGAAACAGGTACAAAAGTATCTATATCCACAGTAAAACGAGTCCTATATCGACATAATCTGGAAGGCTGCTCATCAAGGAAGAAGCCACTGCTCCAAAACCGGCATAAAAAAGCCAGACTACGTTTTGCAACTGCACATGGGGACAAAGATCGTACTTTTTGGAGAAATGTCCTCTGGTCTGATGAAACAGAAATAGAACTGTTTGGCCATAATGACCATCGTTATGTTTGGAGGAAAAAGGGGACAGCTTGCAAGCCGAAGAACACCATCCCAACCGTGAAGCACGGGGGTGGCAGCATCATGCTGTGGGGGTGCTTTGCTGCAGGAGGAACTGGTGCACTTCACAAAATAAATGGCATCATGAGAAAGGAAATGTATGTGGATATATTGAAGCAACATCTCAAGACATAAGTCAGGAAGTTAAAGCTTGGTCGCAAATGGGTCTTCCAAATGGACAATGACCCCAAGCATACATCCAAAGTATGACAACAAAGTCAAGGTATTGGAGTGGCCATCACAAAGCCCTGACTTCAATCCTACAGAAAATGTGTGGGCAGAACTGAAAAAGCATGTGCGAGCAAGGAGGCCTACAAACCTGACTCAGTTACACCAGCTCTGTCAGGAGGAATGGGCCAAAATTCACCCAACTTATTGTGGGAAGCTTGTGGACGGCTACCCGAAACATTTGACCCAAGTTAAACAATTTAAAGGCAATGCTGGGAATGTGATGAAAGAAGCTTAAATAAATAATTATCTCTACTATTATTCTGACATTTCACATTCTTAAAATAAAGTGGTGATCCTAACTGACCTAAAACAGGGAATTTTTACTAGGATTAAATGTCAGGAATTGTGAAAAACTGAGTTTAAATGTATTTGGCTAAGGTGTATGTAATCTTCCAACTTCAACTGTATAATAAGGTCCCTTGGGGACTTCCTGCCTCAGCTACAGTTGATGCATTGAGCTTTGTCTCCCCTAATTTCCCTTTCAAGTCTACCAACATGTATCATCTGATGTGTAATCGCACACAAAGGGTGTGTTCGTAAATTCAATCTGGAGTGCCAGAGTGCACTCAGAGTGCGCTCTGGGCGTTCGTAAATTCAGAGCGTTGTCAGATAGTCCGTTCGTAAATTCAGAGCGTTTTGCTCTCTGAGCATTCAGAGCGCACACTGTACGCTCTGGCCGAGGAGTTGGGTTAATCCGAGCGTTCTGACCTCACAACTGCAATCAAGCACCCAAGCTAAATGGCTAACGTTGGCTAGCTTGCTAGCTACTTCCAGACACAAATGAGTGAACACCTCACTTTGACCATTTTACTCGCCCTAGCAGAGCTGGTTAGGCTGTTTTATTTTTATCCAGAGCATTGGTGACGGTAACTGTGCTGCTGGAAACAATTTTTTATTCTGCGCTGAGACACACTCAGACGAGAGTGCTATGAAATCGGAGTAGATAGCCAGAGTGAATTTACGAACGCACCCAAAGTTTCTTAATTTACAACACTGTACTGTATATTCAACTGCACAAAATCAACCTGGCACGTTTACATTACCACCACAGTAAATTTACCAACTAGTTTTACATCCAGGATGTTTCCAAGAAATATATGAAACAGGATTTTTTCTTAGAAACAAGGTACATTTACCATGGCTGTAAACTGTTAAGCAAAAACCCCTGTATTACCTAAAAATAACTGTACCAAACATTCAATCGCAGTTTCCATATACCAATGGCTCTTTCACAGTGTAGTCCCTCTAATCAACATAACACAAAGCCCTCAATGCTTTACAAACACTTTACCATCATAGTCCTGTTCCACTGTAGTCTCTGAGTCCTTCTGTCCTGTTGTCGCGAGTACCTTGCCCCTCCACTTAAAGGGCCACGGGGTGGGGGCCAGTTTACTGTGACAGCTCAGCTGGGGGTCATGCAGCAGGTTCCACATGAGCCAGATCTGTGGCACTGTCAGACTGTGTACCACCATCAGCTCCCTGTAGAAACAAGGGTCAAACACCTGGAGGTGGGGAGCAGCAGAGGGGCGCACAATACCAAATGTACGGAAACCCTCATGGCGTGACGGTTTCACTCCAATTCTCTGTAAGCACATGCCTAAGAACACATCGTCGATGGGGAATAGTTCTACCTGCTGACACGCTCCACTCAGCCGCCTGGCGGTGTGACCAGACATCACAAAGCCTCCCCCTCCTGCATATGACGGATACATAGTCTGGCCATACACAAACTCTGGCACAAAGTACTTGCTGCTGCGCCGACGGATGGGGCGGGCGTGGTGGATTATGTCACCCACAAAGAGGTCCTTATCAGGCTTCTGACCCTTCAGCATCTGCAAAATGTTGTCTATATTCACATAGACATCAGCATCACCTTTGAAGATGAACTGGACATTGGAGCAGCTGTCATTCACCCACTGGAGGAAGTGGGTCTCTTTAAGTGTCAAATTGAAAAATGTGTCATCAAAGTCCCAGAGGAGAATGTCCCCAAAGGTGTGGCTCTCATAGGCAAGGAGCCGGTCCCATAAAGGCAGGGCTGTCTTGTTCCTGGGTACCCCAAGGAGGAATACAGTCTTCACTGTCTGCAAATTCTGGAGCACACCCTCTCTTCCCCAGGTGTGCCGCACTACCTGCCTTCTTTCAAAGTCTGCTGCTACTGACTTGATAGTAATGAGCATGTAGAGCTCGCCTGAGCATTTTCCTGGCTGGTCTATCAGCAGTTTGAAGTCCCGATTGTCCTTATCTCTTAGGTAGCCCTCAAAGTTAAAAGGTGGTTGTGTGGGTAAAACAGGAGCAGCCTTTGATGGGGCCACATTCTTTGTCCCCTTATCTTTCTTTGACTTGGATTTAGATTTGGTCTTAGGTTTGGATTTAGACTGAAGTTTGGACTTGGGATGTGACTGAGGCTCAGACTGGCACTTTGTCTTATCTGTGGGCGTAGAGGGGACCAGTTTAGTCACGTGGCTCTCTGGTAGAGTCCCTAGAAGAGCACAGGAGCTTGTAGAGCCCTGCTCTAAGTGCCAGGTGTCCCAGGTGGGAGTGAAGCATTGGTGGGCATACAACAGCAGACAGAGTAGCCCCAGCATGAGCAGGGTGCACAGAACATCTCCTTTTATGTGAATTCTCCTCATTGTGTCCCACTGAACCTATTTCCCTCTGAGGTCTACAAAGGCTGATTTCATTTACAACTCTTTTCCCATGAATTTTTATTTTCTTCTTCCTCAGGATCTCTGAGAGCAGAAAGCTCCAAACAGCATCCTGTGAAGAGTTCACAATACTGATCATTACATTTTCATTTACATTTTCGTCATTTAGCAGACACTCTTATCCAGAGCGACTTACAAATTGGTGCATTCACCTTATGATAGCCAGTGGGACAACCACTTTACAATCATCCATGCGGAGCAATTCCTGAGAGGTTTTCTGGGGGACCCTGAGGTCCTGCCGGATAATGCTCCGTAACCCAATACTCTGTGGTCCTTATGTTTCTACTCCAGTATCTCAGAGGGGTTTTTGCTTTAGTCCACAACATTCATTCCACTCCATCTCTTCAGCAGGCTGTACTCCTAGATATGAAAATAAATCACGATAATTACATTGTAAACATGCAAGGAAAGGAACAAAAATATATTTGGCAAAAGTTTTTTGTTGTTGTTGTTACTTTTTATATTTATATTTGCAGTTACTTTGTATATTTTGTTTCCTGTTTTTATTTTATTATTCATAAATTATCTGAGGCTCCATTACAGTGATATCTGCAGTTGTAACCATTCAAACTAATTTCCTCCAATTTCCAGAACTAATGCAAGAATGTTCATACATTTTCCTATAGCAGACAAAGGAACAGAACAGATAATCTCCCAGTAGTCTTCAGAAATTGACCACGGTTTCCAAGTTAGCGTTCAAATGACACCTCAGAAGCAAATGGAAAGCCAGACCAAAATGTTCCAAATGATTTTGAAGAACGACTTCATTGCCACCCTCTCCTATAGGACCTAACCCCAAATCTGGTCAATTCGGCTATAGGAGGGCGTGGCGGATCTTATGTAAGATTTCTAAATAGAAAAGGATGTCTTGTGTGCATTAGAACAGTGTTCCTAATTTAATGTTCCTATCTTAATCTCCTTCACAAATGTAACTATTTATTGGTTCACCGTGCAGTTTATAATGAGCAAAAATGCATCTGAAAATGCATCATTTTTCGTCAGCAAAACGGACATGCATGCGTTTACCCTCGAAGGAAAACGTTTGTCGCATGTAAAAAATGAAAAAGCCTACCATGACGCATGGCATTTACATATAATTGGCAGACTGTTGCATGTTTACATAATACAGGGAGCCCTATATTGAATGACAGCGTTTGTATTGTATCAGTGTATATATGTGTACAAAGTATTACATCTACGCATCAGTCATCATACTTACCACGACAGATGAAAGTCACCAAAACAATTTATAGCGCCACTGCCAAACCCGGGAACATCTGGTTTCTGTATGAAATCTGCAGTCTGACAGTGCTTGGGTCCAACAAAAACGAAGTTTAAAATGGAGAGAAAAAAACATGAAATGAATACAGACCTACATGGTGTATATGGAGGGAGCCTCAGTAAGGTAGAGTTAACTTTTGAAAAACGTGCAAAATTGGCAAGACAGCCTTTTAACGGTGTTCATTTCACTGGTCACGTGACACGTGTGGGAGTCGCTGGTCCAGCTGTGAGCCAGATGCCAGCGCAGCAACTGGAAACAGACTCTCCAAGAATATAAAGTAAGGGGAAAGGGGGTCGCATAATGATCCGGACCTAGCAGACTTATTTTTTTGTCAGACACTTTGTACTTTTATCATGGTGACTGATGTCCTTGCAATACAGCACCATATGTACTTCTAGCCCCTAGCTGTATTAAATGGCTGCAATTTAGGAGCTGAATTCACTTAACAGCACTCTGGCCTGAGAGACATTGAAGACATTCATTCAACCAACAAGAGTTGAATGAAAATACTACAATGAAAACAAAAAACAGACATATTAAGTTAAAAGACCATTTAGTTTAGCGTTACATTTTCTGCACACACACAAAGTTCCCTGTCTATTTACAATCTACAAAAGGTAAACATGTATCACACACTGCTGGTCCCATTTAACATTAAAGGAGTATAGATTTATTTTGCTACAAAACCACATTTACAACTTGACAGTTACTCCCACCCACTGACTCCTCTAAAACATCACTGCTGACCAATGGCATCTGGGGGTGCAGGAGAGGCCTGACTATTCTTCAGGCCTTGCCACTAGAGAACTAGACTTTTGCCTCACTTATAAAGCCTCCTCTCCTGGCTCCCCCCAGACTGGCTCCCCCCTCTCACACAGGGGGTGCCCACAGGAAGAGGCTGTGCCTGCTCTCATTATCTTGAACAGGGCATTGACATTGTTGTTTTTGATAGCATCTCGGCAGGCTGTGATAACCTGATTCTTCGGCTTACCCACTGAGAGAGACAAAGAGTAGGAGAGGTTAGGAAAGTCCCGAACCCTTCAAAACACATTAAATCCTCTACAAACGCTATCCCCCACTGATCACCCTGTCAACCCCTACTCACCTCTCAGTCTCCCTGCCCTCTGAATGGGCCTGGTTGGCAGACTTAAGGTAGGCGAGGAGAGCATTGTGATTGTTGGATCGGATCTTGTACTCATTGATCAGGTCTCTGTTCAGGTCATAGAGCTCAATGTAGCTCTTCTTCATGTTCCTCCTGTCAAGCAAAAAGATGAAGGGATGAAAAGAAAAGCCAAGCAGAGGAATCCTACAGAGAAATCAGGGAGGTGGTGGTTGGTGTGGCGTCACTCACATGTCCCCCATGAGTCGTGCGTCCTCTGCCTGCACCAGCATGTTACGGATGTGATTAGAATGATCTGCAATGGCCGCCGTCAGCATTTGGTGGACAGAGTGATAGTCATCTACCTGTTCAAACAATTGGTAACTCTGGGTTACGGTATGTAACCCCGGTTCTCTGAAGGAGACGAGGAAGACATCTCACTATGGGACACGCCCTCTTTTGTGGGTCTTTGGTTGAAGCCTTATTCAATCACGCCTAACAGGCCAATCAGAGCTTTATGGGTGTACGTCTCACTATGGGACACTTGCAAAGCACCCCGATCGCCAATAGCCCCTTTCCTGAGAAGCCTGTTGTGGTACATGGTAATGTACCTGTCACGTAAACTGATGTGGATGCAGTGGTGGAGTCAAGCGCAGGACAAGGAGGCTAAGTCCAAAATGACTTTACTAAGAATGCACAAAGTCAAAACAAAAGGCCTCTAAACAAAGGAGGCGGACGATTACGCACACACGCGTAAAACAATAAACATCTAACGAGACACCAATCGGACAGGCGGACAATTACACACAACTGCAAACAAACCAAAAGGGAAACTTATAGGTGACATAATCAATACTCAATACGAAACAGGTGCACACACAAGACCAGACCAAACAACTATCGAGAACATCCAGCGGTGGCAGCTAGTACTCCGGGGATGACGAACGCCGAAGCCTGCCCGAGCAAGGAGGAGGAGCAGCCTCGGCAGAATCCGTGACAGTACCCCCCCTTGACGTGCGGCTCCAGCCGTGCGCCGACCCCGGCCTCTGGGACGACCAGGAGGACGCGGAGCAGGGCGCGTGGGATGACTACTGTGGAACTCAGTCAGGAGGGATGGATCTAGAATGTCCCTCCTAGGCACCCAGCACCGTTCCTCCGGGCCGTACCCCTCCCACTCCACGAGATATTGTAGACCCCCCATCCGACGTCTCGAATCCACGATGGACCGGACTGAGTACGCCGGAGCCCCCTCGATGTCCAGTGGGGGCAGAGGAGTCTCTCTTATCTCACTGTCCTGGAGTGGACCAGCTACCACCGGCCTGAGGAGAGACACATGGAACGAGGGGTTAATGTGGTAATCAATAGGCAGTTGTAACTTGTAACAAACCTCGTTCAATCTCCTCAGGACTTTAAATGGCCCCACAAACCGCCGACCCAGCTTCCGGCAGGGCAGGCGAAGGGGCAGGTTTCGAGTCGAGAGCCAGACTCGATCTCCAGGTGCGTACACCGGACCCTCACTGTGGTGGAGATCGGCGCTCGCCTTCTGTCTACGGATGGCCCGCTGCAGATGGACGTGTGATACCCTAACACACACTGGAAAGGGGTTAGGTTAGTAGAGGAGTGGCGAAGCGAGTTCTGGGCCATCTCTGCCCAGGGGATATACCCCGACCACTCCTCCTGCCGGCCCTGGCAATAGGATCTCAGAAACCTACCCACATCCTGGTTCACTCTTTCCACCTGCCCATTACTCTCTGGGTGGTAACCCGAGGTAAGGCTCACCGAGACCCCCAAGCGTTCCATGAACGCTCTCCAGACTCTAGAGGTGAACTGGGACCCCGATCAGACACTATATCCTCGGGCACCCCGTAGTGCCGGAAGACGTGGGTAAACAAAGCCTCAGCAGTCTGTAGGGCAGTAGGGAGGCCCGGCATTGGGATGAGACGACAGGCCTTAGAGAACCGATCCACAACGACCAGAATAGTGGTATTCCCCTGAGAGGGGGGAAGGTCCGTGACAAAGTCCACCGAGAGGTGAGACCACGGCCGTTGTGGAACGGGCAGGGGTTGTAACTTCCCCCTGGGCAGGTGTCTAGGTGCCTTACACTGAGCGCACACCGAGCAGGAGGAGACATAAACCCTCACATCCTTAGCTAAAGTTGGCCACCAGTACTTAGCGCTAAGGCAGTGCACTGTCCGGCCAATACCTGGATGTCCAGAGGAGGGTGACGTATGAGCCCAATAAATGAGACGATCACGGACCTCGAGCGGCACGTACGTCCGACCCACTGGACACTCTGGGGGAGTAGGGTCGGTACGTAACGCCCGCTCGATTTCCGTATCGACCTCCCACACCACCGGTGCCACCAGACAAGACTCCGGCAGTATGGGAGTGGGCTCAATGGACCTCTCCTCTGTGTCATACCGCCGGGACAGGGCGTCTGCCTTACCGTTCTGGGACCCTGGGATGTACGTTATCTTAAACACGAACCGGGTCAGAAACATGTTCCACCTAGCCTGACGAGGGTTCAATCTCCTAGCTGCCCGGATGTACTCCAGGTTACGGTGGTCAGTCAGAATGAGAAAAGGGTGTTGAGCCCCCTCAAGCCAATGCCTCCACACCTTTAGGGCTTGAACTACGGCTAACAGCTCCCTGTCCCCTACGTCATAATTTCGCTCCGCCGGGCTGAGCTTCTCAGAATAGAAAGCACAGGGGCGGAGTTTAGGTGGCATGCCTGACCGTTGCGACAGCACTGCCCCAATACCGGCCTCTGACGCGTCCACCTCTACCTGGAACGGTAAAGCGGGGTCCGGGTGCGCCAGCACCGGAGCCGAACTGAACAGGTCCTTCAGTTTACCAAACGCCCTGTCCGCTTCTGCCGACCACTGCAAACGCACCGGGCCCCCCTTCAGCAGGGAAGTAATGGGAGCTGCCACCTGTCCAAAACCCCGGATAAACCTCCGGTAGTAATTGGCAAAACCCAAAAACTGCTGCACCTCTTTAACAGTGGTTGGGGTTTGCCAATTACGCACGGCTGACACACGGTCAACCTCCATCTTCACCCCTGACGCGGACAACCGATGACCCAAGAAGGAGATGGACTCCTGGAAAAACAGACATTTCTCTGCCTTGACATACAAGTCATGCTCCAACAGCCTACCCAACACTTGGCGCACCAGTGCTACATGCTCGGCCCGTGTAGCAGAGTACACTAGGATGTCGTCAATGTACACTACTACACCCTGCCCATGCATGTCCCGGAAGATCTCGTCCACAAAGGATTGGAAGACCGAAGGAGCATTCATTAACCCGTATGGCATGACGAGATACTCATAATGACCCGAGGTGGTACTAAATGCTGTCTTCCATTCATCTCCCTCCCTAATGCGCACCAAGTTGTAGGCGCTCCTGAGATCCAGTTTTGTGAAGAAACGCGCTCCGCGTAATGATTCAGTCATACTCGCAATCAGAGGAAGAGGTTAACTGTATTTAACAGTGATCTGATTGAGACTACGGTAATCAATACACGGGCGCAACCCTCCATCTTTCTTCTTCACAAAAAAGAAACTCGAGGACGTAGGGGAAGTGGAGGTCCGTATGTATCCTTGTCTCAGGGACTCGGCTATGTATGTCTCCATAGCCGCCGTCTCCTCTTGAGACAGAGGATACACATGGCTCCGCGGGAGTGCTGCCCCTGTCTGGAGGTCTATCGCACAATCTCCCTGTCTATGAGGTGGCAACCGCGTCGCCCTAGTCTTGCTGAACACGAGTGCCAAATCCTCATACTCAGGGGGAATGTGCATTGCGGACACTTGGTTCGGACTCTCCACCGTGGTCGCCCCTACGGAAACACCTAGACATCGCCCAACAACACTGGGCAGACCACTCCTTGAGAGCAATCTGTTGCCACCAAGGAAGCCAAGGAAGCCCCAGCACCATGGGATACGCAGGAGAGTCGATCAGATATAACTGAATGATCTCCTCATGCCCCCCTGCGTATTCATCTTTAGTGGTGCTGTGACCTCTCTAATCAACCCAGATCCCAACGGACGGCTATCTAGGGCATGGACAGGGAAGGGAGCATCAACGGGCAGAAGGGGAATCCCTAACTTAACACAACATTTCCGATCAATAAAATTCCCAGCTGCGCCTGAATCGACTAGCGCCTTATGCTGGGAATGAGATGCAACCTGGGGAAATATTACAGGTATACATAAGTGAACAACAGAGAGCTCTGGGTAAGTGGGGCGCCTACTCACCTGGAATGACTCCCCAGTGCGTGACCTGTTGCCCCGACTCCCTGGAGACCCTCCCCAGCACCTACGACCACAGTTGGTGCAGGGGACGGCCTCCCTCAGGCTCTCTCTCCTCCTCTCTCTAGCGCCAGCATCCCGAGCTCCATAGAGCTCGGCTCGGAGGTGCTGGAGGATGGAATGGACGGCCCCAACTCGGGACGTCCGCGGGTGGCCAGCAGGGTATCTAGACGGATGGACATGTCCACCAACTGGTTGAAGGATAGATTGGTGTCCCTGCAGCCCAGCTCTCGACGAACGTCCTCACGCAGGCTACACCGATAGTGGTCGATGAGGGCCCTCTCATTCCACCCCGCATCCGCCGCTAGAGTCCGGAAATCCAGGGCGAACTCCTGTGCGCTCCTCTTCCCCTGTCGATTTACCCTCAGGTGGATGATCGAAAACCCCCCTGAAGCGGCGGGAGAACTCCGCGTAGGTGATGGTGGCGGCGTCTATTCCCCTCCATTCGGCGTTGGCCCACTCCAATGCCTTGCTGGAGAGACAGGAGATGAGGGCGGAAACGCTCTCGTATCCCGAGGGCGCCGGGTGTATGGTAGCCAGGTAGAGTTCCACCTGCAGGAGGAACCCCTGACACCCGGCTGCGGTGCCATCATACGCCCTCGGGAGCGAGAGCCGAATCCCACTGGACTCCGGTGCTGGTATGGGAGGACTGGCCGATGGTGGTGGTAAGGTAGGAGGTGTGGGCACACCTCCTCTCTCCCATCGGCGCAGGGTGTTCATCACCTCTTGCATGGCGGACCCGAGTTGCTGGATCCTGGCGTCCTGGCAGCTGACCCGATCCTCCAGCGACTCGGGCGCCGCCGCTGCTCCTGCTGACTCCATAGAATGGTGTGTAATTCTGTCACGTAAACTGATGTGGATGCAGTGGTGGAGTCAAGCGCAGGACAAGGAGGCTAAGTCCAAAATGACTTTACTAAGAATGCACAAAGTCAAAACAAAAGGCCTCTAAACAAAGGAGGCAAACGATTACGCACACACGCGTAAAACAATAAACATCTAACGAGACACCAATCGGACAGGCGGACAATTACACACAACTGCAAACAAACCAAAAGGGAAACTTATAGGTGACATAATCAATACTCAATACGAAACAGGTGCACACACAAGACCAGACCAAACAACTATCAAGAACATCCAGCGGTGGCAGCTAGTACTCCGGGGACGACGAACGCCGAAGCCTGCCCGAGCAAGGAGGAGGAGCAGCCTCTGCAGAATCCGTGACAGTACCTGATCCATCCTACTCAGCTCCAGTCCAAGGACTGTGTGCGCCAGGGAGGGAGCATTAACGTCCATGCGATAGAACCTCACAAGGGTGTGATAGGAAGCCCAACTAGCCACACAAATCTCCAAAATGGAGATGCCTCTGAACAGTGGCAATTCGTCTAGTGGAATGTGCGCGGACACCCAGGGGAGACTGCAATCCCCGACAACTGTACGCCTTGGCGATAGTCTCCACTACCCAATGGGAGAGGCGTTGTTTGGACAAAGCCCTACCCTGAGCAGGGTTGGAAAAGCAAACAAACAGTTGGTCACAACTCCAGAAAGGCCTAGTACTGTCCATGTACAGTAGATGCGCAGTGCACGCACTTAAGGCGCCGCTGCTCTGGAGAAGAGAACGGCAGAGGGTGGAAGGGAAAGAGGTCAGTGGCTTGACTACTATAAGTCATGGGAATGACCTTAGGAATGAACGTGGCATTAGGACGTATTCATAACCTTGGAGTAGTCGGGGGGAAACTGAGTGCATGAAGGATGAACCGAGAGCGCATGAAGGACTAGCGCTATCACACTTGGCAGTAGCCAAGGCGAGCAACAGGGCTGTCTTATAAGACAGAGTCTTAAAATCCACTGTCTCCAGGGGTTCAAAGTGATCGCCTGTAAGTTCATCCAGAACCAGTGCCAAATCCCATGATGGGGAAAGTGGCTTGGAGACCGGACGGTGACGGCACGCTCCCTTCATAAAACAACGAACCAGGGGGTGAGCCCCGATCATCGTCACCTAGTCCTACATGGCAGGCTGAGATCGCCGCCAAGTAGACCTTAACGGTAGGAAAGGCCTTGCTCTTGTCGAGCAATCCCTGTAGGAAGGAGAGAACAGCAGGGATGGAACACTGAAAGGAGACCAACTCGCATCTCTCACACCACCTCTTGAATACCCTCCACTTCAGGTCTTGTAAAAGGGGCTCTGGCACTCTGAATTGTGGCAACCACGTTCAGTGGCAAGCCCACCGAGTCTAAGTTGGAACTCTGACGGGCCAGGCCTAGAGATCCATCAGTTCAGGATGAGGGTGAAATATTTCGCCCTGTGCTTGCGATAACAGATTCCTGCACTATGGGAGGCACAATCTCCGCCAGCCATGGCTTCCCGGGCCAATGCGGGGCTATCAGGTTGAGGGATAGACCGTTCGCGCTCACTCTGTCCAGAGTAGGGGGGGATCAGGCCCACTGAAAGGAAGGCGTACAGAAGCACGTCTGGCCACTTGTGATCTCTCATCGCGAAGAACAAGCGACAGTGCGCATTGTCCTGTGATGCGTACAGATCGACAGCAGTCCTGCTGTAATGACCCCACATCTCCTCAACGACTTTGGGATGAAGTCGCCACTCCCCTGGTTGGTGGTTCGCCCGCGACAGTAAATCCGCACCAGAGTTTAGTCTGCCTGGCACATGTGTTGCTCTGAGAGACAATAGATGTTTGGTGCTCCATAGCAAGATCTCTCTCGCCAGAGAGTGAAGTTGACGGAAGCGCGTTCCTTCTTGCCGGTTGATATACGCCACCGTAGACGTATTGTCCGACCTGACCAGGACATGTTGGCCCTGTAGGAATGGATGGAGGTGCCTGAGGGATAGTAACACAGTATAGAGCGGGTCCAAGCGGAGTGAGGTCAGCCAACGCTTGAAGTCTCTCATGAGGAGGAGACCAAGTGGAACTACCACAATCATGGAGCCCAAGAAGCCTCTGACACATCCAGTACGTGACTGATGTTGCCGGGCAAAACACTTACGAGGCAGTGGCAAAAAGCCCATCACTCTCCCCACGGTGAGGGCTGCTCGACAGGCTACAGAGTCCAGAGAAAATCCCCAAAATATTTTATCCTGGGTCGGTAAGAGCATTATCCTGAAGCCTAGAGCAAGCAGGTGCAACAACAGCTGGGCTGTGTGCTCCGCTGCCTGAGCCCGAGTGTCCGTGCAGATCAACCAGTCGTTGATGTACACTACATGGCCAAAAGTATGTGGACACCCCTTCAAATTAGTGGATTTGACTATTTCAGCCACACCCGTTGCTGACAGGTGTATAAAATCTCCATAGACAAACATTGGCAGTATAATGGCCTTACTGAAGAGTTCAGTGACTTTCAACGTGGCACCGTCATAGGATGCCACCTTTCCAACAAGTCAGTTCGTCAAATTTCTGCCCTGCTACAGCTGCCTCGGTCAACTGTAAGTGCTATTATTGTGAAGTGGAAACGTCTAGGCGCAACAACGGCTCAGCTGTGACGTGGTAGGCCACACAAGCTCACAGAACGGGACCGCCGAGTGCTGAAGCGCGTCAAACTCGTCTGCCCTTGGTTGCAACATTCCAAACTGCCTCTGAAAGTAACGTCAACACAAGAACTGTTAGTCGGGAAATTAATGAAATGGGTTTCCAAGGCTGAGCAGCCGCACACAAGCCTAAGATCACCATGCGCAATGCCAAGCGTCGGCTGCAGTGGTCTAAAGCTTGCCGCCTTTGGACTCTGGAGCAGTGGATACGCGTTCTCTGGACTGATAATCACGCTTCACCATCTGGCAGTTAGATGGACAGATCTGGGTTTGGCGGATGCCAGGACTACGCTACCTGCCCCAATGCATAGTGCCAACTGTAAAGTTTGGTGGAGGAGGAATAATGGTCTGGGGCTGTTTTTCATGGTTCGGGCTAGGCCCCTTAGTTCCAGTGAAGGGAAATCTTAACACTACAGCATACAATGATATTCTAGACAATTCTGTGCTCCCAACTTTGTGGCAACAGTTTGGGGAAGGCTTTCCTGTTTCAGCATGACAATGCCCACGTGCACAAAGCGAGGTCCATACAGAAATGGTTTGTCAAGATCGGTGTGGAAGAACTTGACTGACCTGCACAGAGCCCTGACCTCAACTCCATATTAATGCCCATGATTTTGGAATGAGATGTTTGATGAGCAGGTGTCCACATACTTTTGGTCATGTAGTGTACGTCAGGACTCTTAAGCCTCTCTCCTGTAGGGTGGCTAGGGCGGCTTCGGCGGCTTCGGCACACTTCATGAATGTCCGTGGGGCAAGGGACAGACCGAATGGTAAGGTGAAATATTCGTAGGCTATGCCCTCGAAGGTGAACCTAAGATATCTTCTATTTGCATGATAAACTTCGATGTGGAAATAAGCATCCTTGAGGTCTACTGTGGTGAACCACTCGTTCGGCCGAATTGAATGTTACAGCATGCGATGCAGATGGGAATGTGTTCCGGACATGTAATGCCCGCAATTGCCAGGGCAAGCTTTGGCTTGGCTTGCGCTGCTTTTCTCCCCCTTCCCTGACGACTTGGCCGGTAAGCCTGTCGACATCTCACTTCGAACGGACAGACGAAAGCAAATGGAATTCCCGGGGGGCTAGCTAGCCACTCCACGCGCTGCTATTACGACGCCAGGAGAGACACTGGGTAACGTGAGCTTGAGCCAGGTAAGCAGAAAGCTTTATTTACCAGGGTGGTGGGAAATAAATGCCATCTTTATACTTTCGGTGTAGTGAAAGTAGAGCCAACAGTGATGCTAGCTAATTATCTGTCTATCTTCACCTGAGTGATGATAGCCAGCTAGCCGAGCCGTCGCGTGAGATACCAAGTGCCGACTCGTGTGTAGAACGAACGGCTGGGTTATCTTTCACAGGGGAATGTAAAAGGGATGGTGCTTCAATGGTGGAGTAACACACTGAAGAAACAGCACCGCTCATACTAGCCAAACAAACCGAATGGGGGTTTAGCCCAAAGGTTTTATAGCTAAAACACCAGTGGAGCCGTTAGCCCACTACATAGCCAAGACACTCGAAAGTTCAGCTAGCTAACGCCGAATGGTGGAAACCGACGTAGAGCTAGAGACCCCAGGTAGAAGTAGCTAAAATGTGTGGGAACCTGCTATTAGCGGGATGCAGTGGAGCTAGCTAGCTAACAACGCCAATTGTGTGTAGGCAACAGGTGTACTGTAGCTAGCCGACGACAAAAAGTGCTGCTAACAAGCTAACTAAGGTATCTTCACTCTGTAAAGTGAAGCTGAAGTTAGCAGAATTCCTGAAAAGAGAAAATAAGCCACTCAATGCTCTGTGGTGGGGTGATAACCCACCCGGAAGGAACAGTTAAGTTGAGAGCTAGTTTTCTGAAGAAAGCTGCTTAACGAGCTAGTCACCAAATAGACTTGTGAAGAGGCGAAGAAAGAGAACACCAGAGCAGTGCAGGGTGTTATATAGACACGCGGGCTTACACCCACAAAGCTCTGATTGGCCTGTTAGGCATGATTGAATAAGGCTTCAACCAATGACCCGCAAAAGAGGGCGTGTCCCATAGTTAGATGTCGAACCGAGTCGACTGAAAGAGAACATAGGCCTACTACACAAAAATAAAGCGATACCAAAGGTGTTGTGAGGTTGGTAATGAGAGAAATGCTATTGGTGTGAAGATTGAGGTGGGCAGTCTGGGAACAGGTTTGTTCACCTCAGTACGTGGGGAAGTCTGCCTCTGCCTGTAGGTCTATGTCGTCTGTGTTTAGTGTGATCTGATTGGAAAGCAAAGAACCACTGAAGGGCCATTTTGAAATACTACAGATCTCCTGTGCACAAAGATGCGTGTTAACACATGTAGACATACCTCTCCACTGGTGCTTAGCATGCTTATTGTGAGTAGTCCCCCACCGCGCAGAGAGGTGAACATCACATCTGGGGTATCAATGCCCTCCGGTAGAAGGAAGTTCTGGTTCAGCTACATGATGACCCAAAGACGAGAATAGAGATATTCTGTAGTAACAGTTAACATTACTATGGAGCAGAATGCCAGAGGGGCTTGGAAGAGTCTGTAGAGGAACGTGACAGCACATGAAAGTGTGTGTGTAAGTTAGAGTACGAGAGAGATACAAAGAATGAATGTGCTTACTCTCTGTGGCCTGTCGTTGATGGTGAAGGTGACTTTCCCAGTAGGTTGAGATACCTCAGGATCAACATTAAGATCATACATGGAGAAGCGAGGCAGCTGATGCGTGATTTCAAAGACGTGGAACTGAATGCTGGAGGAAAGGATAAGCACATTCAAATTACAAAATTATTTATTGTTGTTATTAGACAGAGCTAAAGTACTGCTAAAGTTACAAAGTTGGATAGTAATTGATAGTCAAAATAAATGATTGGTTGTTTTAAAGTGTGAATTTCACTGGCAAATCACTTCATTAAAACATTTATGCAGAGGACTCAGCTATGTCTCTTTCATAATTAAAATATGTGTACCTGCTCTTGCCGCCAACAAAAGCTTTGATGTGTAGATCCACAGGGATATCTTTGGGAGGAATGATGGGAACACGGATACAACCAGACCGATTCTGGGCACTGGGGTGTACCAACTGACTTTCACCCTCGAGAATTCCCTCAGCGAACATCAGCACGGCTCTAATGATGGTCTCTGTAGGGGGAAATCCAAGAGGTCAGTACTCAGCCCACTTAGTTACCACAGCAAGCCACATGAGGCTGCACATTCTAGAATTATAGGATGGTGAGTGGTGAGAGTGATTGGGTTCAATGTGGGACAGGCTGAGGTTTGGTCAGCATGGTGAGTTTCTGTGTGGTTTTAGGGCTGTGTAAGTGAGCTGCTTACTGGGTTTTGATGACAGTGCATGAGTGTGTTAGTGGTTCGTAGGGAGGGTATCTCTGTGGGGTGATGTTGTTTACCATTGGGCGTGGAGATGCTGAGCTCTATGTGTGCCCTCTGGGACTCTGTGGCAACTCTGACAGAGGGCAGTCTAGAGCTGGGTATTGGCTGGTATCACCCCCATCTGGGTATCCCCTTCTGAAGCCCCTGGGACAGCCTGTCACCAGAGACACAAGACACACAGTCCTTTACACTATGGTACAAACCCTATGCGTGTGTTTGCTTGTACATAGTGTGGGAGGATCATAGTGTTCTCCTCAGAGTAAGTTTGAATGTTTGTCTGAGGTGTGGGTGTTTGATTGTACATGTAGGCTTTAGCGTTCTCTTCTAATATCAGTTACTTCAAAGAGAGTTTCAGTGTGTATATATGAATGTAAAAGTGTGTTTGGTTGTAGCTGTATCCTCATAGTTGATTCTGTGAAAGTGTTTGTCAGTGTGTGTTCTTAGTAGGGCTGTCCCCGACTAAAAAAAATCTTGGTCGACCAATTGATTGGTCTAAATGTTAAAGCGTGAATTTTTCCATATATAGACACCCTATGTTTGAATAAAATCAACTATATATAGACTACTGAGCTTGTCTGATGCTTTAAGCACTGCGATTAAAAATGATGACATAAAATGACTAAAGAGGGAGCCAGAGATCAATATCGCTTAACCAGAAGAAAAAAACCTGTTCCCGACCCTCCTCCTCCCGCAACCTTTCCCATTTGGAGTGCCAAGTTATCGTACCATTTCTACTGATCTGTATGCCAGTTATGATTTTCATATGCACATTTTCGTGGAACAGTTTCATTTCATTTATAATAAAGTCTTCATATCTCAAAATCAATGTCATGTGGTTAATCAAAATTCTATCTAAATGAAAATGATACAAATCTAAAAGTAACTTCTATTGCCATTGCCAATATGTAAAAGTAGCCTACATAAAGCCAACAATTAAAAACATTAAAGCCAACAAATAAAAACATTGCAGCCCGCAGGTAGACAATATCCTGATAAAAACCACATTGGCTACGCATGGCCTGTCTGCAAGGAACTTGACACATTGTGTCAACTATTAACTTGGCCCAGCATGAGCTAGCAAACTTGCAACATTGTAGAAAATATTCTGGGCCCTCAGTTTCCTGCTCCAGTAAGCTCCGGACAGACACAGCTGTAGGCTATTTGCGCAAGGGATACAAAGTAATCAGGTTGGCATATTTTATGACGTTTCCACCGGATCAGAGCATGACATTTTTTTCCCCTTTCATGCTGAGTGGTTATCGAAAGGGAGAGAGCTGGAAAGATTTTTCTAATAGGCTATGTTGAGGAACAATTGTCCTTCTCAATTGCTGTTTGAGGCTAAGAAAAAATTACTTTGAGAAGCTCCACAGTGATGGTGAGTTAAGACAATCATAAATTGTATCAGATCCCTAAATGGGCATATTTATAGGCCTACATTTGCGTGCAGGCCAGGTATCCTAGGCCTACTACTACAGTGAGGGAAAAAAGTATTTGATCCCCTGCTGATTTTGTACGTTTGCCCATTGACAAAGACATGATCAGTCTATCATTTTAATGGTAGGTTTATTTGAACAGTGAGAGACAGAATAACAACAAAAAAATCCAGAAAAATGCATGTCAAAAATGTTATAAATTGATTTGCATTTTAATGAGGGAAATAAGTATTTGACCCCTCTGCAAAACATGACTTACAGTGAGGGAAAAAAGTATTTGATCCCCTGCTGATTTTGTACATTTGCCCACTGACAAAGACATGATCAGTCTATAATTTTAATGGTAGGTTTATTTGAACAGTGAGAGACAGAATAACAACAAAAAAATCCAGAAAAACGCATGTCAAAAATGTTATAAATTGATTTGCATTTTAATGAGGGAAATAAGTATTTGACCCCACTGCAAAACATGACTTCCCTGTTGGCAATCACAGAGGTCAGACGTTTCTTGTAGTTGGCCACCAGGTTTGCACACATCTCAGGAGGGATTTTGTTCCACTCCTCTTTGCAGATCTTCTCCAAGTCATTAAGGTTTCAAGGCTGACGTTTGGCAACTCAAACCTTCAGCTCCCTCCACAGATTTTCTATGGGATTAAGGTCTGGAGACTGGCTAGGCCACTCCAGGACCTTAATATGCTTCTTCTTGAGCCACTCCTTTGTTGCCTTGGCCGTGTGTTTTGGGTCATTGTCATGCTGGAATACCCATCCATGACCCATTTTCAATGCCCTGGCTGAGGGAAGGAGGTTCTCACCCAAGATTTGACGGTACATGGCCCTGTCCATCGTCCCTTTGATGCAGTGAAGTTGTCCTGTCCCCATAGCAGAAAAACACCCCCAAAGCATAATGTTTCCACCTCCATGTTTGACGGTGGGGATGGTGATCTTGGGGTCATAGGCAGCATTCCTCCTCCTCCAAACACGGCGAGTTGATTTGATGCCAAAGAGCTTGATTTTGGTCTCATCTGACCACAACACTTTCACCCAGTTCTCCTCTGAATCATTCAGATGTTCATTGGCAAACTTCAGACGGGCCTGTATATGTGCTTTCTTGAGCAGGGGGACCTTGCGGGCGCTGCAGGATTTCAGTCCTTCATGGCGTAGTGTGTTACCAATTGTTTTCTTGGTGACTATGGTCCCAGCTGCCTTGAGATCATTGACAAGATCCTTCCATGTAGTTCTGGGTTGATTCCTCACCGTTCTCATGATCATTGCATCTCCACGAGGTGAGATCTTGCATGGAGCCCCAGGCCGAGGAAGATTGACAGTTCTTTTGTGTTTCTTCCATTTGCGAATAATCGCACCAACTGTTGTCACCTTCTCACCAAGCTGCTTGGCGATGGTCTTGTAGCCCATTCCAGCCTTATGTAGGTCTACAATCTTGTCCCTGACATCCTTGGAGAGCTCTTTGGTCTTGGCCATGGTGGAGAGTTTGGAATCTGATTGATTGATTGCTTCTGTGGACAGGTGTCTTTTATACAGGTAACAAGCTGAGATTAGGAGCACTCCCTTTAAGAGTGTGCTCCTAATCTCAGCTCGTTACCTGTATAAAAGACACCTGGGAGCCAGAAATCTTTCTGATTGAGAGGGGGTCAAATACTCATTTCCCTCATTAAAATGCAAATCAATTTATAACATTTTTGACATGCGTTTTTCTGGATTTTGTTGTTGTTATTCTGTCTCTCACTGTTCAAATAAACCTACCATTAAAATTATAGACTGATCATTTCTTTGTCAGTGGGCAAACGTTCAAAATCAGCAGGGGATCAAATACTTTTTTCCCCTCACTGTATGTGTAATCAGGTGTGTGTCCTTACTCAAGATTGACAGGAGCACTCCAAACAAAAGACAATTAATAAATTGACAACTCATAAATGGAATTAAACTGGAAACTTTTTTTTTTGGAAACTTTTTTCTCACAAGTATAGCCTACGTAGTGCACTCCGCACACAACATGTCCACTCCTACAATGACAACGGTAAGACTGTAATAATAATATATTGAATGCATTAACAGACAGTCCCCTGTAGCTCAGTTGGTAGAGCATGGCACTTGCAACGCCAGGGTTGTGGGTTCGTTTCCCACGGGGGGGGGCAGTATGAAAATCTATGCACTCACTAACTGTAAGTCGCTCTAGATAAGAGCGTCTGCTAAATGACTAAAATGTAAATGATTACCGTAACCAAACAAACATTGTAGATTAGAAATGATGGGAATTAACGGTAGGCTAAATGTACTATTGATGATACTGGAGTGCCAACCCTGCGGCCTCCACAATGATTTAGTCTGCTCAGAAAGGCGTGAATCAGACAAGTGTCTCATGTGCCAGAAACATTTTTTTATTTATATTTGCCACTGCTTGACTAACAAAATCTCGGTCGACCAACAGCCTATCGACCAAACAATCGACCAGTGGACTAAATGGGGTCAGCCATAGTTCTTAGAAACCTTGGCATTCTCCTCATAGTTGTGTAGTTCTAGTAGCAGGTTCTGCCTGCGCTGGCTCAGCTCTCGGATCAGATCCTGCTCCACACCGGAGTCCATCAGGTTCCCCTTCATCTCCTTACTGGCAGGCAGGTAGCCACACACTGACAACAAGAATGCAACACATTGGATGTCAAAGACAGCACCAAGTCGACATATGGTGCAAATTCTGAGAGAATACACACAAATAAACTAGGCCTATACGAAGTACTAGTAGTGTTACTCATGTCTTTCCCTTCTCCCTCCACAGAGGTACAGATGAGCTGGATCTGTCCATCCATGCGATTGTCCCCCTCCACCACTCCAGCAGACGAGAAGCTGTCTTTGAAGATAGCTTCACCTGTTAGATCGCGCCGTGCATCAATCTGTAAATTAAGGTGAAGTCAAGGGGCCTTACAACATTCATAACACTTGGAGGAAAGGCTGGTGCCAAGTGTCAACCAGTCCCAGACAATGTGAAGGATTAGAGGACTTTGAAGACTCTCCTTGATTGGTTCTGTACTCATTTGAACAAATAGGTCTTCTTGATTGCTCTAAATCGATTATCGACTGACACATCAAGGTGGTTTACCTTTCCATTGGACCAGCCCTTGATGAGTCCTACAACACCGTCAGCATTAAGGTCAAATACAAGGATGCTCATTGCATGGTTTTTAGACTGCAGAGGGAAAGAGGGACCGTTATTGGCACATCTTTAAACATAAAGCTGGTGCAAATTCAATATGTTTTGTGTAAAGTGACAGGGATGCATTAAGAAGGAAAACTAATATTCCACCCATTCAAACATGCAGGACCTTGATTCTCCAGTAGTGGGCAGTGCGGTCATATACACCCACTGTTCCATTGGCCAGAGCATAAGCAAACCTGCTGCCATGCATCTGAAAGACACAAAGAGAGAACAATCAGCACACATCCTCTCTTTGCTGACATTTTCTGTACTATACACAGCAAGATTTTGTAAGTATTGAAACATAAAATAGCAGCAGAAACACAGCTCTGCGTATGCAATATGAGCTATACCTAGTTTTCACAAGTTCATCTTTGAATAACCTAATGTCAAAGTCCTCTGATCCGACAAGAAGCTGCAAAGACCAGACAAAATAAAATGTGTACAGTATATTACCCATTTTAGGATCTAGTATATTTATGTAATAACAACATTTGAAGTCGTCTAGCTGTACATTGCAAAGTACTTGCTTTCATCTTTGGATGAAACTTCTGCAAAATAAAATGTCACACCTCATTTTTTCCATCGCCAGTAAAACACAGAGAACCAATGACCGGACGTTATCCTCCGTGACCTGAAAAGGAACCCAGACAACCAGACATAAACAGATATAATTTACTTTATTGTGGTAAAACTATTCCTATTTCAATTTCAATGTTGGACAACAGTTCACATGATCAAGAGGAACACGATCCATACCGTCCAGAACTGGTCATCCCCTCACAGTCAAATCCTTGTAAGGCACAGTTTCCTCCGATGATGGTGAGGGGGGACTCAATGTTTGCCAATTTCCCTAAAACGATGGCATTGGCCCCATCTGTCACCTAGAGAGAATATAAAGGACATAGCATTATTATTTGCAAAACTGTATTATTATGTAATACAACTACAACAGAAACATGATTATGTTGTATCATTGTTTCCTGTCCAGTCCTTGGCTTACCTCTTTGTAGAAGATGTCAGCATTGTTGTGTACGTCATAGGCCAGCAGGTTTGTCTGGGTGTCTCCAGTGGTTTTGGGTCCTAGAGTACCAGCTGTCAGGCAGCTCAAAGCCTGGTTGATGTTGAGCAAAGAGATGTCCGAGTCCTGGGGCACTCTGGCTCAGACGGTGGGCTGCCTGCCGCTGGCCACGCATGTGAGGGTTATGGATGAACACCTGATAGAAGAGAGAAGATTGAATCACTTGAGCTGGAGTGCTATATTACAATGCATCAAGCTTCATGCATACATGTAAATGGGAACTACCAAAGGGAACTGGGCGAGGTCATATCTTCCCTGATTGTGTGGCTGCAGTGAGGCATGGGGGGATCCCTTTAAACTTGCCCATTGTAACCATGCGCGGGTTGATTTTATGGTTCATCTTGAGGGTGAATATAGGCACCAAAATGGTGGCACAATCCTAAAACAAAAATAACCAATTACAGTACATATTGTGTGCGTGTTCTGCTGGTTGTTTGTTCTGAGATGAGTATGAAATTGAATCATCACTGCTGGAGATGCATGCATGTTGCATCCAAATTACCCTCATAAACGTTGTTTTTACACTGCTGCTACTCGCTGTTTATTATCTATGCAGTCACTTTACCCCTACCTACATGTACAAATTACCTCGACTAACCTGTACCCCCGCATATTGATGCGGTACCGGTACCCCTGTATATAGCCTCGTTATTGTTATTTTATTGTGTAACTTTTTTTTTTTTACTTGAGTTTATTTAGTAAATATTTTCTTAACTCTATTTCTTGAACTGCATTGTTGGTTAAGGGGTTTGTAAGTAGGCATTTCACGGTAATGAAATTGTATTCCGCGCATGTGACAAATAAAATTTGATTTTGAAATGGCTTACTCCAGTCGCCCGCTGGGTGTCCCGGCGTTACCTAGTAACACAGGGCTGTTTCCCAAACCTAGTCCTGGGGCCACATTTTGGTTTTTGCCCTAGTACTACACAGCTGATTGAAATATCAAACTCATCATCAAGCTTTGATTATTTGAGTTAGCTGTGTAGTGCTAGGGCAAAAAAACTAAACGTGCACCCAGAGGGGGCCCCAGGACCGAGTTTGGGAAACCCTGATCTTGCTAATCCCAGTTGTTTGCGCTCCAGTCCATTTTTATTTTTTTTCACCTTTATTTAACCAGGTAAGCCAGTTGAGAACAGGTTCTCATTTACAACTGCGACCTGGCCAAGATAAATGTTCATTGTTTTGGCTCCTCCTAGTCTTCGAAAATAGCCAACATAGATAAACAGATAGCTAGATAGATATCTATCATAGCTATGACTAATTCAAATATTGTTAGTACTACAGTGCGACATTTCAGTAATTCTCTTTCCCAAATGAACACATCCACAAGTCAGTCAGCGATTACTCATCACTGTAGCTAACTAGCTAGGTATATTTATTCCCCCTATTTCCATATGTAACAAGGCATGAGATATGTCGACAGAACATACAACACATTTTATATAGTTAGCCCATTTGATAAAGCGAGACGATATCTTGCCGAAGTCCTCGATGTTTAGCTGTCTTTAACGGTCAATGTTTCTGGGTTAGCTAGCTAGCTACAACCATGCTAACGTGCCAAGGCAACAAGACGCTTTCCCTCTTGCAAATGACGTCACTTGTCACTCAAAGCTGCTGAAGTTACTTTGTCGCGAACACATCATTCGACCGTACCAACCAAGTGATTTGAAGTCATCATCGTTCATGGAGTTTAGAATAAACAGACTATATTAAATAAAATACCAGTATTTGGGGTTTTAAACAATAAATAAAAACGCTGTAAAAAAACGCTGTAGTTATTCTCTATTCTATTCTATATTTCTGTATTGATTATGACGCATATTAGGGTGAAGTAAATGCTTTTTTTTATATGATGAAAGATTAAAGTATTTATGAAAGGCTTGTAGAATAGGTCTGTATGCATCATTGTTTTATTTTCATAACTGTCATTTGTAATGAATTGTAGGACTGGCTGCTGACGGTGACTATTCTTATCACATTGTACCATGTTTGTGGTATGACACAGCTCATTTACTCAGGCAAGATATTCTAGAAAAATACTAACACTCAGTCGACGAGCGCAAAGTGATTCATTAACATTCGAATGTTGCTCGTCGCTCGTGTGCAGATAAAGGAACCACGGGACTGGAAGCTCTCAACACAGCACCAATGACAACACAACCCTCCCGCAAAAGTGACAACTGAACCATTGAATAACTGTTTGCGTACCGTGTGCACTGTGCACAGTAACGATGACTGTACAACAGAAAAGCAGTCAACAATGTAGTGATTTGTAAATCGTCATTTTAATATATTTTCCATATACACTAGGCCTATTCAAATTCTTCCCGACAAGTAATAGAATTATATTAACTTTTCGCATTCTAATCTATAGGCCTAGGTCTAGATTAGATTATAGTCTATAACAATTTAAATCATCATGAATTTGAACCATAAAATTAGATTGTGCCTGTAAAATAACAATATAATGGCCTTATTGATTACAACACTTCAGACCCTGGGCGTTATTGAAGGCATTCATAAATAAATAAAAATCACAATAAATGTTTGTATAGTTAAATAATGGTGTAGCCTTAATTAGTCGTGGTAATCAGGTTTATGTAACAGGCTATGGAATTTGGAAACAATAGGCAACTCTTCATTGATTATGTTCGCGCTGTATAATGAAATAACCCGTGTGCAAACCCTGATCTGCGTGAACGCGAGACTGTTTTGCACACGGCACACGTCTGTCCGGACGCTATAAAACCGTGCTTCGTCAACGAGAAATAAAAAACGGACAACTCACCAGTGAAATTAAGGCAACAATATTTCATTTGGATAAAGAAGGGAGATCAAAAACTGAAAAATGGATCCTTGTGAATGCGCCAAATGTAAGTTTTCATGTATATTGATCAATATAATCAGGATCTAGGCATATTTATTCGAAAAATCAACATGACAGGTAATTGGTTATCTATTAACCAACTGTTTTTTTTTGTAGCTGGATCTTGCAACTGCGGTGGATCCTGCAAGTGCTCCAACTGCGCATGCACCAGTTGTAAGAAAAGTAAGTGTTTTTGTTACATTCTAAATACCACTATTTTCAGATAGGCCTACATGGGCAATTTACCCAATCTCTGCTCAATGGTGTCTGGTGACACTTTACATGGGGAGGACGGGCTGGGCACCCTGTGATAACCTATCCCATCATAACCAAGTGGGAAGGTGGTATTTACCACATGACTGAGGAAAAAATACACTTGGACGCCCCTTCAACTGGAATTTAGTAGTAGGGAAACTCGTCTATGTCCCTGAGCGCCGACTTCTCCCACATGTTGACCTGACGCCACCTAAGGAAATGACTTAACTGCATTTTCAGCAGTGAAATTCAAATGCAAAACGTTAATAAAAAGCAATGTAATTATTTTTTAAACTCTATCATTTGTTTAGCAGCATGATGGCTGTACTTTATGGTCCATTAGAAAATCTGCGTTTCTCAATGAGATGACTGCATCCAACTGGTATAAGACTTTCCAACTGGTAAATAACATCTTCCCACTTAGTTATGAACACCTGGTAGCCCAATAATGGCGCTTTCAAGAGTACTCCGAACTAGGAAGTCTTTGACATGAGTATGTTGACGACTGGGGGGGAAACAACTTGACAACTCGGGCATCATCCTAGAGCCTCAAATTGCCTCGTTAATAGGTTATGCAATATAGTCTGTCATTGGTAATCACTAATCAATTGTTTTTGTCCCATCAGGTTGCTGCCCCTGCTGTCCTTCCGGCTGCAGTAAATGTGCCTCAGGCTGCGTGTGCAAGGGCAAGACCTGCGATACCAGCTGTTGTCAGTGAGGCCTGGTACATGACCGTGACAATGCAGTCATTCCCTATGAATATGAAATTGGTTGTACCATCTTGAACCTAGCTTTAGCATTTTGTACTTCGTCTGTTAAATGTAAAAAAATAAATGTCTTCAAACTTATTCAAGTTTAACTTTTACTGGGGGTGGGGAACTATGATTTTAAATGTTTTATCCACATGAAACTGACTAATCTACAATTGTTGGGTTGCTTTTTAGTAACCTTCCTGTGTCTACATGTGTCCTAATCCCTCCCTCCCGAGTTCGCATAGTAAACCATCTGTTTTATACATTTATGATTTTATTTTTTGTATTTGTGGATGTCCATCAATTTCTTATGATACTAATTACAACTTGTCTAAATAATTCAATGTTGTATTTATTAGGGATCCAAGCACTTACATCATACAAAATGTATAACACTAAACAATGTCCGTGTGCTAGCATGTCTCCACAGTACCTGCTGTTCCATAGTGTTATCAGGTTATTTCAATCTGATATTCCTGCTTGCATCAGTTACATGATGTGGAATAGTTCAATGTAGTCAAGGCTCTATATAATACTGTGTGCCTCTCATAGTCTGTTAATAATAATGGTCTTGGGGATTGTGAAGACCTTTAGCATGTCTTGTGGCGTATGCATGGGTGTCCGAACTGTGTGCTAGTAGCTTAAACAGAGCTTGGCACTTCAGTTTGTCAACACTTCTTACAAAAACAAGCGACGACTTCAATCTGTCCTCCACTTTGCGCCATGAGCGCTTGACATGCCATGCTGCCCTGTTCTGAGCCAAAAGGAAAATGACAAAGTCTCTCTCTGACACCTAGGGCCTATAGGACATTCCTTGTTGATAGTGTTAAGGCAGAGCAGCGCTTTATGAACAGATTTCTCCCCATCTTAGCTGTTGTATCAATGTGTTTTGACCATGACAGTTTACAATCCAGGGTTACTCCAAGCAGTTTGTGGTTAACATTAGCTAGGTTTAGGGGGAAGGGTTAGCTAACATGCTACCAAGTTAAAATGCTAACGTTGTCAAATTCTGGTTAACCTCAACCCCCCCCCCCCCCCCCCCCCATAAGTAACTGTTCTTGTAACCTATCATACCAATTTGAGTGTCCTGTATTTGTTTACTATTTTACATCTAGTCTATGAAACCAGGCTGGAGAGCCACCCCATTAGGCAGACAGAACTTGCCCTTTTAAAAAATGGTAAACTGCCTGAGTGAACTAAATTTATCCACAATATGCTATACTGTCTCCCTAACAAAGGCTAGAATAGGCTTGCAGTATTTGGATGGGAGACACATGGGAACCAATTGCTGCTGGGGACCAAAGTATGCTGTTGCAGAGTAATTGCGGGGACAATGTGCTGGTGTGAAGGTCACATTCACACAGTCCTGATGCAGTGGTTCCTGTAAGTCTGATGTTATTACCCATCCTTGACCAAGTTTCTGGTATCTAATCTTCTCCAATGTAAATCTAAATACTACACACAGGACTGTCATACTACATTAGTTTATACGTGCCTAATTGTCCTTTTATCCACTGTACTTTTTGTTTATGTATACATGTGTATAGATGGGTTGGCCGACATCATCGATGTGGCCGGAAAGCATGCATTATGATTCTGAACGGTGCGATAACTAGCAACAATAACAAGGCTGCCATGTGGGAAATCATAGGTGGCTCGTTTCAGTGTATTGATACAATGTCTTGTTTTGACTGATGTCATGACTATGCTAATATGGCAAAAATTCGCTAGTTATCTAACCAACAACTAATGTATTTGAAAGAAGTGCTCATTGTGCAAATGTATTTGTTTTCAATAAACATTTGGAAACTAAATATAGTTTACATGTTAACAGGCTAAGCCAACCATCTGTTTTGCCCCATGGTTGCTCACGCGTCTTTTGTTGCTAAACAGCCAACCCCTCTATAGATGTTATCATATTCTATATTCATTATAGATGACGTCTGTACCATGTTTGACATTTGTTTTTAGTGTTTCAAAACTCAAATTTGAGTGGTCCACAATGTAAAAAAAAAAAATCTGTATTTTGTATTGTAACATTGTGGAGTGACACGTAAATAAAATGTACTAACACAGTTAAACCTCTATGTCAACACAATGCTTTGAGATTAGTGATTAATAGTAGATTAGGTTGAGGAGTGTTTACATTTACGTCATTTAGCAGACGCTCTTATCCAGAGCTATCACCTCCATTACACTCCAGCGCAGCAGGTGGCAGCAGAGAGCTACCCAAAAGTAAAAAGCGCAATGTCATGTGGGAAAACGAGACATCATCCAATCAGCGTAGACCTCAGAAGTGCCGGAGTGAAATGTATGTAAGACTGGAGAAAAAAATGAGATAAGCGCAAAAGAGTGAAAACAACTGTCATAACTACTAGTTGTGGGACAAGGGACAGGATCATTTGCTATCTAGGCTTCTTGTAAGTTGCCCAGCTAATACGCTTTACAACTAGCTAGGAATGGTACTAGTTATCCTGCTAGCACCATTCATCAGTACGCGGTCTGCCCTTGCATGACACTAGCCAGCTTGCTAACGTGCTTTCCTTTGTACCTGTCTAACGTCAGCTAAACGAAGGAATTATTTTAAAATGTTGATGGCAGAAAATGTGTAATTGTATTTTAGTTTTTGTAGACAGTCGTATCAAAATATATTCTTAGTAAGAGGCTCACCACGACTGCAAGCTAGCCTAATAGCTAATCGCGCTAAGGGGGCATGCGCGCGCTGGGTTGGATTTTCGGACAACAGAGGAAATGGCTCCAAACAGACACATGAGATTAGTTTGTACATGGTATGGCCCATGACAGATTAATAAACATTGATTTTCATAGAACCTGTCCAGTGATCAGTCCTGGTCTGGACAACATAATTTCATACACAAACATTACATACCATAGGGCGGCACACAATTGGCCCAGCGTCGTCCGGGTTTGGCCGGTGTAGGCCGTAAATTGTAAATAATAATTTGTTCTTAACTGACTTGCCTAGTTAAATAAAGGTAAAATAAAAAAATTGACTATCATACACTATTTTTTTCAAGTCTTTATCTAGAATGTTTTGTGGTATCTAGAATGAATGATATCTGGAATCAGCGATTAGGCATAAACAAATCAAATTGTATTGGCCACATGCGCCGAATACAACAGGTGCAGACATTACAGTGAAATGCTTACTTACAGCCCTTAACCTAGAGTGCATTTATTTTTAATAAAAAAGTGTTGAGAAAAAAAGAGCAGAAGTAAAATAAAATAACAGTAGGGAGGCTATATATACAGGGGGGTACCGGTGCAGAGTCAATGTGCGGGGGCACAGGCTAGTTGAGGTAGTTGAAGTAATATGTACATGTGGGCAGACACAGTCACTGATTTGTTTAAATAACATGTTCCAAGCAGGATTAGGATAGCTAGCAGTCAGATTGTTACGGGCTATGTGATGCTCCATTAGCCTTACTTACAGGTTAGGTACTGTTTGGTGTAGTACAGAGAATCTTAAAGTGGCAATACCCTACTTCCTCAATTCGGACTTGGAAGAAGACAACCAATGTCTTAGAAAATGCTCTGTCATTAAATTAAGTAATTAAAAAAAAAACCTATGAAGTCATCCAACAATGTGTAGGCCGCCATATTGTCTATTTCAAATCTTCTTTCATTGATCGAGACAGGTGTCATCATGACATGTGGCACTTTGGGGTGGACTGCCACCTGTCTCAATGAGAGAAGATTTGAAATAGACGAGATGGCGGCCTACACATTGTTGGATTACTTCATGGAGCAAAACATTTATTTAATTTAGTAACAGAGCATTTTCTAAATTCAAACGAACCCCCTACAACTAGACATGGACGTTTAGAAGACATTGGTTTTGTTCCAAGTCGGAAATTGAGGAATTATCGACCAATTAAGGTTGGTCAAATTCTCTGCTATGCCAAACAGTACCTATCTATCAGCCAGCTGGAACAGAGTTATGGTTTGACTAGGCAATATTTTAAATAGTTAGGATTAGGATAGAGTCATGAAGACTGCATGCCATTTAATCCAGTATAGTTATATTTGTTTTAATCCAGCCATCCTGTCTCTTGACTTCCAGTGGTTGCCATGGAAGCGGAGGGCTTTGGAGAGCTCCTGCAGCAGGCAGAGCAGCTTGCAGCGGAGACTGAGGCCGTGTCTGAGCTTCCCCATGTTGAGAGGAACCTTCAGGAGATCCAGCAGGCTGGAGAGAGGCTACGCTCCCGCACCCTAACTCGAACATCACAAGACGCTGCTGACGTAAAAGCGTAAGTTCTCTCTTTTGTATCAGTCGCTGATATTTTCTTATTGAGCACTGTTACATGCACACAATAATTATTGTGGATAGTCAGGTTAATATAATAGTTTGTTTAAAACCTTTACATGCTTTGGAAGAAGAACGATTTCTCTAATAATCCTGTTTACATGGACACATCTGAAATCAGGCTACTAATGGGACTTTTGATAAATGCAGAACATCGCCAATCAAAATAACCATTCTACCACAGTGACCATGTTATTTTTGTGAAGACTATTTGATTCTGAGTTCGGACATATAAAGTTTCTATTTGAACTATTTCTAATTTGCATAATTTCAGTTTTTCCGAACACACTTCAATCGTGCATAAGAGGGAAGCTTGCACTACCTGGTGCTAGCACGTGCGCAGATCAAATACACCACTGGAACGCAGATTAAACTGTTTTATTAAACTGCCTATTTAAGATAAGCAGAGTAAGGCGTTTACATGACTAATGCCATACTCTGCCATAATCAGTTTAATATCCAATTATTAGTGTGCATGTAAACGTATTCATTGTAGAGATGATCCTCATATTCTGTGATATGATTTAAAATGAGATATGAAGTGTAGGCCATTTCCCTTTTCTAATAAACGTCTCTTTATTATTTTATGATTTTCCCTGTCATGAATGAGGCTGAGGGTGGTAAGATTTTGACGTTACCTGCACAAAGCTCGTCATTATGACTGGCTATTATTCAGATGACAATACATATGACTGCTAATAGGCTACTTGCAATTACATGATCTTGTCACGATTGTGTGTGATAGTGGGCAGATGTTTCATCTTACCTTGTCATCTGTATTTGTACTCTGGGACATTAAGTTTATGGGAGCGATCTTGTTATGTTAGAGATGTGTAGCTCTGTGTTATGTTCTGCATTGCATTCAACTTACTTCATGCCCTCTAGAGCAGGGGTTCTCAAGTGCTATTTGAGAAGGTCCGGTCACACAAATGTCCTAGGTGGTGAAGGTTCGGATGGAAATCGTGATTTATCGGCGTAGTAACTAACCCTAACCTCGCAACCAATGTGACCCCTAACTGTTCACACCTCTCTTGTTGGCGGAGAGAAAATTTAGCAGTTTTAAAGCTAATTTCCTGCAATTCTACACATTTTGCATGGGGCAAATAATTATTTGGCCTTTTTAAAGCTAATTTCCTGCAATTCTACAAATCTTTCTATGTCTTATGTGTGTTTATAAGAAACCAGGGTTCGAAGCCCAACCAGACCTCGGTTTGCCAGTTGAGGATGGGGACGCTAGAGGAAAGTCTACTAAACAAATGTAATTAGCTGTTTCCTCTGTTCCCTGTAGCTCCATCCTCCTGGGTTCCAGAGGCCTGGACATCTTCCACATCTCCCAGCGTCTGGAGAGCCTGAGTGCTGCCACCACCTTTGAACCTCTGGAGCCAGTGAAGGACACTGACATCCAGGTATTCACACTCTCTCTTTACGAGTGTGGGGCTGTTTGAGCTTTTGGGCTACTTTTTCATCCACACCTGTCCTGTTGTATGTCAGGACCTTCTCTTTTACATTTTTCAGAGGCAAGGGCAGCCGGGCAGGTGATGGTAATTAATGGTTTTTAGATTATGCTTTTAGTCAAACTGGCGAATTCGTATCTGGTTCTATTAATGTTACAGCTAAGGTTTACTGTGTAATGATTTTTATGCTAATAAGCAAAAGGCTGATGGATTCTGTTGGAGGATCATTGCAGTCTCTTGCTGGTGGTAGGATTAGAAATGTTTTGTGTCTAGGGAAATATGTCTGACACATGATGTGGAAAGTGTCCAAATATCTACTCATCGTTCTGTAGCCTATATCAAACCCACTGCCTGAAATGCATTCACAAAAGTTAACCCAACGTCCTTTACATTTATTTGAATTATCTTTGGTAGATGTCTATTTGATTCACATTGGGGGTGGTGTAGGGTTGTAAAATTCCAGTAACTTTGCCAAAATTCCCAGGTTTTCCAGAAATCCTGGTTGGAAGATTCCAAATTTTCCCTTCTGATTCCGTTAATCCTTCAACAGGGATTTCTGGAAAACCTGGGAATTTTGATACCATCAGAATTGGAAAAATTGCTCTGCCTCAACTGATTAAAAATTCATTAAATAGAGCCTAAATAAGATTTATAACTACCAGGGCTAAAATCTGAGAACATTTTCAGTAGGAATGATGGTATTCCAAATTGCGGATTAAGATAGTTATTGCTTACTACCGTCTGTCACATGAATTTGGGCTCTAAGCCCTCAGACTCATGACTAGCGATATGTAAAAAAATAACATGGACAAATATTTGTGGACATTTTCATAATAATCAGGGGTCAGCAACAACTGTATTTTTACTGGTTTCATATTACGGAATTACCCATTGATATAAAGTGGTGCTGTAATCTGTTCAGAACCAAAATAGATACATTGCATTTTAGTGTGTTTCAAACCCTGTCCAGTGTTCACTCATGATATGTGGCTGTTTTAGAAAAGGCACTATGGAGATATTTTCTGTTGTCTACACTGGCTTTTTCCTATTCTCCATGTGTGCTGTGGAATTACAGCTGGGCTGATTTGACCTGCTTTTCTATGGAAGTCAATAAAATGTGATGCCTGCTAATTAGTTAATGGTAGCACTTTGTGTTACATCAACGGATGATGTTTACAAATCTGAAGCTATTTAGTGGGAACAGTCTGAACTGTCTCAGATGAGGAAGAGAAGATGAGTGGAAGAAGCTCCAGTCAGTATACAGTATGTTGAAATATAATAAGAAAAATATGTTTAGCAGCAATACTATACAGTTATTCCATTGTGTTAGTGGCCTTCAGACTGTAGGGCCGGGACGATACTAGTATCGCAAAATTTTTTCCATGGCAAACATGAAAACACGAAGCAGACTAAACTCTTTGGTCCTTTGAAAACCTGCTTTATGTAAAATATTGTGTGCTATAGCTTGGGAAATAAATAAATGTGACTGGATGACAACATAATGATGTTTGTTTCCAGCAGTAGGGCTGTTTTCCTAAAGAAGTTAAATCTGCTTTGTGTACTGTTTCCTTGCCACGATACTAACGAGTATCGCGATACTGCTATCGTCCCGGCCCTAGAAGGCTACCATCCACTGGCCACTCCCAGACCGTCAAACTTTAACATACAATGTTCTCTTTTGCTCTTAATTGGGTAAATATTTATATTAGCAGTGATCTTAATATTGTTGCAAAATGTAGAAGAGGTGGGGGGGGGGGGCAGCAGATACTCAGGGAATGAGTGGGGTGGGGTGTTGATCTCCTCATTTTCTGATGACCCCAGTGCTCCCTCTCCCACCCATAATCCTCAACCTGACATGTGGTGGGCTGGCCGGATGGAGCCTTAGTTTTACTGGATGTGCACTTAGCCTCTTCGCAGGATTTAATCAGGCCCTTTTAGCTGGACTCAGTTGAGTGCTTGGGCCAGACACAGTGGGAAGTGGCTGGCCTTCTACTGTACTGTACTCCCTATCCACTATGCATAGTTGCATTTCTGTCTATTTTTCACATGATAGTTTTCATAGGCAATTAATGGAACATATGTTTTAGAAACGTGTGACCTTGTTCTATAAAGCCACATTTACTCTCACATTACTGGTGGCTCATGTGTTAACCTCAAGGGCAATGAGCCTCTAGTTGAGTCAAGGTACAGAAAAGCTATTAGATTGTCCACCAGTTTGAGAACAATCAATGAAATTTACTTTTCTCAAGTAGCCTATGTTACAATACAAACGGTGTGTGTTCCTTGATAGACTACATAGCAATCTTGCATACCTAGCCTATGTATTGCCACCCTTTGAGGTATTCATTGATCACGACAATTAGGCCAGGAAATGATACTTGTATGTATTGTGTGAGGTGGTACTGGTTGGCATTCTCCCCATTGTCTGCACTGCATTCATGGCTTGGTCTTTTCAGTAGCCTAGGTACTGGTAATAATATTGTGTGGTATTCTTTACATTGAGTGTGATTGCACTGTGTAGTACTTACTATATGTTCAAGTGCTGAAGGGTTAGGTTGGCTAACACAAAGGAAAAGCTGGATGCTGATGAGGCGTAGCCTCTTCTATCTCTATGTGGGCGGCTCACAGAGAGGAATTGAGGTGTGAATGATGTCTGTAGTATACATGGTTGCAAATGCATATGATTTATGTAGCCTACTCTGCATTTCTGGCCATTTGTTATATTTGTATGTGTAAAGATATGGCTCACGTCAGTGAGGATGGAGACAAAGAGCAAGAATTGAGGGTGATAGCAATAACCAAGGTAAAGAGGGAGCAAGAAGAGAAACGATGGACAGAACCAAAATGAAAATAGAATAGGGGGCGAGAAAGAGATGGGAAAAAAGAGTGGAAGGATAAAATGGCAGAGAGAAGTATATTTCTCTCCTGTTTTTCTGTTCCATATTTTTCTGCTCCTCCTTTCTCTCCCTCCCCCTCTTTCTCTGAGAGCAGCTATAGTGATGGAATGCATTCTCTTGACAGTCTGATAAGCGCAGCTGCTGCTACAGCAGACTTTGGTGAAATAGCTTCACATGTGCAGCCTGTGTCTGGTCTGTGCAGCCGTGTACTCTATGTATACCCCCCGAGAAGCCACTGCACCCTTCTCATTAACTAAACATGACTCTTTAAGAGGATTATTAGCCCACTTTCTGGACAGGATGTCGGAAGCCATCTGCAGAGGGAGAAAAAATCCATTACATGAATTGCATTGCGCTATGGGAAGAGGAAAAAGGGAATGATGCATATGTATAAAAAGGAAGAAATGAGTGGGACTGAGAGAAGAGGACAGCAGGGATGCTGGAAAGAAACAGGCGGCGGGGAAGGATCTACTGATGGAGAGGGGAAGACCTGTGAGGTTGAGTGATCACTCCTCCTGGATCCCCCCCTGTGTCTGAGGGCTGACTTGGTACAGTCCTCCAACAATAAAACAGCCTACAGTAACCATTCATGTGGTACATATCTGGGTTCACACCGGTGGCCCACATTGGGTGAGGAAGGTGCAGCATCTGCGATGCCGGGCCCGTCGGAGGGTCCGAAAACGCCCCAGAATGGCGCCGGCTCAGTTCTTCAGCTGGAGATACTAGGCAGTGTTTAGTGTCAGGCATAGGTCTGTCTACGCCTGGCTACCTGCACCTCTTCTCCTCTTCTCTCTCCCTGCCTGGCAGGCTGAGCCACAGCATGAGTGAGTATCACCTCCACACACAGACACACTGCGTTCATCTGCTCTGTCTGTGTCAAGATCTGTCTGTCACCTCTTTCTCGCTCCCTGTCACTCTATCTGTCTGTGACTATGAAGATGATAACGATGATTATGGTGGTGTTCACTTATATGAATGCTTATTCTCTACACAGGAAGTGGTGGCACAAGGGTGGGGTTACACCTCCCCTACTCCACTCATTGTCTCAGAGTAAATGAAGATGAGCTGCAGGTTTTTAGCTACTGACCCGTCACACTTAGTTTTTTTATCTCTGTGGAACTGCTGAGCAGCATTACACTAAGGGAAACTGTTGAAACATAGAATTAAACAAATCCAGATGACAGAGAATATATTTTAAGATGTTATAAAATGCTTTCTGTGTGTGGTGGTGTAACCATGTACAGACAGTAAAATCACTATCATTTGTGAATAAAAACATTGATCATTTCTGAACCCGTAGATCGCTTTAGACTGCTCGTTTGACCGAGCCCTGGGAAATATTGTATGTGCGCATGTATGTGACACGTATCAGCACCGTGTTATGGAGCATGTGTAACATGTACATTTGTTCTATGCTGTACCTTTATTTTCTCTAGTTCTACTTTAGTAAACAATAGTGAATGTTTTCTGTTCTTGCAAAACCGTAAGCAGTATACGCAATACAAATTGTGAGGGACAATGCAATTATGTAGAAGGTTCTAGAGTCAGACTCGCTGGCTATATTGGTTTACATACTGCATATGTGTATTTTGCTGGATATATGCCATGAATGTAAGATCCATTTGAGTTTAGAGCTTCTTTGTACATTACTCAGTGAGTTTACAGCTTATTTTGTTGCCTAAATATGAAATGATAGACTACAGTGTGTGATTTCAATTAAGGTTTATTTGGAAATGCATTAATCGCTGAAAATGCGGTTATGTTCCCCCTCCCTTTTGGACCCTTCACTTTCTGGGAACCATAGAATGAAACGCATAGCTACATCTCTAGGAAATGTATACATTTATTCCGATTTCTGTGTGTGGAGACATGACCTGAGCTCTCCTAGTATATAAATAGCTCCATTGTCAGCTCCTAGGGTGCAAACTGGGTAGAACCTGTTTCATTTGGAGAGCAGAATCTCCTGAGGGGGGCGCTCCTCTCTCTCTCTGCTACAGATGACCGGAGGATGGGAGGACCGAGCACAATGACTGAGCAAGAAATGTAATTGGCAAGATACAGCAGGAAATCTTCCTTTTGATTTATCTATTGAATAGAGGATAGATTACTTGTGATACTGAAAAGCCTCAGCCTCCCCCTCCTTTAGCTCTCTCCGCACTGTTCATTTACACTTGTCATTTGACGATCGGCTGCTGAAGAAGTAACAAGTCAATGATGATTTCTAGCTGTCAGTCAAGACGCGGATGGCTGCCACTCTGATGTATGGTCTGGTGATGCGATGGAGTGGACAGACAGGGGCGAGGGTTTGAGCCTGTGGTGAGGGGGAGGGCTGTGGTGCTGAAGCAGCTGTGAGGGGGAAGGGGAATGCTGCTCCGTTCGTCCTGGAGATGACGGGCGCGAAGACCGAGACGGTCTCCAGGAAAAGGCCCATTATCTGAAAGAATGCATAGGCTGCTATATTATTATTATTATTGTTATTATTATATTGACACCTGGAAAAGGACCGAATAGGCTTAGTTTTGCTCGTTCTTATTATTTTTTTTAGTTTCTGAATGTTCACATATTATAGTATCTTCTAATGTTATACGAGGAAGTGTACATGTGTGCCTGCAGGCCTTAAAGCCACATGCCATCTTTTAAAAACATCACTATGTCTAATAAATAACTTTTTTTTTTCTTCATGGAAATAACTTCAAATATATATTTGATCATTTATTTCCATGAGCCTCCTTTTGCCATTGAAATGCTCAGTCTGATCGTGTGGGCGTGTTGATACAAATGTAAATATATTTACATACACAGCCCTGATTGGCGGATAGTATCGTCTAGACTCTAGAGCCTACCCTGCTTACCCCTTCAAAGTAGTAGGATACATATGCAAATGAAAGATTACTGGTCATTGGTCAGACTAATCAGATTGTGATGTCATGCTTTGGGCCAAAAACTCTATTCCACTTGAACAGGCAGAAATTCCATGTGTTTTTTATTTATTCAAAAAGCTCTAAAAGGGCATTATCAGTTCCACAATTTCAGTGTTATTTCGACCTCCTAGTGTGGAAATAAAATAACCAATTTTAAAAGGAAAATCACTCTCTAAAACGCATGAGATTGTCTCTTATGTAACAGACTCTTATGGAATATGGAAAGCAACTATAGGCTAAATGATCAGATTTCTAGGGCAAGTTAATGTCCTCACATTGTGGAAGGGTGTGGCCGGTGTTTAGCCTAGATGATGTTAAACCAGTGTCCAGTATCACAGAGGATGGGCTTAGTGAGAGTGACATCCATTGTGATGACTGTCAGTGTCTTATCAGGGTATCTGTGTCATATTGGCAGGCTGGTGGCCACTATGCGTCAAAGTCATGGGCTTGGCTTTGGTTACTCATGATCCACGATGGCTCTATGGGCGATTTCAACACCACCATTTGGCATACAGTAAGCTAGCTCTTATTCTTGCCCATAGCCAACCCCACCCTGATTTAGATACATTGACCCCTCAACCACCACCCTCTTTTACATCTTTGCTGTATGTATGTGTGTGTGAGTTTCATTCCCGCTGCCCCTCTGGCTGCCTGGTGCAAGCGTACAGCTCTACTCTGAGGACGGTTCTGCCTGTTCTTGGTACAAAATGTTTTCTCTTTCTCTTCGGGCATCGGAAGGAGCAGAGTTTCTCTGTGCGTTCCAAAGTGTACATTAATTAGCTTACCCTGTAAGGGATGAGCACAGTCTACAGTGTGCATATTTGCTCATTAACCTCATGCTGTTAACTTGAGAAAACAAGAGGTCCATTTTAGGTATTGTAACTATAATAGTACTGGCATTTTGGGGGGTACTGAATGGTAAGCTTGCTATATCACCATTTTGACAGCAGACGGACATTGTACATTTTTAGTCTCTTCAAGATGCATCCAACCATCTCTTGTATATGATGTTAGCCAGTTGAATGTAGATGCTGATGAATTTCAGCCCACTGTGGAGTTTGTTCCCTAATGTAGGAAATTGAAGATGGGATGATATGAGGACAAAGGGCCAGGTGCTGTGTGTCTAATCGGCTGGTGCTCATCAGTCAGGCTTTGTTGAATTAACTGTAAAATTATTTGATGGGCTCTGGGTTTTTGCTCTGAAGTGTGGGGGATGGGTTGGAGCTGTATAGAATGAGCATGAAAATGTCCTAATGCTTGAGAAGATATGTAACAGGAGTTATTTTTGAGTGATTAGAATGTCAGGTCAGGAGGAGGCTTCTACTGCTACGCCCTGATTGTTGGCATCTCCCATTTTTAGCACAGCGATAATGATAGTTCTTCCTTGGTAGCCCTTGCAGCTACCGTCTTGCAGGAGCCCTGTATGTGTGTGGTCAAGTGGAAAGTAGGTTACAGTCAGTCTAACCTCCAGCCATTTCTCTCCTTCCAGGGCTTTCTGAAGAATGAGAGGGACAATGCGCTGCTCTCTGCCATCGAGGAGTCGCGTCGCAGGGTAGGTGGCACTCTCTCCTCTGACTAGTTGCTATGACCACACCCTCTTTGCACCCCATGTCCACATCTAATAATCCCATTTGTTTTACTTTTCTTTTCTTTTTTTTTACATACCTGGTGCATAGATGGGACAGATATGTTTCGGTCATAGATTGTATCGCCTAAGTTTTCTCTCCATGACAGCTTGGCATACCTAATTTTCAAATAATACGTACGCTACAGTTTCAATCAGTCTCACACTTTTGAATAAAAATAATAAACCCATACCCTCAGTTGCCAATCATGACTTGCTCACCTTGTTCTGATATAAACCCGTAACCTATTATCTTTTTTAAAATGGTTTCCTCTGCATGAGTTCAGAGCAGGTTTAATTAGGAACCGTTCCAATTATCATCCGCTGTCCCTGTGGGATTGAGAGAGACAAGAAATAGACAAGGTCTCTGGATTCTAATCGGTTCTTGACTAAATCTGGACCAGCCATGAATGCAGACCCATTTAGCGTCACAATCCCATCCCTCCACACACCCTGGCATCACAGGGCGTGACCCAGTTTGAAGAGCCGCCCCAAGTCCCAGATCTCACTTTTACTGTGTGGGGCCCCAGGATACCTGCATGGGTGACTGTGGTGATTGGAGGTGTTTATTGTGCACATATATCTCCCATGACGAGAGGTTTTGCGGTGTTAGCTATTTTTAACAAATCACATGATCTCTAACCCATTTATGCAGCCTAGCTTGGTTCTCTCAAATTCTTTCAAATTGGTCTGTCCAAATTACATTTGTTCTCTTTCTCTCTCTTTCGTACTTACATGTTCTTGTTCTCTGTCAGACGTTCCTCCTGGCAGAGGAGTATCACCGTGAGTCCATGCTGGTTCAGTGGGAGCAGGTGAAGCAGAGAGTACTGCACACCTTGCTGGGAGCAGGGGAGGATGCTCTGGACTTCAGCCAAGACGTAGAGGTCAGTGTCTTTCCATCTGATGTCTATCTTTGTCCTATACACCCTATGAACTCCAGTACATAAAGCACACATCCAGATATAATTGATATACTTAATATATGACTTGCACACATTTAGAAAATACACTCATCAAAAACTGGTACTAGCCCACATGGATGTTGTGGAATTCAATAACCACCTCCCATTTGCGAGAATTTACACACAAAAAAAGATATGGCAAGCACTCCTGTTTTTAATCATGGATAAAGAAAAGCCACATTCAGCTTTGGTTTTCCACCATGTTATCGGTCTTTACCAAAGCAAGCTTGGTTTTATGCAGACAGCTTTGTTTAGATTACCTTCAGGGCTCCATCTACTGTATTAAGCACAGTAGCTACAGTACATTGCTTTCCTAAACTGTAGCTCTTGCACATTCTCCTGTGGAGTGTGTGTTGGAGTTGACACTTTGATTTTTGAGGGATTTTGTCCTTCTCTGTGCTTATTGCATTAATATCCAACAGTTGAATTGTCCATGTCTGACCTGCTGTTCACTCCCTATGTCAGAAACACACCCTCTACAGTGTTCAGTTCTTGCTCATATGCTCTCTTCTCTTATAATGCAATGTGTCATACAGCATTTATACTGCCTTATACCATGGCATTGTTGAATACTTGTTTCTGATTGGCTTGAAGGGCATTCTAGAGCGTGCATTATTTCCCTATAACGCACAGTATATTTGCACGGTAGAATTCAATGGCTATAGTTAATTATTACATGTTCTATGTTTTGAGCTGCTTTTGAAAGCAAAAGTCAAATTAAAAACATTGACATTGTTGAATTAGATTTGCATAATGGCAAGCTAGGACTGATGGTTTGGTTAGCTAAACTAGCAAGTCTGTTTGGTTACCACGGCAACTACTGTAGCTATCTAGTAAACTTGTTAGCTACTTCAGTGGATGTTGAACACATTTATACTGGCAAATGAACACATTTCTAGGGCAAATGTGTTCAATTATAGCCATGGTATAAAAGGGATAATCAACTCGGGGTTCTAAGCATTCTCTGGAAAATAATGCAACTCCGTGGACGATCAGTTCCACTCCACTAGCGTGTCGTGGAACACACCTTCCACGTCGTTCATGATTTTCCATAGAACGCATAGCCCCTCGTTGATTATCCCTTACCTATACAACCCTCTACATTTAATATACATTGTATGGGTGTGTCCCTTTTGTTCTGAAGAATGCAAGGTCGATCTGGATAAATGTTTGTGCGTGTCCGTGCTCGCGTTTTAGAATGTGTGTGCATTCAAGCGTGAGCTTTGTTTACAATGGCTTTCACGCTACATTGGTCATGGCTTTACAATTATGAGCAACCAAGCAAACACTCTTACTCACTCCTCTTAGGTTTTCCTTTACCTTTTTCTATTTAGTCAGTGAAATCACTTCTGTATTTTTACGTTCACATACAGTTGAAGTCGGAAGTTTACATACACTTAGGTTGGAGTCATTAAAACTCATTTTTCAACCACTCCACAAATTTCTTGTTAACAAACTATCGTTTTGGCAAGTCGGTTAGGACATCTACTTTGCATGACACAAGTAATTTTTCCAACAATTGTTTACAGACAAATTATTTAACTTATAATTTTACTGTATCACAATTCCAGTGGGTCAGAAGTTTACATACACTAAGTTGACTGTGCCTTTTAAACGGCTTGGAAAATGATGTCATGGCTTTAGAAGCTTCTGATAGGCTAATTGACATCATTTGAGTCAATTGGAGGTGTACCTGTGGATGTATTTCAAGGCCTACCTTCAAACTCATGGGAAAATCAAAAGAAATCAGCCAAGACCTCAGAAAAAAAATTGTAGACCTCCACAAGTCTGGTTCATCCTTGGGAGCAATTTCCAAACGCCTGAAGGTACCACGTTCATCTGTACAAACAATAGCACGCAAGCGTAAACACCATGGGACCACGCAGCCGTCATACCGCTCAGGAAGGAGACGTGTTTTGTCTCCTAGAGATGAACGTACTTTGGGGGCGAAAAGTGCAAATCAATCCCAGAACAACAGCAAAGGACCTTGTGAAGATGCTGGAGGAAACAGGTACAAAAGTATCTATATCCACAGTAAAACGAGTCCTATATCGACATAACCTGAAAGGCCGCTCAGCAAGGAAGAAGCCACTGCTCAAAAACCGCCATAAAAAAGCCAGACTACGGTTTGCAACTGCACATAGGGACAAAGATCGTACTTTTTGGAGAAATGTCCTCTGGTCTGATGAAACAAAATTAGAACAGTTTGGCCATAATGACCATCGTTATGTTTGGAGGAAAAAGGGGGTGGCTTGCAAGCCGAAGAACACCATCCCAACCGTGAAGCACGGGGGTGGCAGCATCATGCTGTGGGGGTGCTTTGCTGCAGGAGGGACTGGTGGCATCATGAGGAAGGAAAATTATGTGGATATATTGAAGCAAATTTGTGGCAAAATGGCTTAAGGACAACACAGTCAAGGTATTGAAGTGGCCATCACAAAGCCCTGACCTCAATCCTATAGAAAATGTGTGGGCAGAACTGAAAAAGCGTGTGCGAGCAAGGAGGCCTACAAACCTGACTCAGTTACACCAGCTCTGTCAGGAGGAATGGGCCAAAATCCACCCAACTTATTGTGGGAAGCTTGTGGAAGGCTACCCAAAACGTTTGACCCAAGTTAAACAATTTAAAGGCAATTCTACCAAATACTAATTGAGTGTATGTAAACTTCTGACCCACTGGGAATGTGATGAAAGAAATAAAAGCTGAAATAAATCATTCTCTCTACTACTATTCTGACATTTCACATTCTTAAAATAAAGTGGTGATCCTAACTGACCTAAGACAGGGAATTCTTACTGGGATTAAATGTCAGGAATTGTGAAAAACAGAGTTTAAATGTATTTGGCTAAGGTGTATGTAAACATCCGACTTCAACTGTACATACAGTAGTCATGATTAGTCTCCCTGTGTTTTTGTGTTGCAGCCCAGCATTGTGAGTGACGCAGGAGTTCCTGGACGGAGTGCTCTTGACAGCGTGGAGGTGGCCTATGGACGACAGGTCAGTAATTTGGCCTGACACTGATTGCACTGCAATACCACTTAGAACGATTAGCCTGAGATATCTACAGTACATGGCCCAAAAGGGAAATGCAGTCCTCAATAAGTCTAATTTCAAATGTTCAAAGATGTGAATAACTCGTCTCCCGAGTGGCGCAGTGGTCTAAGGCACTGCATCGCAGTGCTAGCTGTGCCGCTAGAGATCCTGGTTCGAATCCACCGGGAGAACCATGGGGCGGCGCACAATTGGCCCAGCGTCGTCCAGGGTAGGGGAGGGAATGGCCGGCAGGGATGTAGCTCAGTTGGTAGAGCATGGCGTTTGCAATGCCAGGGTTTTGGGTTCGATTCCCACAGGGGGCCAGTATGATTTTATTTTTTAAATAATATATTCACTAACTGTAAGTCGCTCTGGATAAGAGCGTCTGCTAAATGACGTAAATGTAATCACCAAACCCATCCTCTCTTGTGTATTTTACACTTTTCCCTATGTTATGATTTTAGACTTTAATAGGCTGTAATATATCCAGTCAGCCTGGGGCTAAGTGCCCTGGAACCTCATGAGCTGAATGGAAGCACAGCCTCAGTCAGGATGCAGCTGCACTGTAGTCCACTTCACTTCATAGTAATGGGGTCATGCTAAGCAAGGCAGCAATAGATCAGAGAAATTGATTAGCTGGAAGAGCCAGGGCATGCTGGGTAATTTCTCTGTCCCACTGCACAGGGGTAGGACAGCCTGTCTGTTTCGTCCTCTCCAGTCTGTACACACTGGGTGAAAGAGGAAAGTCTACTGGTAAAAGAGGACGTAATGTGTCGCCACATCGCCTGCGGGGTCATCTTCCTGGTCTTTGTGATCTTCTTTGATGGCCTGAATGTTTTCGTCCTTTTTGTTCTATTTCTCATCATCCATCACTTCACCGTGGTGACTGGACTGTGGTGACTAGGATCAGGGCTGGGCCCTACTGGCATTGATGCTGAAACGGTCGCTATTCAGTCTGTCAGCACTGGCACTCTCCTCTGCTCCATCAGTGTTTTCTCTGCTTTTATTGTGCCTCAGATCTACGTTTTTAATGAGAAGATAGTGAATGGACATGTCCAGCCCAACCTGGGAGACCTCTGTGCCTCAGTGGCAGACAGCCTGGATGACAAGGTAAGCCCCAGCTGATCAACATCTCCATTCCACATTATTTTCCCCCATCTGCATATGCTAGTTGGTTCTTCTTCCACTTCAATGGCTAATTCTGGCATTTTTATGGATGTATTTGTCTCTCCAGAATGTGTCAGACATGTGGTTAATGGTGAAGCAGATGACAGACGTGCTGCTGGTCCCAGCCAAAGACACGCTGAAGAGCCGCACAGCCGTGGACATGCAGATGGCGTTTGTTACGCAGGCCCTGCAGTTCCTGCAGAACAGGTCAGAGGAGGAGAGAACCATCAAATTAGAATGAGAACACTCCCTTAATGTATTATAAAACTACACTTGTGTAGTTACCCCCCCACTAACGTTTCTCTTTGTGTTTCCACTACGGCAGCTACAAGAACTACACCATGGTGACGGTGTTTGGGAACCTTCACCAGGCCCAGCTGGGAGGAGTCCCTGGCACCTATCAGCTGGTGCGCAGCTTCCTCAACATCAAACTGCCAGGGCCTCTGCCAGGCATGCAGGTACTGTACTGCCCCCACACTGCAGCACATTCTGCTAGAGACAACATCAGCGCTGTGCACAGCCTTACATAGCGCTGTATTATTCAAGATGGTGTTTTTACTAAGTATAGTGTAGATACGTGCAGCTAAACTCAGCTGTGTGTGTGTGTTATAACAGGATGGCGAGGTGGAGGGTCACCCAGTCTGGGCTCTGATCTACTATTGCCTGCGCTGTGGGGACCTGGGGGCTGCCATGCAGGTGGTGAACCGGGCTCAGCACCAGCTGGGAGACTTCAAGACCTGGTTCCAGGAGTACATGAACAGCCCTGACAGACGGTAGGAACCTCACAAATACTGTGTACCTCCACTATGTGTCGCAACTGGTCTAGGCTCTCCGTTTCACTTTCTCCTGCAATTTGAAGTGCTGTAACACAATGGCCCAGAACAGCAAAGCACCAGTGTGATTTCTTTTCTCATATGAATAGAATCTAATCTGTTTAGTACTCCTCCTCTCTCCATCTCTTTGTCTCTCCGTCTTATGCTCTGTCTGACCTGTGCTGTGTCCTCTCCTCAGCCTGGCCCCCGCCACAGAGAACAAGCTGCGTCTCCACTACCGCAGAGTGCTGAGGAACTGCGCTGACCCCTACAAGAGGGCCGTCTACTGCCTCATCGGGAAGTGTGACATCGCAGACAACCATGGAGAGGTGGCCGACAAGACCGAGGACTACCTGTGGCTTAAGGTGCTTGTCTGATTACCAGTCTATAGCAAGCATGTTAATATTACCAGTGTACATGATACATAGTGCCTTAAACACAGCAATACTCCATTTACATTTTAGTCATTTAGCAGACACTCTTATCTAGAGCGACTTACAGGAGTAATTGGAGTTAAATACCTTGCTCAAGGGCACCTCGGCAGATTTGTCACCTAGTTGGCTCTGGAATTCGAACCAGCGACCTTTCGGTTACTGGCCCAACGCTCTTTACCGCTGCGCTACCTGCCGCCCAGTTGGGGAGGATCTGGTAAAATAGGTTTGCCTGTTGTCAATACTCCCTGAACATTAATGTAGACCTGTTCTTTCCACCCTGCCCACAGCTCAACCAGGTGTGCTTTGATGACGACGGCAGCAGTGCTCCTCAGGACAGACTGACATTGGCCCAGCTACAGAAACAGCTTCTAGAGGACTACGGTGAGTTCAGAACACTGCAGGATACATGACAGCCAGACTACTGAAGTGAAAATAGACCTGAATACTAATTCTGTCATAAGAGAGAATACTGCCTAGGACTGGAGGACTCTATTAGGGTTGGGCAGTATCCAGATTTTAATATTTTCATACCGTTCCTGTACCATACCGGGGTATACAGTATTACCGGCAGTGTACACAAGGAGCACTATTTCTTTCCAAACGTTAAAACATTAATGTTATTAATTTTGACGCACATAACAAATTAGGAAGAAGGGATCTTGATCCAGGAGGGGATTGATTGTCTCTGCTGTAACCAAGAAGCTTGATCTTGCAAGCTAGCCTCTTAGCTAGCAAGTTAGCAAACCATAGCTGGAGCCCTGAGCTGGAGATACTTTATTTGGCATATCTTAGATAGTTATAAGCAGGGGCGTAGCGGTATTGATAATGATATTGTCGGTATTTCAAAATACCCCGATATACGGTATACCGCCCAAGCCTAGACTATTAAAGTAAAGTTGTGTAATGGCACCACTTCTCAGTCCCCCCTGGGATCTGCTCTGCTCAGATAAAGAAGTGCTTCATTGTTCACTCTTAAAGCTTAAACTTTTCTTTAGTTTTATCACACAGAGGGAGGCAAAGCTCTCCTACCTGGAGGATGAGTCATGGCTTGTTATCGCTCTCATTTTAACACAGTGCATTAAAAGGTGACTGTGACTCATAGATAAGCCTGCTGCCTTTCAAAATGGCTGATGTATTCATGTTCTCTTCCTACACAGTTGAACATGAACTTCACTGAGAGGGATTAATGCAAGTTGATGTGATGACTAAGTAGTGGAATGGTTTGTTTGTAAATGTTTTGAATATTTGTAATACTGAGCAACTACAGGTAACTACCAAAATAAAGGAAACCCCAACATAGTGTGTTAAGAGGGCGTTGGGCCACCACAAGCCAGAATGGCTTCAATGCACCTTGGTATAGACTCTACCAGTGTCTGGAACTTTGTTGGAGGGATGCAACACCATTCTTCCACGAGAAATTCCATAATTTGGTGTTTTGTTGATGGTGGTGGAAAACGCTGTCTCAGGCACCGCTCCAGAATCTCCCATAAGTGTTCTATTGGGTTGAGATCTGGTGACTGAGACGGCCATGGCATATGATTTACATCTTTTTCATTCTCATCAAACCATTCATTGACCACTCGTGCCCTGTGGATGGGGGCATAGCCCATGGTAGCCAAAATAATGGCCTGCCCAGCATTTTCTTACGTGACCCTAAGCATGATGGGATGTTAATTGCTTAATTAACTCAGGAACCACACCAGTGTGGAAGCACCTGCTTTCAATATACTTTTTATCCCTCATTTACTAAAGTGTTTAAATTTTTTTGGCAGTATATTGCTGACTGTATTTATCTATATTGAATTAGCATGTTCTATATTCCATTTTCCATGTTGTGAATGTGATCCTAATAATTTAGAGTTTATTTCTGTTCCTTTCCTATCTATAGGAGAGTCCCACTTCTCGGCCAGCCAGCAGCCGTTTCTGTACTTCCAGGTGCTGTTCCTCACAGCCCAGTTTGAGGCTGCTGTGGCCTTCCTGTTCCGGGTGGAGCGTCTACGTAGTCATGCTGTTCACGTGGCTCTGGTTCTCTACGAACTGCGGCTGCTACTCAAGTCATCAGGACAGAGCGCACAACTGTGTAAGTCCTGTCAGGATACCTACCTGTCTGACTTTCTCTACGTTGGCAATCAGTAATGTTCTACAAAGGATGTTTTAGTTCACAGATATTGGAAGGCGACTTGACTTACTGTTGCATGAAGTATGTGGTCTTGTCTGTGTCTTGTTCATTAGGGATGCAAAGCTTGATTCCTTTTTAAGAAGGGACTTCATTTCTAGGTAAACATTATTGTAGTTTTGAAGCTGATACTTATAATTGAATGTTTTCTACTTTTCAGTGAGTCAGGAGGCTGGGGACCCGCCTATGGTGCGACGGCTTAACTTCATCCGTCTCCTCATGCTCTACACGCGCAAGTTTGAGTCCACAGACCCCCGGGAGGCTCTACAGTACTTCTACTTCCTACGGTACGTTACGCTACGTTACGACCCTCCTCCTAACAGATGCTGCTCTCAGGTGGGGGGACCTCTTCTCTCATCCTCTCCACCACTCCACTGAGTGTCAATAGGACTTGGAGGCATGGCGGTAGACTTCCTACGGTACGTTACGCTTAGTGATGTGGGGGGGGGGTCACCAAGAAATTGATACAGTCACATATCACGAGATTATTTTGGTATTTGTCTCCCAAGTATCTATTTGATTATGTATTTATTTATTGCTACTGTAGGTAGCTTTAGCTAGCGGTAGTCGGCTGTACCCGCGCCAAAACTCCAGTCTTTTTCATCCTATAGATTGTTCTCCGTCTTCTTTTTAAATAGTGAGCCAAAATGTTTTCAGCACTTTATTTCCATGACTGATCAAAACTCGTTTTCTCATGCGCTCTCGTCTTGCAGACATATGGTTAGCAATATGTTTGGAACCTCAAATCGCAATAAAATCACAATGTCTAATCGCAATATATATGAATAACCCAGTGGGCCATGAATGCAGTTCACCATTAATAATAAAGATGCTTTCACACATGCCATTGGTTGATTTACTCTTTCTATTCAGGTTAATTTTGATTAGAGCCTTCGGACCTCTATCATTATTTAAAAGATGTAATGTGTATGTAATCAAATATCTGAATCTCTATCCTTTCTTCCTTTTGGACACAGGAATGAAAAAAACAGCCAAGGAGAGAACATGTTCATGTGCTGTGTTAGCGAGCTGGTGATTGAGAGTCGAGAGTTTGACATGCTTCTAGGAAGACTGGAAAAAGATGGCAGCAGAAAGGTAATGGTCACACCTTTATTTTCAGTTTGGTTCACTTCCATTCATTATTATTTAACTCAGTTATTAATGATCCCTTTTGTGAAAGCATTCATGGTGATGCTGATTTTTCCATTGTGATCGTGGCACCCCAGATCATTTGTATTCAGGCCGTTCAAAGAGCTGATTGTGCCTTGTGCTTCTCCCCCAGCCTGGAGTGATTGATAAATTTGCCGGAGACACTCGAGCCATTATCACAAAAGTGGCTCTGGAGGCTGAGAACAAGGGCCTGTTTGAGGAAGCTATCAGACTGTATGAGCTGTCCAAGGTGAGCAGGGCTCTGGGAAAGGCTGCGGTCAAGCTGTGCCAGTGGGTTTACTCTAGGTGAAGGTACAGGCCGGGTAGAGGAAGATTAGAAAATAATGAAATGTCACCTCACATTCCTCTATTTTTCTCCTCTGATCTTTAGAATCCAGACAAGGTCTTAGAGCTGATGAACAGGCTGCTGAGTCCTGTTATCGCCCATGTCAGCGCTGCCCAGTCCAACAAGGAGAGACTGAAGAACACTGCTGTTGCCATCGCTGAGCGGTAACGTCCTCACCACCTATTCTCACTAACATACTTACTGTGCATCATTTACGATCTGCATTGCCACTGAAATGAGATAATGTTTGAAGGTTGCATCATATAGGCTTACTAAAAGAGTGGACCTCGTCAAAAGTGGACCATTTAGTTCTAACTTTAGTGTGTGGTCTTGTTTACTGACTCAGGTACCGGACCCAGGGTGTTGCTGGAGAGAAGTCTGTGGACAGCACTTTCTACCTGCTGCTGGACCTCATGACCTTCTTTGATGAGTACCATGCTGGAAACATAGACCGGGCCTACGATGTAAGTCTTAACACCCAGGGCTTCCTGCCTGATGGCTTACAATGCTGTTTATTCAGATGGCATTGAAGTGTTATGATGGCCTCCTCTCCTCTTAGATGTTAAGTCCCCTATTTGGGGACTGGACCGGTTCCGACTGACATTTTGGTGTACAAAGCTCTCTGTGAACATCATAGGGTCCCGTGTCTTACAATGCCAGAAACCCATCAGGTTGCAAGACCATACATTTGCATAGGGAGTGACGTGTCACATTTTCTGGCCTATCCAGACAAAGGAATGATTTCCTGTGTCTGTGAAACTCCCAGTTGTGCTTTGCAATAGTGCACGTGAAACGGGATAAACTAGCGGATGCAACAGTAGTATATTCTCAGCCGATTTAGAGCTCTCAACATGAAAATATATTAAATAATTTAGTGTAATTGAACTAAGACCACTTTCTCTTGGTCACAGACAGACAAAATCACTTTGTGCTTAAAGCTGAAGTTGTAACAAGTTTGCACACATTTGAATGGTGTCTCTGCGGCTCTTAGTGGACATTTAGGAGAAAATTCTGTCTGCAGTTAAATGAAATAGTGCTAATATTGTACTGTCTGAAAAAGTATGATCATTTATTTTACAGTTATAAGAAATTTAAAATCTTATACTAAATCGTTTATAATTGTATTGTTAATATATTTTAAAAGCATTTCTGTAATTTCAAGCCCTATTGCCCCACTTTTGTTGAATAGGAGAACAATTATATATGATCTTTCATATTTTATTTGATAAATGATTGATTTTGGCCTTTACTACTAAAGCCCATATAAACACATTGAATAACACATTCATAAATGGCAAAAAGGATAGTCAAAAAATAAATAAGAAACAAGGTTTTGAAGTGTCAGTCCTAAATCTAGGAGATATTGAAAAAAAACTCAGGAAATATATATATTACATTTTTTACACATATTTAACCCCTTTTTTGGGGTTAGCACAAAACTACCTTCATACTTCCATTTGTTTTTTAAAACCGGTACCGGTTACCTTCAGACGAGTCACGTGACACTTGTTGGGGTTTTAGAGCAAAATGGAGAATGCCATCGTGAGACTCTCATTTCCATAATAGTTTGTAGGTCAAACCGTTCGCTACAGACGTTTTCGTGAGAAGACTGATTTTCGGGATGTCTCATGGTCTGACAAACACCGTTCTAGCTCTGCCACCGTTCACACCTTTCACCACATATGCTGAAGTGCGACAGTGGCGGATGTAAAAAAAAAATGCAAAAAAAAACATATCTCTAGTTTCAACTGACGGATTTTGATGGGGATTTTTTTGTTATGTAACTTAGATTGACGCACTGGTGCGTCAATCGACTCTAGGGGTTAAAGGACAGATTCACCCATTTTGAATGTAATATAGTTTTTGTGTGTTTAGATGCACAGAAACGATATAACGTTCAAAATGGGTGAATCTTTCCTTTAACTGTCCCTAACTTCTCCCCTCAAACTCTTTGTCTCTCTGTCAGGTGATGGAGAGACTGAAGCTGGTCCCTCTGAGTCAGGACAGTGTGGAGGAAAGGGTCGCTGCATTCCGCAATTTCAGTGATGAGGTGAGATGTATGTACAGTGTGGGAAAAAATTATTTGATCCCCTGCTGATTTTGTACGTTTGCCCACTGACAAAGAAATGATCAGTCTATAATTTTAATGGTAGGTTTATTTGAACAGTGAGAGACAGAATAACAACCAAAAAATCCAGAAAAACGCATGTCAAAAATGTTATAAATTGATTTGCATTTTAATTAGGGAAATAAGTATTTGACCCCCTCTCAATCAGAAAGATTTCTGGCTCCCAGGTGTCTTTTATACAGGTAACGAGCTGAGATTAGGAGCACACTCTTAAAGGGAGTGCTCCTAATCTCATCTTGTTACCTGTATAAAAGACACCTGTCCACAGAAGCAATCAATCAATCAGATTCCAAACTCTCCACCATGGCCAAGACCAAAGAGCTCTCCAAGGATGTCAGGGACAAGATTGTAGACCTACACAAGGCTGGAATGGGCTACAAGACCATCGCCAAGCAGCTTGGTGAGAAGGTGACAACAGTTGGTGCGATTATTCGCAAATGGAAGAAACACAAAAGAACTGTCAATCTCCCTCGGCAGGGGATCAAATACTTTTCTCCCTCACTGCACACTACCAGTCAAAAGTTTGGACACACCTACTCATTCAAGGGTTTTTCTTTATTTTGACTAAAACTATGAAATAACATATATGGAATCATGTAGTCCAAAAAAGTGTTAAACAAATCAAAATATATTTTATATTTGAGATTCTTCAAATAGCCATCCTATGGCTTGATGACAGATTTGCACACTCTTGGCATTCTCTCAACCAGCTTCATGAGGTATTCACCTGATAATTTGTGGAATTTCTTTCTTTCTTAATGCGTTTCAACCAATCAGCTGTGTTGTGACAAGGTAGGGATGGTATACAGAAGATAGCCCTATTTGGTAAAAGACCAAGTCCATATAATGGCAAGAACAGCTCAAATAAGCAAAGAGAAACGATAGTCATTACTTTAAGACATGAAGGTCAGTCAATATGGAACATTTCAAAAACGTTGAAAGTTTCTTCAAGTGCAGTCGCAAAAACCATCAAGCGCTATGATGAAACTGGCTCTCATGAGGACCACCACAGGAATTGAAGACCCAGAGTTACCTCTGCTGCAGAGGATAAGTTCATTAGAGTTACCAGCCTCAGAAATTGCAACCCAAATAAATGCTTCAGAGGGTACTGTGTAATCAGGCCTTCATGGTCGAATTGCTGCAAAGAAACCACTACTAAAGGACACCAATAAGAATAAGAGACTTGCTTGGGCCAAGAAACACGAGCAATGGACATTAGACCGGTGGAAATTTGTCCTTCGGTCTGGTGTCCAAATTTGAGATTTTTGGTTCCAACCGCCGTGTCTTTGTGAGACGCGGGGTGGGTGAACGGATGATCTCTGCATGTGTTGAAAAAGCATTCCAGGTGAAGCTGGTTGAGAGAATGCCAAGAGTGTGCAAAGCTGTCGTCAAGGCAAAGGGTGGCTATTTGAAGAATCTCAAAATATATTTTGATTTGTTTAACACTTTTCTTTTTTGGTTACTACAGATTCCACATGTGTGTTATTTCATAGTTTTGATGTATTCACTATAATTCTACAATGTAGAAAATAGTACAAATAAAGAAAAATCCTTTATTGAGTAGGTGTGTCCAAACTTTTGACTGGTACTGTGTGTATATATACTGTAATTATACTCCGTATGCAGCACTACACTTCCAAAGTGTACATGTAATCTCCCCTTGTCCTTTTTTTCCTACTGTCTCTTTCTTATCTGCATTCTCATTTGCATCTTCTTCCAGGTCAGGCATAATCTGTCGGAGGTGCTCCTGGCCACCATGAATATCCTGTTCACGCAGTACAAGCGCCTGAAGGGGGCCACAGCAGGAACCCCTGGTCGACCACATAGATCCATGGAGGACAGAGACTCGGTGAGGAGATGGTGACTTCTCAGAGCAATACTGGCCATGGGATAAAACTTGAGGAGCTTTATAAAGACTTCTGGGGGCTGTGCATTGTGATGGACTGGGCAGTAAAGACATGCCTCTGCTCCATTATGTGATATTTCATTGAATAATGAGTACTGCGCTGTCTTGTTTTTATCTGTTTTGACACATGATTGATTTCACTGTCAGCTCTAAGATGTATTTTCTGTGTGTGTCAACAGCAACTGCGCAGCCAAGCCCGTGCACTGATCACGTTTGCTGGGATTATCCCGTACCGCATGGCAGGCGACACCAATGCCCGGCTGGTGCAGATGGAGGTCCTGATGAACTGACCCCAAAATACCTCCAAGCGCCAGCTATACCCACCCTTCTCATCAACTGTCAGATTATTTTTTGCTTCGTCCCTATTTTATGTTTCTTTGTCCTTTTTTGTTGCTCCATATTTGTATTTTTTCATAAGTTTAAATAAAATGTCAGTTAAATTTAATTTCTTACGCATTCATTTCATTATAAACCGATCTTTTGATTCATTTGCATTTAATATTTCAGTTTTCTTATTGTTCTTTTACTATTATGCATCATGGTCATCTATAAAATGATTAGTGGTATGAGTACTACCTGGATTTAAAGAAAACTGAAGGAAGTACTGTTAGATTAATTTGGAATTAATGATTTTAAAATCAATTGTGCCTTTTGATATTATTTTATGGTACAAGGGATATTTTGAGATTTTGGCAATTAAGCCCTTTTTCTATTTACCCAGAGTCGGGTGAACTCATGGAACTAAAACTGCACACAGAGACATACAAATGGTATTCAAGAGTTCATCTGACTCTGGGTAAGTAGGAAAAAAAGGGTTTAATTGCCAGAATCTCGAACTATCCCTCAGACATGGCCTGCCTATAGTCAAAGAAGCAACAGGGAATTGGGAATCATATTGAACTAGCCATAATCCAGTGGTCCAGGAAGAACTAAATCTTGCAAAGAAGATGTGTGTTTTACTTTGAAATCTACCTCCACATTCGATAAAAATGTCATTTGGAGAAATCATTGATTTATAAAGGTAGCATGTCAAACTGAAACCGGCAGCTGATAAGATTTTGTGGATGCTAGAACGACAATTCAACATCAACTGTGTACTCTGTAAATTGGTGGAGCTGCACACCCACACATATACAACATTGTATCCCTGTTGGTGGCTATCTATAAGGAATTACATGATGATGATGATATGTCTTTCTTTGCTACTAGTTATACTGGATTGATTTGCTTGAAAGGTCAATGTTTCTTTAGATAACATCTCACCTTTTTATGACTACAATAATATCAGCAGCTGAACAAATACTACTCTGAGTAGGTGAGAGGAACTGAATTGAAAGTACATTGTGATGGGCCTTATCATGTATGACACTGCTGCACTTATTGGCAGATGGTAAGAAGGGAAGGAAATTCCCTGAGAGAACACAGATGGGAGTCTTTGCTTGGCTGCACTAGATTGTCAAGAAGCCTTTCCTCTCAAACTGATCCCATTGTCACCACAGGAGACTTGTCTTCATTATGGAGGGAACCAAATTGACTGTGCATGCTCTTTTACTGCAGTTTTTTTACTTCAATCACAGCCCTTATGAGTTCTGGAGACAATGCTCTTGCTATGCACCACATCACATCTGCTCTGGTGAAGATCAGTCTGGAGCTCTCTGTGGAGAAGACATGGACCGGGAGCTCCCTGTCTGCCAAGGTGGATCCACTCTCAGGTGTGTGTGCTGCAGCTGGTGTTGTGAATCAGGCCGATGCCACACACCCGCTATAACCCGGCTATTTCACAACACCAGGGTGGCACTGCACCACTGCCAACGAGACGCCAAGGGCAAGCAACAGAAGAAGCTTTGAGGAGCCAAAGAGTTCCTACGGTTCACCTGATTAAATGTCTGCTGTGATTTGCAATTCAATGACGTGTAAAAGCATTTGATTAAACTTTTTTCATGATATTGTGAGTTTTTTACTTAATTTATAGTTGCGTTTAGCAATGCATTTGATTTCAATAGTGGAGGAAAAATATGCCCCAAGGAGGCAAACACTATATACAGTTGAAGTTGGAAGTTTACATACACCATAGCCAAAAACATTTAAACTCATTTTTCACAATTCCTGACATTTAATCCTAGTAAATATTTCCTGTGTTAGGTCAGTTAGGATCACCACTTTATTTTAAGAATGTGAAATGTCAGAATAGTAGAGATAATTATTTATTTAAGCTTTTATTTATTTCATCACATTCCCAGTGGGTCAGAAGTTTACATACACTCAATTAGTATTTTGTATCATTGCCTTTAAATTGTTTAACTTGGGTCAAACGTGTCAGGTAGCCTTCCACAAGCTTCCCATAATAAGTTGGGTGAATTTTGGCCCATTCCTCCTGACAGAGCTGGTGTAACTGAGTCAGGTTTGTAGGCCTCCTTGCTCGCACACGCTTTTTCAGTTCTGCCCACAAATGTTCTATAGCATTGAGGTCAGGGCTTTGTGATGGCCAATCCAATACCTTAATTTTGTTGTCCTTAAGCCATTTTGCCACAACTCTGGAAGTATGCTTGGGGTCATTGTCCATTTGGAAGACCCATTTGCGACCAAGCTTTAACTTCCTGACTGATGTCTTGAGATGTTGCTTCAATATATCCACATAATTTTCCTTCCCCATCTATTTTGTGAAGTGCACCAGTCCCTCCTGCAGAAAAGCACCCCCACAGTATGATGCTGCCACCCCCGTGCTTCACGGTTGGGATGGTGTTCTTCAGCTTGCAAGCAACTCCCTTTTCTTCCAAACATAACGATGGTCATTATGGCCAAACCGTTCTATTTTTGTTTCATCAGACCAGAGGACATTTCTCCAAAAAGTACGATCTTTGTCCCCATTTGCAGTTGCAAACCGTAGTCTGGCTTTTTTATGGCGGTTTTAGAGCAGTGGCTTCTTCCTTGCTGAGCGGCCTTTCAGGTTATGTCGATATAGGGCTTGTTTTACTGTGGGTATAGATACTTTTGTACCTGTTTTCTCCAGCATCTTCACAAGGTCCTTTGCTGTTGTTCTGGGATTGATTTGCACTTTTCGCACCAAAGTACGTTCATCTCTAGGAGACAGAACGCGTCTCCTTCCTGAGCGGTATGACGGCTTCGTGGTCCCATGGTGTTTATACTTGCGTACTACTGTTTGTACAGATGAACGTGGTACCTTCAGGCGTTTGGAAATTGCTCCCAAGAATGAACCAGACTTGTGGAGGTCTACAATTTTTTTTCTGAGATCTTGGCTGATTTCTTTTGATATTCCCATGATGTCAAGCAAAGAGGCACTAAGTTTGAAGGTAGGCCTTGAAATACATCCACATGTACACCTCCAATTGACTCAAATTATGTCAATTAGCCTATCAGAAGCTTCTAAAGCCATGACATCATTTTCTGGAATTTTCCAAGCTGTTTAAAGACACAGTCAACTTAGTGTATGTAAACTTCTGACCCATTGGAATTGTGATACAGTGAATTATAAGTGAAATATTCTGTCTGTAAACAATTGTTTGAAAAATTACTTGTGTCATGCACAAAGTAGATGTCCTAACCGACTTGCCAAAACTATAGTTTGTTATCAAGAAATTTGTGGAGTGGTTGAAAAATGACTTTTAATGACTCCAACCTAAGTGTATATAAACTTCCGACTTCAACTGTATACTTTATTTGTATTCCAGGAGGAAATGCTTTGTTAAAAAGTGATATTTTCAGGATATACAGTAAGTAATAAAACAATAAAGTTATATTTTGGCCCAAATGCAGTCAGGGGGATCAACCGTTTTGAATAGTAAGGCTTCTGTACCAAGAATTGTCTGCAGGGTCAGCCGTATTGTGGTATGCTCAACTGTGCGAGTTAATGGAAACTCAATGAAAGGGAACACATACTGCTGCTGGCACAGCATGGTTGCTCAGCTGAGACTGTGTAACAGTCATTTACCATGGTGTTTTACACAACATTATGACCAACGAACATCAAGGTCATCCTTTAACTGAGGCAGTCAAGTGGTAAACACACCAAAACATTCCAAGCATTACTGTTTTGGGGATGGCTTTTACATAGAGAGAATGAGAAGGTCATCTGAAAGTTATTCCTTTGTCAAGATATAATTATTCAATTATTTTATAAGGATCCCTTTTGTCTACTATTTGGTTTAATACTGAATGGCTGGCCAAAGGAGAAGTGAGGGATTGTTTAAATGGGGATTTTGAAGGTGATGGAGCTGCCTCTCAAACTTGTTGCCTTTCCATATCTTCAATATAAATATTTTATATTTCTCCCATCCTTGGGAGGCTCCTTTATATCAATATGGAATAAGAGGAAGGTAACAGTTCCTCCTCAGAAGCAATACCTTATGGAGAAGGGTTTACCTCTTCTATCCTTGTGACTTTCTGCCAAGGTTATCTTGCCTTAGATCACAAGTTAATCTATGTAATAATGAGGTTTACAAGCACTCAGGAGGTTAGTTATAAATACAAATTGCTCTCATGGAGTTCCAAATAGGTTTAGTGAACTGAACGTTCGCTTATCTCAACATGGCCAACGGCACTTCCTGCCTTTTTCAAGACATATAAAACCCCTCATGCCACCATTTGTTTCCCATTACATGAACATTTTGGTCTTACACTCCAAATGGAAGAAGTACCAGCAGCACCAAATGAGGGGATAAGCCTCTCTGCTCTTAGAAGCCAGTTCTCAGTGAATGGGGAAGAAGGGCCCAAGTACGGCTTTGATGGCAACATATATCACTACGGCGATGGGACCAGCGTGGCTTCTCAGAACTCCTCACAGATCCTCACAGGTTACAACACTCTGGATGTTGGCCCAAATTATGACTTCTATGCGAACACAAATGCCCTAGGCAGGGTGCGTCGATCAAGACCATCCCTCTTTCAGCTTCACTCCAACATTGAAGTAAGTACGACACATTTGGCCTCTAGGCAACATACCTGCAATATGTCAGGCCCTCTATAGTGTTTTTTTTTTTTATACTGCAAATTGTACAGACTGATATACATTATAGTTACATCCCTATTTCCCCACCACCACCCCTAAGGAGGATTCCTTTCCCCCTCCTCTGTATGAGGAGACCAACACATGCAGAGCACCTGGGGACAGCTCAGAAGATGATGTTGAGGAGCCTCAGTCAGAACCCGCCAGGTTTGGATGGGTGAAGGGAGTCATGGTAAGACATGGCAGACACAAAACAACTGAGATGCCAGACAGCACTATACATACTCCATTATACTGGTAGTCATGACAACATGCTAAGGAGACGTGAATTCCCCCTAGATCCGCTGCATGCTCAACATCTGGGGGGTGATCCTGTACCTGCGGCTGCCCTGGATCACTGCACAAGCAGGAATTGGTGGGTCAAGCAATTGGTCTCAACACTTTTATTTCATTAAAGTGTCAAGTTTGTGTATTTGTGGGACTGTATTTGTATGGTTTAATGGATTGTGTGTGACATTCCTCCCCTAAGGTTTGACCTGGGTCATCATCCTGCTGTCCTCCTGCATCACTGGCATCACTGGCCTGTCCACCTCTGCCATCGCCACCAACGGAAAGGTCAAAGGAGGTGCATTATCCCTTCCCTGAAATAATACAATAATAACACAGGGTCAGGTGGCCCTGGCCTTTTTGGGGGGCCCTAAGCGATTTGGTTGGGGGGGCCTCCCACCTTATGGCAAAACATTTTAGTGGCCCCCCTCTTGACGGCGGAGAGAAACATTTACGTTTTAAAGTTAGTTTCCTGCAATTCTACCGATTTTGCCATGAGGTGGAGAGAAATGTTTGCAGTTTAAAGCTAATTTCCTACAATTCTTCACATATTGCCATGACTTATGCCATGTTAATATGATATCTGATTGAGAGTGACTAACAAAATCAATGTGGGCCCCTTGGAGGTCAGGGCCCCTGGGCACGTGCCCTGCATGCCCAGTCGGTATTCGGCCATGATTACTACATGTTTAGATAGCTGGCTAGACTAACTACCAATCTAAAAATTGTTAGCTGACATGGCTAATTGAGTGACTGTCAGTGACTGACATAACAAGAGAAAAACTGAGTTCCTAAACCGCTAATGTCGCTTATGCCTGGGACCGGCCCTGCACAGGGTTCTTATACTAAAATATTTACAACACTGATCCTCTTTTTTCCCTCTTGCAGGTGGAACCTACTTCCTAATCTCTCGTAGCCTGGGGCCAGAGCTGGGAGGATCCATTGGACTCATCTTTGCCTTTGCAAATGCTGTGGCAGTTGCCATGCACACTGTGGGCTTCGCTGAGACTGTGCAAGCATTGATGCAAGTCAGTGTGTTATCACATAGGCCTATACCCACATCACTTATAGCCAACCTCTGAGTTGGCATTCCCTTTTTAACTGTACCCTTGTTTTAATTTGTCACCCAAACCTCCCACCTCAGGAGAGTGGTGCCAGCATGGTGGACCCAATTAATGATATCCGCATCATTGGAGTGATCACTGTCACATGTCTGCTGGCCATCTCATTGGCTGGGATGGAATGGGAGGCCAAGGTCTGTTCAAACTGCCACTAGGAGGCTACAGTACATGCCTTGTCACAAAAAAATAGGAGAACATATGAGAGACGAGGTCTGATGTTAGAACTTAATACCGTTTGTTGATGCTGGCAATTTCTTTATGAATTTGTAAAATTCATGTTTTTCTATAAGATGTATTGAATTTGTTTGGGAATTATTGTTTATCGTAAGCCTCTAACTATGTAGTCTCTGGATAGATGTCATGTAATCATGTAGTGCATTGTGTTTGAAATGAGTGTTCTTTGCCAACTATACAGGCCCAGGTTCTCTTCTTCATTGTCATCTTGGTGTCCTTTGCTAATTACATAGTGGGGACCATTATTCCCGCTACACCTCAGAAGCAAGCCAAGGGCTTTTTCAATTACAAAGGTCAGAGCTCCATGGCATTTAGACAGAGTGTGAGTGTTGTACATTTCATATTTCATATTAGTTATTTTTGTTTTTCCTCTATCAATAAAATAGGCATACTAACTATTCTTTCCCGTCAGCGGATATATTTGCTGAAAACTTTGTACCCAACTGGCGTGGGCCTGAAGGCAACTTCTTTGGCATGTTCTCCATCTTCTTCCCCTCAGCCACAGGGATCCTGGCAGGAGCCAACATCTCTGGGGACCTAAAGGCAGGTTCCTTCCTCTGATCTCTCTAGAAATGTCTACTGTATCTTCTCACTATAGGAGAGGAGGGCTCTGTGGATGAAAGGGAGATGGGATGTTTAATTCAGATGCTTATTATAACAAATGTTTGACTGTTGACTAGTCATTATATATCCCCCCCCCCCCCCCCCCCCCCCCCCCCCCTTATCTCTACACAATATAGGACCCTACAGTAGCTATTCCAAGAGGAACATTGATGGCTATATTCTGGACCACTATATCTTATCTCATCATATCAGCAACTATTGGTGAGTTGTACACACACATGCACAAAGTGTCTCCTCATGATTTAATTGGTGCTTTCTTCTGTCAATATGTGCTGTGTATGGGCCTCTCTCTGTCCTGGTTTAGGAGGCTGTATGGTACGAGATGCGTCTGGAGTTATGAATGACACCTTGGACTCTAATACTTCTAACTGCCAGGGTCCGGCCTGTCTCAACGGCTGGGACTTCACTGAATGTATTACTAACAGAACCTGCCCTTATGGCCTCATCAACCAGTACCAGGTAACCTAATACACATGATTGATTACCATGTTTCAATGTTCAATGCACAAGTATGGCCTTGGTGTATTGTACAGTGGGGAAAAAAAGTATTTAGTCAGCCACCAATTGTGGAAGTTCTCCCACTTAAAAAGATGAGAGAGGCCTGTAGGTACACGTCAACTATGACAGACAAAATGAGAATTTTCTTTCCAGAAAATCACATTGTAGGATTTTTAATGAATTTATTTGCAAATTATGGTGGAAAATAAGTATTTGGTCAATAACAAAAGTTTCTCAATACTTTGTTATATACCCTTTGTTGGCAATGACACAGGTCAAACGTTTTCTGTAAGTCTTCACAAGGTTTTCACACACTGTTGCTGGTATTTTGGCCCATTCCTCCATGCAGATCTCCTCTAGAGCAGTGATGTTTTGGGGCTGTCGCTGGGCAACACAGACTTTCAACTCCCTCCAAAGATTTTCTATGGGGTTGAGATCTGGAGACTGGCTAGGCCACTCCAGGACCTTGAAATGCTTCTTACGAAGCCACTCCGTCGTTGCCCGGGCGGTGTGTTTGGGATCATTGTCATGCTGAAAGACCCAGCCACGATTCATCTTCAATGCCCTTGCTGATGGAAGGAGGTTTTCACTCAAAATCTCATGATACATGGCCCCATTCATTCTTTCCTTTACACGGATCAGTCATCCTGGTCCCTTTGCAGAAAAACAGCCTCAAAGCATGATGTTTCCACCCCCATGCTTCACAGTAGGTATGGTGTTCTTTGGATGCAATTCAGCATTCTTTGTCCTCCAAACACGACGAGTTGAGTTTTTACCAAAAAGTTCTATTTTGGTTTCATCTGACCATATGACATTCTCCCAATCCTCTTCTGGATCATCCAAATGCACTCTAGCAAACTTCAGACGGGCCTGGACATGTACTGGCTTAAGCAGGGGGACACGTCTGGCACTGCAGGATTTGAGTCCCTGGCGGCGTAGTGTGTTACTGATGGTAGGCTTTGTTACTTTGGTCCCAGCTCTCTGCAGGTCATTCACTAGGTCCCCCCGTATGGTTCTGGGATTTTTGCTCACCGTTCTTGTGATCATTTTGACCCCACGGGGTGAGATCTTGCGTGGAGCCCCAGATCGAGGGAGATTATCAGTGGTCTTGTATGTCTTCCATTTCCTAATAATTGCTCCCACAGTTGATTTCTTCAAACCAAGCTGCTTACCTATTGCAGATTCAGTCTTCCCAGCCTGGTGCAGGTCTACAATTTTGTTTCTGGTGTCCTTTGACAGCTCTTTGGTCTTGGCCATAGTGGAGTTTGGAGTGTGACTGTTTGAGGTTGTGGACAGGTGTCTTTTATACTGATAACAAGTTCAAACAGGTGCCATTAATACAGGTAACGAGTGGAGGACAGAGGAGCCTCTTAAAGAAGAAGTTACAGGTCTGTGAGAGCCAGAAATCTTGCTTGTTTGTAGGTGACCAAATACTTATTTTCCACCATAATTTGCAAATAAATTCATTAAAAATCCTACAATGTGATTTTCTGGAATTTTTTTCCTCAATTTGTCTGTCATAGTTGGCGTGTACCTATGATGAAAATGACAGGCCTCTCTCATCTTTTTAAGTGGGAGAACTTGCACAATTGGTGGCTGACTAAATACTTTTTTCCCCCACTGTATGTGTTTCACTCCCATTTCTTTCTGTGGTCAGAGTATGAGTTTGGTGTCAGGGTTCGCCCCTCTGATCACTGCTGGGATATTTGGGGCCACTCTCTCCTCAGCCCTGGCCTGCCTGGTCTCTGCACCCAAAGTCTTCCAGGTTGGTTTTCTTAGGGAACCACTTTTACTACAAATAAAGAGGCATTGGTGTGTTATTCTATTAGCATGATCTAGTTCTGTTCTCACTTACAGTGTCTCTGCAAAGACAACCTGTATCCAGTCATTGGTTTCTTTGGGAAGGGTAATGGAAAAAACGACGAACCAATCAGAGGCTACGTCCTGGCGTACATCATCGCTGTCTGCTTCGTTCTCATTGGTATGATAAAGACCTGTCAAGATAGATGCAGAGTGAAAAGGAGATGTTTTTACAGTAACACAGCCCTGCCCTGTCTTCTCACCCTTCAGCTGAGCTCAACACCATCGCTCCCATCATCTCTAACTTCTTCCTGTGCTCCTACGCTCTCATCAACTTCAGCTGCTTCCATGCCTCCATCACCAACTCCCCAGGTCAGGAGCTCAACCAGGACATGGTATCATGACCATTAAAAGTCCTGTGCTGCTCTTATGTTCTAACCAAACACCAGATACAAAGTAAACAAATTAAATATCATATTACCTAATAATATTTGTGTCGGTTTCAATGTGTGTGATTGACTGTGTTGCAGGATGGCGTCCCTCCTTCAGGTTCTACAGTAAGTGGATGGCCCTGCTGGGTGCTGTGGTGTCTGTGATCATCATGTTCCTTCTCACCTGGTGGGCAGCACTCATCGCTATTGGCATCGTCATCTTCCTGTTGGGATATGTGCTCTACAAGAGACCCTGTGAGAAAACACACACATACAAAGTTTTAAATTCATTCCCCCAAAAATATCTGTAGTAGTTTTTTGGCAAGCATCGTTTTCCTTTGAATATTCAGCAACTCAATCGGTTATTTGTTAATTTTTAGCTGTAAACTGGGGATCATCAGTACAAGCTGGGTCATACAACATGGCATTGTCCTACTGTGTGAGCCTGAACCAGGTGGATGACCATATCAAGAATTACAGGTCAGACCTGAACTCTCTCTGAGGACCTAATGAGAACAATGTCAGGCTTTTGTTGCTGTTCCAACTGAATAACAATGTCTCACTTTGTATGTGCTTTTCTTATTCCCTTTATTCTTACCTCCCTCCTTTCTCAGACCTCAGTGCCTGGTCCTCAGTGGTGCACCCAGTTGTCGTCCTGCATTGGTCGACTTTGTCGGAACCTTCACCAAGAATCTAAGCCTGATGATATGTGGGAATGTTGTCACTGTGAGTTATCATCTTGAATCATTGTACAGGGGTCATTAAGGGTTGCCCTATTACCCAGGGAAAGTGACCTGAGCAGTCACGCTCTGAGGTTGTCCCATTACTCAAGTATTTTTTTTTTCTGATAAAAACCAAAATGCTAAGAATTTCAGTAGTCTGGTCTTTCTGGTTCCTCCATTGTGTGTGGGTGAAAATAGCTACTTTACATTTTCAGGCAAGTGATCACAATCTTCTGGCCACCAAAAAATACTCCTGACTTGACCTTCATTAATATATTAATCTTAATAATATAGCTGACGCTTTTATCCAAGTGACTTACAGTCATGTGTGCATACAAACTATGGGTGGCCGCAGCGGGAATCAAACCCACGACTATTGGCATTGCAAGCACCATGCTCTACCAACAGAGCCACACAGGAGACAATGTCAATTATTGATTGTACATTCGCTATTTTTTGTATTCTAAGTCATTAACCTCTAACTCCCTCTGTCACCCTGCTGCTCTGTCAACAGGGAAGTCCTTCTCCCTCAACCTTGGATGCTGCCAGTAGCAACAGTCATATTACCTGGCTGAACAAACGGCAGATCAAATCGTTCTATCACGGTGTGGTGGCTAATGACCTGCGCGCTGGGGTTAAGATGCTGCTCCAGGTGGGCCAACTGCCATGCCTTATCTATCAGGACCCTTTTCATTATGTGGATTTAATTAACGTGTTAAACTGTGTCTAACTCCAGGGTGCAGGTTTGGGTCGGATCAGGCCGAATGTCCTCTTGACGGGCTTCAAAAGGGACTGGCGTAAGGACAAACCATCCTGCATTGACAACTACATTGGAATTCTACAGTGAGTGAATCACTCAGTCAAATCAGCAAGATGAGTTCATAATGGATGTGACGGAGTGAGGATGCAGTTTAATATGTCTTTGTACATTTGTTTCAGTGATGCGTTTGACCTGCAGTATGGAGTGTGTGTGCTGCGAATGAGGGAGGGTCTGGACATGTCTCGGCAGGCACAAACACATGGTGAGGAACCCAACAACCATGAAGATTTCATGTTCTTTTACAATATATCTTTATATATCATTGCCTCCTTTTAATGCAGTTAACCCTGGGTTTGAGGCAAGCCCAGAGAGGGGTGTCAACACCTGTGTCCCACCTGCACCCCCTGCAAATTTTTCATGTATGTATGATAACATTTAGAGTATATAGTTTGTGGTCTATGACATTCATCTTTTTCTATACTATTGACAAAGAGATGTTGTCTTGGTTATAGTGGACCCTGATGCCATGGTGACTGAGCCTCAGCCTCAGCCTTGTACTGTGTTCCAGTCCCAGCAGGGGAAAAAGACCATTGATGTGTACTGGCTGTTTGATGATGGAGGCGAGTTTATTGTTGTGGATTTGATTGTGCCCTTCCACAAATCAAACTTTTTCTGCATTCAACAGCACAAGCCTTCAAGTTTTATAACATAGTCAGATTGATAATGTGGGGTCATAAATCATACAATGTTGTTACATGTCAAGTACCCCAGGTCAAAAAGATAACATAGGATATAATTATGTCATTGGTCATATCAGGCAGAGGGGTCAATGTTATGTGTGAAAGGTAAATGTTAAGTCTGTTGTGCTCTTAAAGGTCTGATTTTGCTACTTCCCTACCTGCTCACACGTAAGAAGCGCTGGGCAAGGTGCAAGGTACGCGTCTTTGTGGGCGGAGACATCCAGCGAAAGGAGGAGCAAAAAAAAGAGTGAGTGTAGTATGTTTAAGGCCATACTGTGTGGTAGAAACATTATATAATGTTGTCAGGATCCCCCTTGGCCTTTCCCCTCCTTTGAATATAAGCATTTCGCTGCACCTGCAATAACATCTGCAAATCTGTGTACGCGACCAATAAACTTTGATTTGATTTTGATTTGAATAGTTCAACTGACCATGTCCTTGTGTCCAATTTAGAGTCATGGACCTCATCAGCAAGTTTCGCCTTGGTTTCCATGACGTTGAGGTTCTGCCTGATATCAATGCGAGACCACAACCTGAACAGTATGGTTCCCTGTCACTCACTATATACTGTATAACTGTGTACTATTCAGCATTGTACTTTCTTATTCTTACGTAAGAGTTCAGTTGCACAGTGATTAAACTCACAATGATTCATTTAATCTACATCCATTCACAATGTCTGCAGGTCAATGCTCTGTTGAGACCCTTTCCTCTGCCTTTTTCTCTGACAGTGTGAGGAGGTTTGAGGAACTGATAGGGCCCTACAGGCTTAACACAGCCCAGAAGGATGGCCATGTAACAGCTGAACAGATTAATCAGGACTGTCCCTGGATGGTGTCTGATAAGGAGATAGAGACAAATAAGCCCAAGGTGACCATTATCTGTGTTTCATTGGTCAAAAAGGCAGGACCACTCTATTGCCAAACTTTCAAATGTAGCATAGCTAGATGTGGAATATTTGGTTATGACAGTTTCACTGTTCTCAGACAGACTGCTTACAGTACCTTTTAAATGTGTGTTTGTGCACCAGACCCTTCGACAGATTCGTCTGAATGAGGTTCTTCAAGATTACTCAAGGGACGCCGCCATTATTTTTGTGTACGTACTCTGTTTTTGCAAACCAGATATTTTTATTGCATTTATTGACTTCAACCCATCCCATGACAAAGCTAATAAAGGTGAGAGTGATGACTGATCTATGTCCTCTCATTGACAGGACCATGCCTGTGGGAAGGAGAGGGCAATGTCCCAGTGCTCTGTACATGGCATGGCTGGAGACTTTGTCTCGTGACCTGCGCCCACCAGTCTTACTGGTGAGGGGAAACCAAGAGAATGTGCTCACCTTCTATTGTCAGTGATCCCTGTTTTAACCATGTTCAATGAAATCACCCCATGGTCAAGGAAAATAACATTGTTATTGTCATAAATGATCATGCATTAGATGTGCTCTGGTAGAAGTGCTCTATGACATTTCACTTCTTTCATTATCATCAGTACTAGACACATTAGCCATCTGTGAAATATGTGATTAGATTTAACGTCATCATCATTATCATCATCATCAGTACCAGAAGCATTGTTGTCGTTATCATCATTAAGCAGTAGTAAAAAACATTATTGATTGTTAAACGTGTGCTTGATGATAGAAGTTTTGAAGTGTAACACCAGTGTCTATTTGTAATTGTCTGTAAATTTTTACTGTGCCTATTTAATTTGGGATGTAAGCAACAAAGGTAAATGGGATAACTAGGCTTCTTGTATTGTGTACCCCCTTGAAAACATCCCAATGTCACAATGATCATTCCAATACAAATTCTAAGAACTCTATTATGTAGCCTTACTTTAAGAATAAAGTATTTTTGGTTGAACCCACTACATAATTTTTTGTTTTATATATAGAAGTACACCATTTAATTATCTAGTCAAATGTTTCTGTCTTTTGAAAGTGGAAAATAATTTGGACAGGCCAAAAGCATTCTAGAGCAAAGGCATTTCTGTTGGATGGAACTCAGTGGTTCTCAAACGTAGGTTTGAAGTTGAAATGGGGTCCCCTGAGAAAAACTGTAATCTTATCAAACAAAGTAATATCTTTTTTCTCTTCAAATGGGTATAGAATACACAGAGGTGTAAAGTACCCTGGTCATCCCTACTGCCTCTGATCTGGTGGACTCACTAAACACAAATACTTTGTTTGTAAATTATGTCTGAGTGTGCCCCTGGCTATCAGTAATTAATACAATAAAATAAAGACATTTGTGCAGTCTGGTTTGCTTAATATAAGGAATTTGAAATGATGTATACTTTTACTTTTGATACTGAAGTATATTTTAGCAATTACATTTACTTTTGATACTTAAGTATATTTAAAACCAAATACTTTTAGACTTTTACTCAAGTAGTATTTTACTGGGTGACTTTTACTTTTACTTGAGTCATTTTATATTAAGGTATCTTTACTTTTACTCAAGTATGACAATTGGGTACTTTTCCCACCACTTGTTCCACAACTAAGGGCCTTTTAGGGTATTAGAATGCGCTTTAATGTAATGTGTTGGGACAGCCTGCGAGACCTAAAACTGAGAGAATGTGAGCACACTGCGTTAACTAGGGAATCTACTTATTTTCAAGTGGGGTCCCCTGTATTTTGTACTGTCAATTTGGGGTCGTGTGCAGAAAAAGTTTACGAACCCCTGATGAACTGCAACTTCATCGCTAGTATGATAATATTTACAGAGCATGCGCAATACAGACTGCTCCCTGAGCTGGAGCCTCCACGTCTGATCACGAGCCTTGGTTATCCAATCACAGCAAGCCACAGTGTGTTTCCAAACAACATTCCTTTTCACACAACGACAGGCTGTGTCAAATAGCTAGTTACTTACTTCCTCATCATCTCAACTAAAAGGTTGTCGGCTGAATAAATTCATTTGTTTCTCTGACATTTTAGCTAGATGATTAGATGCTGTAGTTACTTACTCCGTTGATATTATAACTAATAGGTTGCGTTGGGAGAGGTCACAAAAAAACAAAAATGGACAACAGTGGTTTTCCTAACGTTAGACAAAAGACAATCACGCTTGTGATAAAAACACCGAATCAAGCGCACGGGGATCAAACGATTGAAGGAGTTGACACGGACTGGACAGTGAAAGAGTTGAAGACTCATTTATCGAGGGTGTACCCAAACAACCCGGTGAGTAAATGTGATAGCTATCTAGCTAACTTGGCTAGCTAGCTACCCCATAGCTAGCAAGCTAGCCAGTCCTTGCCAAGTTAGATTGGTCCAGTAAGTTAGCCAGCTATAATGTCATACTACTAGCTAGTGTCAATAACAATCATGCAATCTAAACAGCTAGCTAGGCTATACATAGTTGTGTATGTATAAATCATGGTTGCTGTCAGTGTGTGTTGTGTTGAAATCTGTCCTCCTTTCCCCCACAGGCTGAAAGTGATCAGAGACTTATTTACTCTGGCAAGCTGCTCCCAGACCAACTGCATGTCAGAGATATTTTCAGAAAGGTACGTGTGTGTGCCTATTCACCGAAATATCAACTAGACATATTCTCAGAACTCTAGCTATATACAGAGTTATGTGCCATCTGGTCAGATTGCAGGTATCATCAGTAAAAAAAGAATGTTATTGATTCAACATTATGTGCCTAGATCAGGGATGCAGTCTGCCTACAGGGCTACACAAATACCTGAAATCAGGCAGAGAATTGCTAAACCTATGTCCTAGTTATTTTTAGTACTACTGCATTACCTATAAAACTGTGCTGAACAGTGTGTATATTTAATCTGTTATGTCAATGAATTACAATACTAGAATCTCAGATGAATGCCGAGAGCAAAACTGAACTGTGCTTTGACATCCCTGGAGTTCAAGCCCATAGAAGCCCCTGTCAGGACTGTTATGAATGCAGTCCCCTTTTTTGAACTTCAGATCAGTCAGATTTTGTTTAATGTTGCATTCACTACTTTTCTCACAGGATTTTTCAAAGGCATTCTTTTTTATACATTTTTTACTTCAAAAGGTTGAATGAGTGTCCCTCTATGTCCCGTGCCAAGAATGGATGTGATGTTCTTGTGTCTTATGCCGCCTGGGATATCTCATCATGTATGTCTTCACAGACGGACCTAACACCCACTGTGCACCTGGTGTGTGCAGTCAGAACTCAGCCCAGAGGTCCACTAGGAGCAAGACCCAAGGTAAAGTACCCCATATGGAACCCCATCTCAAACTGTGACATGTACTCTATGTGAAGGTTATGATGTAGACCTAGGTGAAGCTATTTTAAATATACTCATTAAATAGCATCAGTTAACAATGCCTCAGTTGTTGCTCCCCAAGATATTGTGCCAAACCAGGAAACGTTTTTGTTTTTAGTTCTGCCGTGCCAGTGATTCCCTTGTGCTCTCCTTTAGAAACCCTACACACCTCATTAATATGATTTGTAGCTGTAATTGGGAGCTCCCGGAGCTGACAAACGACAGTCAAAGCCAGACATTCAGATTAGGAAAAAGACACCTCACATGGTTGATAACGAATAATTTGATAAGCCAAAACGCCCTATCAGCTAAATCATCTAAAGTAGTCCCCCAATCAGTGGTTGAGGAGGTGTCAAAGCTGAGTCTGTTCTGGTCTCTGGAGAGAGGAGTCCCAGCTCAGTGGATAGCAGGAGACCGGTGCACAACTACTCTCATTAGGAATCTCTGGAGACCATAACATTGCATCTCTGAAAATTCACTGCAGCTATTCACTGCAGTCACTTTGTACAGTATGTATGTCCGCACCTGTGGTGTTAACACCATGTCTCACTTTTGATTCAGGTCAGAGAGCCAGAACCACAACCCTCTGCCATGCCTACCAGACAGAACGAAGAGGGTGTCACCCCAGCCCCATCTGTGCCCACTGAACCAGAGCTGAGACAACGAAGGTACACTTCCACCTCTCCCACCCCACCCGCATGGCCTGGCACTACATCGTGAGTTAACAAGACAAGTGAATTCTTTGCATAAAGCTGGTGTTATTAGTCCCATAACTATTACTTGTGTTGCTTTATGAAAAGTTATATTGCTGGGAGAGATTATATGCAATACGTTGGTCTATCCTTCAGTCTGATATGACATGCAATTCACACTGCTATTATCCTGTGTGTCACTAGGCCAGGGGCAGCAGAGATAACCAACCCAACCTTCCCCACCTACTCCCTCTACAGCCCTCAACAGCTGCTCTGGCTGCAGCACATGTATGCTCGCCAATACTACATGCAGTAGTAAGTATTCAATCACAAGCATTTTAGCAATTATGTCAGAATTGCTGCCGCAAAATCAAGCATTTTTGCCCGCAAATATAAAACAAATCCCAGAGAAATCCTGGTGGGAATGATTCATAGTCTCTTCACTCTGTACAGCTTGTTAACAGTCATTGAAAACAAATGTGGAGCAAAATTAGTTTGACACCCCTGGCTTACTGTAGGTGTTTCTCAAAATGCATAGTACCGTGCTCCGAGCATGCAAATTGGAGCACGGGAGGGTCGGAGTATGAGTCCAAATCATGTATGCGAAACAGAGCATGAAAGGCACCTCTTGAATGCGTACTCCATTTGTACATATTTTGAAGCATGCATCGATGCAAGCTTCAACGGAAAGTAAGCAAAGAAATATGACGCAGGAACGACAGAATAAATAATGCAACAAATATTGTAGTTAAACTCAAATATACTAATTGATAAAAAACCATTATTTTTTGAAAACATGTTTAAAAAAGGTATAATCTTCGTAAATGATATTATATGTAGGACTGGTGGAGTTATGTTGCACATGCAGCTAACAAAAACATATGGAAATGTCTGCTCTACCCAAAATTACAACCAAATAATTGCAGCATTACCGCAAAAATGGAAGAGGAAAGTGGAAGGGGGAAAAGGTAAGGAACTTGTCTGTCGGCCCTCTGTAGCTCAATTGGTAGAGCATGGCGCTTGTAACGCCAGGGTAGTGGGTTCGAACCCCGGGACCATCCATACGTAAAAATGTATGCGCACATGACTGTAAGTCGCTTTGGATAAAAGCGTCTGCTAAATGGCATATTATATATTATTATTATTATTATTATTAAAGAACATAATTGGTTAAAGAAAATTGTGATAAATAAATAAGTATACCAGTTTCATTTAAGGACCAAAGGATTGACAGCTGTCCCATATAGATTGCAAAATAGTTGGGAAGAGATTTTTGACATACCGATTCCATGGCATAGTGTTTATGAACTGATAAGCAAAACGACGCTGCATTCAAAACGTAGAATTTTCCAATTTAAATTATTATACAAAATTCTTGCTACCAATAAAATGTTATTTATATGGGGGATACAATCTTCCCAGCTCTGCAGATTTTGCTGCGAAGAGACAGAATCATTAGATCCTTTGTTTTGGTACTGTCCATTTGTACCTTGTTTTTGGACACAGGTCCAGGAATAGCTGAAGGATTGCAACATTTACCTGGAGCTAACCCTGCAGATAGCACTACTGGGTGATCTGAAAAGTCATAGTCAATCGATCAATAATATAATACAATTTTTAGCAAACATGTTTATTTTCAATTTACAATCTGTAGAAACAATGAGAATAGAAGGGTTCAGAACTTTTGTGAAACATCACAGTACAGTTGAAAAATATATGGCAAATAGAAATCCAATATGGATGGTGTGAAGAGATAGATGGGAGGTGTTGAATGGAGCTGAAAGATGGGACTAATAACAACTAACAACTAATAACAACGAGATAACTCATGTAAAGCATACTATGTCCATAATAAGAATATAGGTTATAGGTTGAGAGCTTTTGTGACAGAGCACAGTTGGAAAGATATGGCATATAGAGGCAAGCCGGATGGACATCATGAAAATAATCGGAGAGGTTGAGGGTAGAGGAAGTTCAGGAGTAAAAACAAAAAAATATAATTATTGTAAAATTGACTGTGTCCATAAAATTTATATAGTATGTATAAGCTGGAAGTAGAGGCCTAAGTGTTGTTGTTCACTAGTTTACTCCAATTAGGGAAGGGGTGGTGGGGTTGGAAAGTAATAAAGGGAAATATATTTTTTTAAAGGATATGTATGTATATGTATTTATATGTATGTATGTGTATATGTACAGTTGAAGTTGGAAGTTTACATACACTTAGGTTGAAGGTACCACGTTCATCTGTACAAACAATAGTACGCAAGTATAAACACCATGGGACCACGCAGCAGTCATACCGCTCAGGAAGGAGACGCGTTCTGTCTCCTAGAGATGAACGTACTTTGGTGCGAAAAGTGCAAATCAATCCCAGAACAACAGCAAAGGACCTTGTGAAGATGCTGGATGAAACGGGTACAAAAGTATCTATATCCACAGTAAAATTAGTCCTATATCGACATAACCTGAAAGGCCGCTCAGCAAGGAAGAAGCCACTGCTCCAAAACCGCCATAAAAAAGCCAGACTACGGTTTGCAACTGCACATGGGGACAAATATCGTACTTTTTGGAGAAATGTCCTCTGGTCTGATGAAACAAAAATAGAACTGTTTGCCCATAATGACCATCGTTATGTTTGGAGGAAAAAGGGGATTGCTTGCAAGCCGAAGAACACCATCCCAACCGTGAAGCACAAGGGTGGCAGCATCATGCTGTGGGGGTGCTTTGCTGCACTTCACAAAATAGATGGCATCATGAGGAAGGAAAATTATGTGGATATATTGAAGCAACATCTCAAGACATCAGTCAGGAAGTTAAAGCTTGGTCGCAAATGGGTCTTCCAAATGGACAATGACCCCAAGCATACTTCCAAAGTTGTGGCAAAATGGCTTAAGGACAACAAAGTCAACGTGTTGGAGTGGCCATCATAAAGCCCTGACCTCAATCCTATAGAAAATTTGTGGGCAGAACTGAAAAAGCGTGTGCGAGTAAAGAGGCCTACAAACCTGACTCAGTTACACCAGCTCTGTCAGGAGGCATGGGCCAAAATTCACCCAACTTATTGTGGGAAGCTTGTGGAAGGCTACCTGACACGTTTGACCCAAGTTAAACAATTTAAAGGCAATGCTACCAAATACTAATTGAGTGTATGTAAACTTCTGATCCACTGGGAATGTGATGAAATAAATAAAAGCTGAAATAAATCATTCTCTCAACTATTATTCTGACATTTCACATTCTTAAAATAAAGTGGTGATCCTAACTGACCTAAGACAGGGAATTTTTACTAGGATTAAATGTCAGGAATTGTGAAAGACTGAGTTTAAATGTATTTGGCTACGGTGTATATATTTGCGAGAAAAACAACAACATATGGGGGATTGGAAGTGATGCAGACAATTACATTGATGGAAGTTACAATCTATCTGCAATATTAAAGCTGATCTACCCCCTAAATTTTTTTTTAAGAAATGTCGCAACCACGTAAAAAAATACGCTACATTTCTTTATATCATTATTTGAGCTGAAGCGAGAGAAAATACAAATGTTGCCTATTCACATGTAATATGTTGCCTGAGTACAATATTTTATCTTGATACGTTAATAAATACATTCGGTGTTAATTTTGGAATGTTTACCTGCCGACGTACCGTAGATCGCAAGCCCATAATAAGTCAATTGGGCTAACTGGCTAGCTACTGCTGTTAGCCACAAAGAATCGTTAGCTAGCTACCCACAAAGAATTGACGTCTACCTTGCATAATATTCGTTCTAGGTCAGTTTTGCCTGTTAAACTATCTGGTTAGCTACATTATTACGATTCACATATAGCTAGCTGATAGTTATGAAGTAAAATGTTTGCTTTGTGTATATCTTGTTTAGTCTATTGTTGTCATTGACCTGGCTGGTAGAAGGTTGTTTTATGCATTCTCCACATTCTCGTCCTCACAAGAACGTACTCAAGAGAACATCGTTGGAGAATGCACTCGGAGCATGAGAGTGTGGAGCACGGTAATATGCATATTAAGAAACATCCTGTATCTGTCTTTTGTCCCATAGCCATGCAGCCTACGCAGCAGCAGCCTCCGCCCCCTTTGCCCCAGCCGCCGGCCCATCCCTTCCTGTCGCTCCCCACCAAGCCGCTGTCCCAGCAGCCCTGCCCAATCAGGCCCCCATTGACAACCTTCCAGCCAATCAGAATGCACAGGACGCCGCCTTTATCAACCCGGGAGCAGCCAATCAGAACCTGCGGATGAACGCCCAGGGCGGGCCTGTGATGGAGGATGAGGAGGATATGGATCGTGATTGGCTGGACTGGGTGTACACGGCTGCCCGTCTGGGAGTGTTTCTCAGTATCGTCTACTTCTACTCCAGCCTGAGCCGCTTCGCCCTGGTCATGAGCAGCCTGCTCCTTATGTACCTGTGAGTTGACTGTTGATGTGACTGTGTTTATGTTTGTTCTTATCTACCCATCTCATGTTTGCTTATGTTGGAGAAGTAAGTGCACAGTACTTGGGGATATGTAGCCGAAGCCTACATAAGCTTTCCACCATTCATTTTTCCCATAGAGGATTTTAGAAACACTTCAAATAAGGGCTGTGTTTCGTGTAGGCTTACCCTGGCGTGACGTTTTGATAACCATGTAAATCTCTCTGGGACAAGGTAACTTTTTTATCTATTCGGCTCTATTTACTCTCAGATCCAAAAATGCTAATTAATAATAATTAGCGTCAAAGTAGACATCATGCAAAACTACAAATCCCTGCAAGCTCCTGCACGTCAACTCTAGCTGACACGTTTGCTAACAGGTATTGTGTCAATTTAAAACTTGCACAAGACAGTTCACAGAATTGTCCATTGAAAGAAATGAAGCCAATTTATTCATTACTACATTTAGATAAAATTAGATAGTTCATCCATAGATTCTTACCTTTGCCTTGATTCGGCAGTCTTGTCCAGATCATCATGGTATTTGTAGTTTTTTTTATGATAGCCATATTAGCAGCTAATTAGCATTTCCTTTTTTGGGGGTGTAAATACAGGCGAATATATTGATAAAAGTCACCTTGTCCTACAGAGATTTACATGGTTATCAAAACGTCATGCCAGGCTAAGCCTAGACAAAAAACAACCCTTATTTTAAGTGTTTCTAAAATCCCCAATGGGGAAAAATTAATAGTGGAAAAATGATTGGAACCATGTCCCTGTTTGACCGCTAGGTTTTATGGGTATTTTGACTCGTACTGTTGTACTCTACAGCCAGAGCCATGTATTTAGAGAGTTGGGCCAACTTTTAGAATGTTTTATATTGTTCTAATGCTTGTCATTCAGTTACATAGCATTATTGAAATATTCCCCATGTTATGTTAATCAGGCACTAACATGGCTGCCAATAATATTTTCAAATGTCATGTAAATGCATCATAATGCTCATTCTAGACATTATTCCCTATGTAATGTTAATGGTGCGCTAACATCTCTGTCATAGAATATTGTAGTGTCATCTAAATGCATCATAATGCAGAAACCTCAATGGCACAACTCTCTAAACACATGGCTCTGTGTATAGCCTGTCCGCTAATGGTGAGGCTGGCAGTGGCTATGGGTGATGGGTAGATGAAGGCACCCGTACAGTGGCTTGCGAAAGTATTCACCCCCCTTGGCATTGTTTCCTATTTTGTTGCCTTACAACCTGGAATTAAAATTGCTTTTTTGGGGGGTTTGTATCATTTGATTTACACAACATGCCTACCACTTTGAAGATGCAATTTTTTTATTTTTTTGTGAAACAAACAAGAAATAAGACAAAAAAACAGAACTGAGCGTGCATAACTATTCACCCCCCCAAAATCAATACTTTGCAGAGCCACCTTTTGCAGCAATTACAGCTGCAAGTCTCTTGGGGTATGTCTCTATAAGCTTGGGATATTTGGCCATTCTTCAAGGCAAAACTGCTCCAGCTCCTTCCAAGTTGGATGGGTTCCGCTGGTATACAGCAATCTTTAAGTCATACCACAGATTCTCAATTGGATTGAGGTCTGGGCTGTGACTTGGCCATTCCAAGACATGTAAATGTTTCCCCTTAAACCACTTGAGTGTTGCTTTAGCAGTATGCTTAGGGTCATTGTCCTGCTGGAAGGTGCACATCCGTCCCAGTCTCAAATCTCTGGAAGACTGAAACAGGTTTCCCTCAAGAATTTCCCTGTATTTAGCGCCATCCATAATTTCTTCAATTCTGACCAGTTTCCCAGTCCCTGCCAATGAAAAACATCCCCACAGCATGATGCTGCCACCACCATGCTTCACTGTGGGGATGGTGTTCTCGGGATGATGAGAGGTGTTGGGTTTGCGCCAGACATAGCGTTTTCCTTGATGGCCAAAAAGCTAAATTTTAGTCTCATCTGACCAGAGTACCTTCTTCCATATGTTTGGGGAGTCTCCCACATGCCTTTTGGCGAACACCAAACGTGTTTGCTTATTTTTTTCTTTAAGCATCAGCCTTTTTCTGGCCATTCTTCTGTAAAGCCCAGCTCTGTGGAATGTACGGCTTAAAGTGGTCCTGTGGACAGATACTCCAATCTCCGCTGTGGAGCTTTGCAGCTCCTTCAGGGTTATCTTTGGTCTCTTTGTTGCCTCTCTGATTAATGCCCTCCTTGCCTGGTCCGTGAGTTTTGGTGGGCGGCCCTCTCTTGGCAGGTTTGTTGTGGTGCCATATTCTTTCAATTTTTTAATAATGGATTTAATGGTGCTCCGTGGGATGTTCCAAGTTTCTGATATTTTTTTATAACCCAACCCTGATCTGTAATTCTCCACAACTTTGTCCCTGACCTGTTTGGAGAGCTCCTTGGTCTTCATGGTGCCGCTTGCTTGGTGGTGCCCCTGCTTAGTGGTGTTGCAGACTCTGGGGCCTTTCAGAACAGGTGTACAGATCATGTGACACTTAGATTGCACACAGGTGGACTTTATTGAACTAATTATGTGACTTCTGAAGGTAATTGGTTGCACCATATCTTATTTAGGGGCTTCATAGCAAAGGGGGTGAATATATATGCACGCATCACTTTTCCGTTATTTATTCTGTATCATTTTTTTAAATAAGTTATTTTTTTCACTTCACCAATTTGGACTATTTTGTGTATGTCCATTACATGAAATCCAAATAAAATCCATTTAAATTGAAGGTTGTAATGCAACAAAATAGGAAAAACACCAAGGGGGATGAATACTTTTGCATGGCACTGTACAGTAATCCTGAGAGAATGAGGGCCATATGTTGTGCTTATCAGCAGAGAAGAGATGTCCTTAGCTCAATGTGTTGCAGTCACACGCTCTGTCCATTATGCAACTCCCTCAGGCTCTGGATTCAGCTCTCATCCAAACCACACATTCCAAATGTATGAGCGGAGACAAATCTGTGTGTGTTTGAGAGAGGTTGAGGGAGGGAGAAAGAGGTTGAGAGATGTTGAGGGAGGGAGAGCGATAAAGGCATGGCATTGACATACACTGACACAGTCTGTCAGGTCGTTGTGACTGCAGTGTCCTGAATGTCCTCCCGTATTTCAGTCTAATGTGAGGATATGTAGTGCTAGTTGAGTGTTTCTCTATGTGCTGCTGGGAGCTGCCTGGTACAGCAGGCCTCATCTCTGCTACGTTACTATAACTGGGGGATTAGATCTGGGCGTCAGCTCAAGGGCACTACTCCCTCCCTGATCAACTAATCTGGACAGACGTGGCAGAATGGGAACTAAGCGTTAGCTTAACGTGTAACAAGGTTTAGCGGCTAGTGCTCCACCGCCCAAGCTAATGATTAGACTGGTCTCAGTGTGTTGGAAGGAGAGGGACAGAGATCACTATCTATTAGTTGGCCTGGTTATAGGAATGTAAATAGAGTGGCCATTATTAACATGTTAGTGAGTTTGTACTTCCTCTTTGTTTGCACTACCTGTTCTTAACTGGAAATGCTTATAGGGACCACCACATAATAATAATAATAATAATATGCCATTTAGCAGACGCTTTTATCCAAAGCGACTTACAGTCATGTGCGCATACATTTTTACGTATGGGTGGTCCCGGGGATCGAACCCACTACCCTGGCGTTACAAGCGCCATGCTCTACCAATTGAGCTACAGAGGACCACCATATACTGTATACTCTGACTGTGGAATAGATACACAATTTAAGAAGAATCATGCAGATCTACTTTATTAATCCCTGTTGTCTTCCTCTCAGGCACACAGCAGGCTGGTTCCCCTTCAGACGAAGGCCCCTGGTCAGAGGTCCAAACAACCAGGTCCCCGAGGTCATCCAGAACCAACAGAACCAGGACAGGAACCCAGTGCCACCGGTAAGACTCATTTCCTCAGGGACTGGATCTCTGGGTGTGGAAAACAGATATGGCTTCATAACAAGGCATTTACTGCCTTATGTAGTAACATTCGTCACACAGCATGTAGAGCAGGGTTGTCGAACTCATTTTGGCCCGGGGCCGTATTCGGCCTTCAACGTGGTCCAGAGGGCCGCACTGAAAATTGGTTATACTTCCTCGCTGTCAAAATTAGCAAAAGATAGTCCTCTATCCATCGTTTTTGTAATTTTCAATACTCCCTGACTGTCTAGCTTTAATTTAGGTGATTATTAGCAAGCTGGACACAGTCAAGAACTGTATACATGTAGGTCCATTATTATTTCTACACAGTTTAGATTTGGTTTTAGTCATTTTGAAGTATATTGAGTTTGTGTCTCAGGAAACAAGCAGATTTAACTTCTTTAGGAAAACAGCCCTAATGTTGGAAACAAACATCATCATTTTCCAAGCTATAGCACACAATATTTTACATACAGAGATTGGTCTACTTCGTGTTTCCAGTTTTGCCATGGAAAAAATATTGGCTATACTGGTATCGTCCTGGCCCTTTTTGACTCCCCTGATATAGTTTCATTTAACTGTGTTGTAAAAATACAGTTTAAGTGTGTGTTTATGTCTGAACTCTGGTGGTGGGGCTAACAGAGTTTCTCCTCTTCCCTCAGGCGGAGGTCCCTGCAGGAGAAGAGGGGGCCGAGGCAGAGGTTGGACCGGATGAACCACACCCCCTGACTGCAGTACCTGTGCCTCAACACAGGGTGTCCATCATTTGGAGTGCCTGGATCTTCTTCAAAGCCTTCTTTGCCTCCCTCATCCCAGAGGCCCCGGCAGTGGCTAACTGAATAATCGACTCTTCCAGCAGGGGGCAGTTAACTTCAGTATCAGACCTGCCTCTCTGTCACTGGAAGTCCTCCCTCTTTGTCCTTCTGGATGGATGCCTGGACATTTTGTGAGAAATCATGAGTGATTAAAAGCGTCAACGCATACAAAGCCCTGGCTGTAGTCTGTTAAGGGTGTGGTTCATTCGGTGCTTCCTGCCTTATGATAGTGACCAAATGGTTGTATATACAGTACAGTACATACACTTCTCTCTGCCAAATGGTTGTAAATGCTGTAAATGGGTATTGGAACAAAACATTTAAATATTATTGTATTGTCTGTACACAGCACTTTACAAATGTATCTTATTATTAGAGCTGGGACAATACTAGTATCGCAATATTTTTTCCATTGCAAAAATGGAAACACGAAGCAGATCAACTCTTTGGTCCTTTAAAAAACTTATATATGTAAAATATTGTCTGCTATAGCTTGGAAAATAAATGTGACTCTGGATGAGTAATAATGTACACTCAGCGGCCAGTTTATTAGGTACACCCATCTAGTGCCGGGTCGGACCCCCTTTGCTTCCAGAACAGCCTGAATTATTTGGGTCATGGATTCTACAAGGTGTGGCGTTCAAACGTTACTCAGTTGGTATCAAGGGACCTGATGTGTGCCAGGGAAAACATTCCCCACACCATTACACCACTGCCACCAGCCTGTACCGTTGACACCAGGCAGGACGTCAACGTAGTCAGACTCATGCTGCTTACGCCAAATCTTGACTCTGACATCAGCATGACGCAACAGGAACCGAGATTCGTTGGACCGGGCAATGTTTTTCCATTCAATTGTTCAGTGTTGGTGATCGCGTGCCCACTGGAGACTCTTCTTCTTGTTTTTAGCTGATAGGAGTGGAACCCGGACCGACGAGTTGTGCATTCCGAGTTGTCTTTCTGCACACCATTTGTACTATGCCATTATTTGCCTGTTTGTGGCCCGCCTCTTAGCTTGCACAATTCTTGCCATTCTGCGACCTCTCTCATTAACGAGCTGTTATCGCCCACAGGACTGCTGCTGACTGGATGTTTTTTATTTGTCGCACCATTCTCAGCAAACCCTAGACACAGTTGTGCGTGAAAAGCCCAGGAGGCCAGCCGTTTCTGAGATACTGGAACCGGCGTGCCTGGCACCAATGATCATACCATGCTCAAAGTCGCTTAGGTCACTAGTTTTGCCCAGTAACTGAATGCCTCGATGCCTGTCTGCCTGCTTTATATAGCAAGCCAAGGCCACATGACTCACTGTCTGTAGGAGCAAACCATTTTCGCGAATGGGGTGGTGTACCTAATAAACTGAATGTTTCCAACATTAGGGCTGTTTTCCGAAATTGTTAAATCCACTTTGTGTTTTGTTTCCTTTCCACGATACGAGTATCGCAATACTGGTATTGTGCCGGCCATACTTATTATGCAAGCTTGCTTTAATCTGGGTTAAATACTGAGATGCTCATAGTGCTATATGATCAACGAGTTGTATTGCTCTTGCTCAGAGATGGAAGTGCCATACAGGGTTGTGCATGAGTATCGAATGTTTCTCTGGTTGTCTCAGATGTGAAATGGAAGGCAGTGTTAACATAGTGTGGCTTTAATTCATTAGAATGGTTAAAGAACTTCTGAAAGTAGAATTATGTTAAACACAGGAATATGCAGTTGTGTGGGCCTTAAGCCAGACTGTTTTTGCAATTAAAATGGAATCATGCATAGTAACCTCGCTCCCTTGTTACACAATGAGAAAAATATATATTGTGATTCCTTTTGGAATGCCTTTAACTGTACACATATACACTAAGTGTAATTCCGCCCTAGTATGTTCTAGTTTGATTTGTCTTTTTGTTTTTATTTAGGTAAAACAGCTTTTTAATGGATGCTGCTGTATCAAGAATATTTTGTGGAGACTTGCAATAAACATACTTATTTAAAATGATTGCCTCTTTAGATACAGCTATTTACTACACTACAGTCACCTAACAGAACAAAAATACTATACCACATCTACAGTACTCAAATCACAAGCTTGTTTTAGATAACATTTTGTTTGAGAACGATCAACAAAAATATGTTTAACATTTTCATAACATCTCATGCTAATTTTTTTTAGTTCACAAGGGTAAAGGGGTCTAGACAGTATACCCAAACGGAGCCGACAGAGGTCCGTTTGGGTCACTCTACGTAGAACTACGTACATTTGTGCGGCTGGATTTTTGGACTGTGTAGAGCCCTTAAGGCTCCGTTCCAGCTTTTTCTATCCAGAGTTCATTGACCTGTTGGAGAAATGTGGGAGTTGCAAACTGCATTCTGTGTTTACAATGTGGGGTTTACTGTAGTACATTCCACTTATTGTCCCCATCACTTCCTCTGAGTTATCCAGGCAGGCTAGAGAGTTCAACTAGTACATTTGGTCCCTAGAGACCTGCTTATTTACTGGAAAGTACACATTGTCTTAGGAAGTTGTATTGACCAATGTGGTCATGACTGATTCATATTTGCAGAAATAGTAGCACAATTCCCATTTTCTTCACATAAAACTGTGAAAGACAGATTTTGGTGAAAGGTTAGCTGTATGGTTTCATCATTCTGGGTCAAGATTGGCATTCCTGTGACTGTAAGGTATGGGAGTTTCTGAGAATGTGCCCTATAAAAATGGGTCTGTACATCTGTTATTTACTGCCATATAATAACCCTACCTCGCATGTACAGAAGTAGCCCCTGGGCCCAGATAGACCACGTAACAACACCCACTCACAAATATCCCGCTCTGGCCTGGTTGAGGCCCAATCATAGACTACTGGGGCAGTGTTGTGAAGTTTAGTTCAGCCAAGTTTAGCCTCAATCCAACCCCCATCTCCCCAGAGGTGTCTTCTGTTTCCTCCCTCTTCCTCCCCTTGTCTCTTCTGCATGCTCAACACAGCCTGGATCAGTTAGTTGAGAGGTTCTGAGGAGGCACTACACAGCTCTGGGATCCAGTTTGAAGTCAGTGTTCATTTTGCTACTGGTGTGATGGAGAAGTGTGTGATGACACTCCCAGTCCTGCTGCTGTTCCTGGGCCTGGTTGGGATGTCCCGGTCCTGTCTGGATCCAGCCTCTGCATACAGGTTCACTGGGGCTGTCTGTAGGCTGACCTACCCTGCAGCGGTGGTCTGTGAGTATCGATCTTATTTATTCCTGCCTCACTATGGTGTACTCTCAAATGTTTTTCACCAGAGCTGTTACTGACAGGGTAGTTGAACTGTTTTGTTGAGTATTATCTTTAATTGTGTATTTTCTCTTCAGTAAATGAAAAGACGACCAAGGTCATCCAGGCTGCATTCCAGCATGCCAAATATCCAAGCATCAGCAGCGAGAAGTCTATTCCCTTTGTTGGAAAGGTGAAATATGGGCTTGCCAAGTGAGTGGACCTGACCTCTAATTCCACAGTCAGTGTACCTGCACCACATGCATGTGGTTATGCTGTTCCTTTCATCCTCCTCCATTACCTCACATGCTCTCCTTTTATCCTGTATTCACTTATCATTGATAATGTATATGACACATGATTGGATGAATGCATAAGCACTCATTTTTCAATCAGTAACAGATTGAATGTCAACACTATTGCCATTGCTTTATTGATTTGCTCCTTTATTCTTGCTAAAATGAACAACCAATAATAATGTCCTCTCCTGACCTTTGCCCTCTCAGTCTGGAGATCCATAACCTGTCGATTGGGCGGAGTGAGTTTGAGCTCATACCAGGTGAAGGCATTGAGATTGCCATCTCCAACGTGTCTGCTGTTTTCAAGGGAACCATCCAGTATGGATATGGAAGCTGGCTGTGAGTCCTTCCATCAGTAACTGTGAAAACGGAGGATGAGAGGGATGGAAATAGTTGGTGATATGATTAGATAGAACTTTCTAGATCTTGCAATTACGTATGTTGTGATTTATCCAAATTTCATGTTGGCTACTACATACGTTTTGTATGTTGACCTTGAATAGCTGCGTGGTCATGACACTGCCATGTGTCATCTGTTTTGCAGTGTCAATGTGGGACATTCAGTAGATTTTGAAATTGATTCGCACATTGATCTTGGCATTAACCCCAAACTCTGTAAGTACCTTTTTCTGCCCATTGTTTTTGTGGTGTTCAATGTTCACTCTTCCTTCTCATTCTTCCTAAGAGTTTACAGGAATCTTATCTTACCTTTTGTCATGTATTTCCTGGCACTGATCATGTGCTTTCTCTGTCTCAGATTGTGGAAAGGGAAAAGTTGCTGCAGACACATCAGACTGCTACCTCACGTTCCACAAGCTCGATCTCCTGCTTCAGGGAGACAGGGAGTACGTGGCACGTTATGGAACCCAGATAGTTTTATACACATAGTGTAAAATGGTATCTGTAATGTGCTCTGCCTTCAAAGAAAGTAACTGCAACATGAAGGACAAACCCTATGTTTTACATTTTGGCTTTAGGCCTGGCTGGCTCAAGAGGCTGTTCACAAACTTCATCACCTTCACTGTGAAGCTGGTTGTTAAAATCCAGGTAAGTGATGAATCAGAGGGAAGTATAGAATAATAATTTACAGTATTTCAAAGTATTGGACAGAGGCCTCAATGATGGCTCAACTCTGCCCTCTACTGTCTTGTTAATGCAACCCAGCTAGAAATTTGACAAACGTCATCTGTCACATCAGCTGCAACAAAAAATGAAACAATGCCTCTGTTTCCGTCATCTTAGATCTGTAAGGAGATCAATAATGTGGCAAACATATTGGCTGACTTCATACAGGAACAAGCAGGTATGGTCACATTTGGGGAGCCTGGGTAGATAACTCACGAAGCCTATTGAAGTAACATGATTATGTCTTATTTTGAATATCTGTCAGTGACTATGTTTACATCTCCGCGTTGATTCCCACAGAGCAATTCCTTAGTGATGGTGACATCAGCATGGATATTGGAGTAACTTCTGCCCCTGTCATCACATCCAATTACATTGAATCATACCACAAGGTACTGTATAGCCCTTTATTATCTAGCATCCAAATTCATTGTACATGATGATGCACAATACCAATTGTTGTTATATGTATTACAGTATCTTTCTTCTGTCTTCCCATGATGTCCAGGGTCTGGCCAAATACAACAACGTGACAGCTGTCATCAATGCGTCTGTATTCGACCCCAGCCAACTGACAGAGGACCGCATGCTGTACTTCTGGATCTCTGATGAGGTCTTGAACCCCCTGATTACAGCTGCCCACCAAGATAGACGTTTTGTCCTCAACATCTCTGGCCTGGAGCTCACAGTAGGTGTCTAACAGACTAGTGGAAGTCATGTGTCCAAGGCAGCATTTATCAGAGAAACAGTCATCAGGACTTGTTGTTGAGGTTTGGCCCACGGTGTGTTACAATATGGTAGAGGCAGGGCAACTGACTGTAGCACTGTGACGGTCAATGAAATTCTTGTTCATTACAAGCTGAATTACTGTGTTTGTGTTAATGTAAGCCAGTTATTTAACATGGTCAATTTCATTTCAGGAACTGTTTAAGACAGATTTGTCTACACCCATGCCAGAGTTCCTAAGCCAGGTAATGTGACAAACCCACTCAGGACAGTCCTCAGACACACACGACATGCTTTTATCAGCTCCACAGACCATGCGACCTACCTTGGCCTCTGAAATGTAGTGGTGTTTTGAGTTTACATTGTATTTCAAACCTCTTCTATTGTGTGTATACAGGTAAGTCAGAGTGTTTCTATCTGTCTGTGCCTGTATGACACCTGTCTCTCTGTATCCCTTTGTCAGTTTCTGTCCTCTGAGGAGCCAGTGCTGAGGGTGTGGAGTGTGTCAGTGCCTCACCTGTGGACAACCCCACTGGGTACCTCTGTCAGAGCTGTGGCTGCAGCAGAGCTGACTAGTGGAGCTGAGGACATCCCAGGACTTTACTTTGAGATGGTCAGCCAAACAAACACTTGTTTTAATATTTTAAATGATAACCTAGCATCAGACAGTCATGTGTCCCAGATGAGTAGCTGAATGGGGTTTGCTGTTGTCTAGGAGGTGGAGGTTGTTGTGACTGCTTCATACGCAAAGAAGAAACTGATCCTAAATGCTACAGCATCACAGTGAGTCCATTTACACACCTATACTGTAGTGAACATGTACATACAGTGAGGGAAAAAAGTATTTGATCCCCTGCTGATTTTGTACATTTTCCCACTGACAAAGAAATGATCAGTCTATAATTTTAATGGTAGATTTATTTGAACAGTGAGAGACAGAATAACAACAGAAAAATCCAGAAAAACGCATATCAAAAATGTTATAAATTGATTTGCATTTTAATTAGGGAAATAAGTATTTGACCCCTCTGCAAAACATGACTTAGTACTTGGTGGCAAAACCCTTGTTGGCAATCACAGATGTCAGATGTTTCTTGTAGTTGGCCACCAGGTTTGCACACATCTCAGGAGGGATTTTGTCCCACTCCTCTTTGCAGATCTTCTCCAAGTCATTAAGGTTTCGAGGCTGACGTTTGGCAACTCGAACCTTCAGCTCCCTCCACAGATTTTCTATGGGATTAAGGTCTGGAGACTGGCTAGGCCACTCCAGGACCTTAATGTGCTTCTTCTTGAGCCACTCCTTTGTTGCCTTGGCCGTGTGTTTTGGATCATTGTCATGCTGGAATACCCATCCACGACCCATTTTCAATGCCCTGGCTGAGGGAAGGAGGTTCTCACCCAAGATTTGACGTTACATGGCCCAGTCCATCGTCCCTTTGATGCGGTGAAGTTGTCCTGTCCCCTTAGCAGAAAAACACCCCCAAAGCATAATGTTTCCACCTCCATGTTTGACGGTGGGGATGGTGTTCTTGGGGTCATAGGCAGCATTCCTCCTCCTCCAAACATGGCGAGTTGAGTTGATGCCAAAGAGCTCCATTTTGGTCTCATCTGACCACAACACTTTCACCCAGTTCTCCTCTGAATCATTCAGATGTTCATTGGCAAACTTCAGAGGGGCATGTATATGTGCTTTCTTGAGCAGGGGGACCTTGCAGGCACTGCAGGATTTCAGTCCTTCACGGCGTAGTGTGTTACCAATTGTTTTCTTGGTGACTATGGTCCCAGCTGCCTTGAGATCATTGACAAGATCCTCCCGTGTAGTTCTGGGCTGATTCCTCACCGTTCTCATGATCATTGCAACTCCACGAGGTGAGATCTTGCATGGAGCCCCAGGACGAGGGAGATTGACAGTTATTTTGTGTTTCTTCCATTTGCGAATAATCGCACCAACTGTTGTCACCTTCTCACCAAGCTGCTTGGCGATGGTCTTGTAGCCCATTCCAGCCTTGTGTAGGTCTACAATCTTGTCCCTGACATCCTTGGAGAGCTCTTTGGTCTTGGCCATGGTGGAGAGTTTGGAATCTGATTGATTGCTTCTGTGGACAGGTGTCTTTTATACAGGTAACAAGCTGAGATTAGGAGCACTCCCTTTAAGAGTGTGCTCCTAATCTCAGGTCGTTACCTGTATAAAAGACACCTGGGAGCCAGAAATCTTTCTGATTGAGAGGGGGTCAAATACTTATTTCCCTCATTAAAATGCAAATCAATTTATATAACATTTTTGACATGCGTTTTTCTGGATTTTTTGGTTGTTATTCTGTCTCTCACTGTTCAAATAAACCTACCATTAAAATGATAGACATCATTTCTTTGTCAGTGGGCAAACGTACAAAATCAGCAGGGGATCAAATACGTTTTTTCCCTCACTGTACACATGTACAGTGGGGGAAAAAAGTATTTAGTCAGCCACCAATTGTGCAAGTTCTCCCACTTAAAAAGATGAGAGAGGCCTGTAATTTTCATCATAGGTACACGTCAACTATGACAGACAAATTGAGAAAAATAAATCCAGAAAATCACATTGTAGGATTTTTAATGAATTTATTTGCAAATTATGGTGGAAAATAAGTATTTGGTCACCTACAAACAAGCAAGATTTCTGGCTCTCACAGACCTGTAACTTCTTCTTTAAGAGGCTCCTCTGTCCTCCACTCGTTACCTGTATTAATGGCACCTGTTTGAACTTGTTATCAGTATAAAAGACACCTGTCCACAACCTCAAACAGTCACACTCCAAACTCCACTATGGCCAAGACCAAAGAGCTGTCAAAGGACACCAGAAACAAAATTGTAGACCTGCACCAGGCTGGGAAGACTGAATCTGCAATAGGTAAGCAGCTTGGTTTGAAGAAATCAACTGTGGGAGCAATTATTAGGAAATGGAAGACATACAAGACCACTGATAATCTCCCTTGATCTGGGGCTCCACGCAAGATCTCACCCCGTGGGGTCAAAATGATCACAAGAACGGTGAGCAAAAATCCCAGAACCACACGGGGGGACCTAGTGAATGACCTGCAGAGAGCTGGGACCAAAGTAACAAAGCCTACCATCAGTAACACACTACGCCGCCAGGGACTCAAATCCTGCAGTGTCAGACGTGTCCCCCTGCTTAAGCCAGTACATGTCCAGGCCCGTCTGAAGTTTGCTAGAGTGCATTTGGATGATCCAGAAGAGGATTGGGAGAATGTCATATGGTCAGATGAAACCAAAATATAACTTTTTGGTAAAAACTCAACTCGTCGTGTTTGCATCCAAAGAACACCATACCTACTGTGAAGCATGGGGGTGGAAACATCATGCTTTGGGGCTGTTTTTCTGCAAAGGGACCAGGACGACTGATCCGTGTAAAGGAAAGAATGAATGGGGCCATGTATTGTGAGATTTTGAGTGAAAACCTCCTTCCATCAGCAAGGGCATTGAAGATGAAACGTGGCTGGATCTTTCAGCATGACAATGATCCCAAACACACCGCCCAGGCAACGAAGGAGTGGCTTCGTAAGAAGCATTTCAAGGTCCTGGAGTGGCCTAACCAGTCTCCAGATCTCAACCCCATAGAAAATCTTTGGAGGGAGTTGAAAGTCCGTGTTGCCCAGCGACAGCCCCAAAACATCACTGCTCTAGAGGAGATCTGCATGGAGGAATGGGCCAAAATACCAGCAACAGTGTGTGAAAACCTTGTGAATACTTACAGAAAACATTTGACCTGTGTCATTGGCAACAAAGGGTATATAACAAAGTATTGAGAAATTTTGTTATTGACCAAATACTTATTTTCCACCATAATTTGCAAATAAATTCATTAAAAATCCTACAATGTGATTTTCTGGATTTTTTTTTCTAATTTTGTCTGTCATAGTTGACGTGTACCTATGATGAAAATTACAGGCCTCTCATCTTTTTAAGTGGGAGAACTTGCACAATTGGTGGCTGACTAAATACTTTTTTCCCCCACTGTATATGAACTGTATATGTCAAAAAAGGCATTACATAAAGACCATGCTTTTAATTGTTCTTGTGATACTGACTCCACTGTGCCTCTATAAGGGATACCGACTGTAATGGTTTAGTAAAACACTTTCTGATTGTATGGCAGTTCACTAACAAGTGTGCAGAACAGAAATATAAACGCAACATGTAAAGTGTTGGTCCCATTTTTCATGAGCTGAAATAAAAGATCCCAGAAATGTTCCATACACACAAAAAACGTATTTCTCTCACATTTTGGGCACACATTTGTTTACATACCTGTTAGTGAGCATTTCTCCTTTGCCAAGATAGTCCATCCACTTGACAGGTGTGGCATGTCAAGAAGCTGATTAAACAACATGATCATGCTAGCTGTGCCACTAGAGATCCTGGTTCGAGTCCAGGCTCTGTCGCAGCCGGCCGCGACCGGGAGACCCATGGGGCGGCGCACAATTGGCCCAGCGCCGTCCAGGGTAGGAGAGGTTTTGACCGTCCTCCTGTAGCTCAGTTGGAAGAGCATGGCGCTTGCAACGTCAGGGTTGTGGATTCGATTCCCACGGGGGGCCAGTATGACAAATGTATGCACTCACTAACTCTAAGTCGCTCTGGATAAGTGCGTCTGCTAAATGACTAAAATGTAAAAAAATTTAAAATTGATGTTCTTGTCCCATCGCGCACTAGCGACTCCTGTGGCGGGCCGGGCGCAGTGCACGCTGACTCGTTCGCCAGGTGTACGGTGTTTCCTCTGGCACATTGGTGCGGCTGGCTTCCGGATTAAGCAGGCACTGTGTCAAGAAGCAGTGCGGCTCGGTTGGGTTGTGTTTCGGAGGACGCACGACTCTCGACCTTCGCCTCTCCCGTGTCCGTACGGGGGTTGCTGCGATGGGACAAGACTGTAACTACCAATTGAATACCACGAAATTGGGGAGAAAAAGGGAGAAAATACCAACAAAAAAAACACAAAAAATACATGATAATTACACAGGTGCACCTCGTGCTGGGGATAATAAATGGCCACTTTAAAATGTGCAGTTTTGTCACACAAAACAATGCCTCAGATATCTCAAGTTTTGAGCGAGCGTGCAATTGGCATGCTGACTGCAGGATTGTCCACCAGAGCTGTTGCCAGAGAATTGAATGTCCATTTCTATACCATAAGCTGCCTCCAACGTCGTTTTAGAGAATTTGCCAGTACGTCCAACCGGCCTTACAAACGCAGACCACGTTTAACCACGCTAGCCCAGGACCTCCACATCTGGCTTCTTCACCCGAGGGATGGTCTGAGACCAGCCACCCGGACAGCTGATGAAACTATGGGTTTGCACAACTGAAGAATTTCGGCACAAACTGTCAGAAACCGTCTCAGGGAAGCTCATTTGCATGCTCGTCGTCCTCACCAGGGTCTTGACCTGACTGCAGTTCGGCGTCGTAACCGACTTCAGTGGGCAAATACTCACCTTCGATGGCCACTGGCAGGCTGGAGAAGTGTGCTCTTCACAGATTAATTCCGGATTCAACTGTACCAGGCAGATGGCGTTGTGTGGGCGAGCGGTTCGCTGATGTCAACATTGTGAACAGAGTGCCCCATGGTGGCGGTGGGGTTATGGTATGGGCAGGCGAAAGCTACAGACAATGAACACAAGTGCATTTTATCGATGGCAATTTGAATGCAAAGAGATACTGTGACGAGATCCTGAGGCCCATTGTCATGCCATTCATCAGCCGCCATCACCTCATGTTTCAGCATGATAATGCACGGCCCCATGTCACAAGGATCTGTACACAATTCCTGGAAGCTGAAAATGTCCCAGTTCTTCCATGGCCTGCATAATCACCAGACATGTCACCCATTGAGCATGTTTGGGATGCTCTGGATCGACGTTTATGACAGCGTGTTCCAGTTCCCGCCAATATCCAGCAACTTCGCACAGTCATTGAAGAGTGAGACAACATTCCACAGGCCACAATCAAGAGCCTGATCAACTCTATGCGAAGGAGATGTGTCATGCTGCATGAGGCAAATGGGGATCACACCAGATACTGATTGGTTTTCTGATCCATGCCCCTACCTTTTTTTTAAGGTATCTGTAACCAACAGTCGCATATCTGTATTCCCAGTCATGTGAAATCCATAGATTAGGGCATAGTGAATTTATTTCAATTGACTGATTTCCTTATATGAACTGTAACTCAGTAAAATCTTTGAAATTGTTGCATTTGCCTTTTATATAATTTTGTTCAGTGTACCTCACACTGCTGCCTATGTCTGTGCAAGTAAAAAAAAAAATTGTGACTTTTCTTCTTCCCACAAAAGAATTTCCATAATGAAGGAATCACTGTCCACAGACACACTGCAGGTGAGAATTAAATAGACATACTGAATCTCTAAGTAACCGTAGCGGTGATAGATAGCTTTATTTCTCATTTCTTTTGCTCTCCAGATGGTTGAAGCCCACATTGAATATTTGAAAGAGGCAGTGGAGAAAATAGGTATCCCAAAAGTCATATCCGGTGAGTACTGTTTCATCCTTTCCCGTTTAGTGAATTGTGATATACAGTGCATTCAGAAAATATTCAGACCCCTTGACTTTTTCCACATTTTGTTACTTTATGGCCTTATTCTAAAATGGATTACATTGTTTTTTTCCTCATCAATCTACACACAATACCCCATAATGACAAAGCAAAAACAGGTTTTTTCAAAATAAATAAAACGGAAATATTACATTTACATAAGTAATCAGACCCTTTACTCAGTACTTTCATTCAGAGACTTGTCCCGAAGCCACTCCTGCATTGTCTTGTCTGTGTGCTTAGGGTCGTTGTCCTGTTGGAAGGTGAACCTTCGCCCCAGTCTGAGGTCCTGAGAGCTCTGGAGCAGGTTTTCATCAAGGATCCCTCTGTACTTTGCTCCGTTCATCTTTCCCTCGATCCTGACTAGTTTCCCAGTCCCTGCCGCTGAAAAACATCCCCACAGGATGATGCTGCCATGCTTCACCGTAGGGATGGTTCCAGGTTTCCTCCAGACATGATGCTTGGCATTCAGGCCAAATAATTCAATCTTGGTTTCATCAGACCAGAGAATGTTGTTTCTCATGGTCTGAGAGTCCTTTAGGTGCCTTTTGGCAAACTCCAAGCGCGCTGTCATGTGCCTTTTACTGAGGAGTTGCTTCCGTCTGGCCACTCTACCATAAAGGCCTGATTGGTGGAGTGCTGCAGAGATGGTTGTCCTTCTGGAAGGTTCTCCCATCTCCACAGAGGAACTCTGGAGCTCTGTCAGAGTGACCATCGGGTTCTTGGTCACCTCCCTGACCAAGGCCCTTCTCCCTCGATTGCTCAGTTTGGCCGGGCGGCCAGCTCTAGGAAGAGTCGATGGTTCCAAACTTCTTCCATTTAAGAATGAATCTGTGCCTCGACACAATCCTGTCTCAGAGCTCAAATCAAATCAAATCAATTTTTAGTTGTCACATACACGTGTTTAGTAGATGTTATTGCGTGTGTAGCGAAATGCTTGCGCTTCTAGCTCCGACAGTGCAGTAATATCTAAGAAGTAATATCTAACAATTTCACAACATATACCCAATACACACAAATCTAATAAAGGAATGGAATTTAAGAATACATATATGGACAAGCAATGACAGAGCGGCATGGACTAAGATACAGTAGAATATTATAGAATACAGTATATACCTATGAGATGAGTAGTGCAAGATATGTAAACATTATTAAAGTGACTAGTGTTCCATTTCTTAAAGTGGCCAGTGATTTCAATAGGCAGAAGCAGCCTCTAATGTGCTAGTAATGGCTATTTAACAGTCTGATGGCCTTGAGATAGAAGCTGTAAACGTTTGTGAGGGTTTTAGGTGCCAAGCCAAATTTCTTCAGCCTCCTGATGTTGAAGAGGCTCTGTTGCGCCTTCTTCACCACACTGTCTGCGTGAGTGGACCATTTCAGTTTGTCAGTGATGTGTACGCCAAGGAACTTGAAGCTTTCCACCTTCTCCACTGTGGTCCCGTCGATGTGGATAGGGGGTGCACCCCCTGCTGTTTCCTGAAGTCTCCTTTGTTTTGTTGACGTTGAGTGAGAGGCAATTTTCCTGGCACCACACTCCCAGAGCCCTCACCTCCTCCCTGTAGGCTGTCTCGTCATTGTTGTTAATCAAGTCTACTACTGTTGTGTCGTCTGCAGACTTGATGATTGAGTTGGAGGCGTGCTTGGCCACATAGTCATGGGTGAACAGGGAGTACAGGAGGGGGCTGAGCATGCACCCTTGTGGGGCCCCAGTGTTGAGGATCAGCAAAGTGGAGATGTTGTTTCCTACCTTCACCACCTGGGGGCGGCCCGTCAGGAAGTCCAGGACCCAGTTGCACAGGGCGGGGTTCAGACCCAGGGCCTCGAGCTTAATGATGTGCTTGGAGGGTAATATGGTGTTGAATGCTGAGCTATAGTCAATGAACAGCATTCTTACATAGGTATTCCTCTTGTCCAGATGGGATAGGGCAGTGTGCAGTGTGATGGCGATTGCATCGTCTGTGGATCTATTGGGGCGGTAAGCAAATTGAAGTGGGTCTAGGGTGACAGGTAAGGTAGAGGTGATATGATCCTTGACTAGTCTCTCAAAGTTCATGATGACAGAGGTGAGTGCTACGGGGCGATAGTCATTTAGTTCAGTTACCTTTGCTTTCTTGGGTACAGGAACAATGGTGGCCATCTTGAAGCATGTGGGGACTGCAGACGGGGAAAGGGAGAGATTGAATATGTCCGTAAACTCACCAGCCAGCTGGTCTGCACATGCTCTGAGGACGCGGCTAGGGATGCCGTCTGGGCCGGCAGCCTTGCGGGGGTTAACATGCTTAACCGTCTTACTCACGTTGGCCATGGAGAAGGAGAGGCCACAATCCTTGGTAGTGGGCCTCGTCGGTGGCACTGTGTTATCCTCAAAGCGGGCGAAGAAGGTGTTTAGCTTGTCTGGAAGCGAGACGTCGGTGTCGGCGACGTGGCTGGTTTTCCTTTTGTAGTCTGTGATTGTCTGTAGACCCTGCCACATACGTCTTGTGTCTGAGCCGTTGAATTGCGACTCCACTTTGTCTCTATACTGATGTCCTTAGCACGGGTACTTCCTGTTTTAGTTTCTGCCTATAGTAAGGGAGGAGCAAAATGGAGTCGTGGTCAGATTTGCAGAAAGGAGGGCGGGGGAAGTAATCCCGGAAGTTCGAATAGCAATGGTCGAGGATTTTAGCAGCCCGAGTACAACAGTCGATATGTTGATAGAACTTCGGCAGCCTAGTCCTCAAATTTGGTTTGTTAAAATCCCTGGCTACAATAAATGCAGCCTCAGGATATGTGGTTTCCAGTTTGCATAAAGTCCAGTGAAGTTCTTTGAGGGCCGTCGTGGTATCGGCTTGAGGGGGGATGTACACGGCCGTGACTATAACCTAATAAAATTATCCTGGGAGATAATACGGTCGGCATTTGATTGTGCGGTATTCTAGGTCGGGTGAACAAAAGGACTTGAGTTCCTGTATGTTACTACAATTACACCATGAGTCGTTAATCAGACAATTCCTTCGACCTCATGGTTTTATTTTTACTCTGACATGCACTGTCAACTGTGGGACCTTATATAGACAGGTGTGCACCTTTCCAAATCATGTCCAATCAATTGAATATACCACAGGTGGACTCCAATCAAGTTGTAGAAATATCTCAAGGATGATCAATGGAAACAGAATGCACCTGATCTCAATTTCGAGTCTCATAGCAAAGGGTCTGAATACTTATGTAAATAAGGTATTGTTCTGTTTTTAGTTTTTTATACATTTGCCCAAATTTCTAAGAACCTGCTTTCATTTTGTCATTTTGGGGTATTGTGTGTAGATTGATGAGGATTTAAAAATGTGTGTAATCCATTTTAGAATAAGGCTGTAACATAACAAAATGTGGAAAAAGTTAAGGGGTCTGAATACTTTCCGAATGCACTGTAAGTGTGTTGTGAACAATATGTTCCTCTTTTGACCCTGTTGTCTTAGAACTAGAACCAAGTTTAACTGCAGTAATGGACAAACAGGGAGCAAATCTGTTTGATATCATCGAACCCAAGGTTGTTTCTCAGGATGTGAGTACTCATACATACACCTTTACTTCATTCTTACTCATCATAAGCTCAAATGAAAATGTATACACAAACTATAGGACTAAATACATGTTATACACAACTGATACTATTCATTGTCATCTGTCTTTCTGTCTGTAGGGTTTTGTGATTATCCAGACAGACTTTGGCTTTCCTCATCATCTGCTTGTGGAATTCCTCAGGAAGACTCTGGAGTGATTCTAGTATTGAGATAGTGGGAGTGGTCACAGGCGCTCCCTTTCTTGAGACGCGTATCAAATCACATACAGTAGGCTATACTGAGGTCTAATGTGCAATGTTTTGAATGACCGTATTAGTGGAAGTGTTGATAAACTTATACTTGGGAGTACAATTACTAGTTGTATTTGCACATTGAACAGGTCCAAACACATAGCAAATCAGGCACTGCATGTGTGTGAAAAGGTTTATGAAAAGGTCATTGTCTTTGTACGCTCATTATGAACTTCTGTATTGACATGGTTGATTCTGTCTCTTAACCTTGTCCCTAAAGCTCAATTAGACATTCAACTTGGCTCAATTAAAAACATGATTTGTATTTGCATACTGTATGCAAAGGGTTAAATGTGACCATGGCAGTAGGGTATTTCCGCTCATTTCTTGTGATTGGATTGGTTAATTTAATATGCCATGGTTCAGGTGGCACAGGGCAGGTAGAACCGGTTCCTCTGCCAACTACCCTGGTATACCAGGTGTCCTTCTGCCCTCTGGGAAGATAGCCATTGATCGGTAGAAGATTGCTTTAGAATGGAAACAATACCAACTTGTTTGGTCTCTAAAACGTCCCACTGAAATGTGCATTTTTGGAAATAAACTAATATACGGTTGATGGTAGTCTCCTTTAAATTCATACACTTTTTTAAATAAAGTAAAGTAATAGAGGAGATATATATTGGAAAAGTCTTGGAAAATAAGTTATATTTTATCATATATATAGGGACAATGTTCTTATAGAAAGGAAAGTACTACATCTTCACAATGAAATAAAGTCTTATTATATGATGATATTGCCTGCCCCTTCCACCCCTCCTCCAGCAATATGCTTATGACTGTAGAGCCTACATGTAGCAGGGTCATTCCTACAATGTGGTGCCTTTTGGACCTTTGTGGAAAAAAAGTATAGAATATATATATATATATATATATATATATATATATATATATATATATATATATATATATATATATATATTTATTTTATTTTATTTTATTTTTTTATTTTTTTTATATCAGAAAAAGGACATGTTTGACTTTCAGAAAAACCTATTGGTTAAGCACTTCATTTGTTTTAGGTGAATTTTGTTAGGTGCATAATCTTAACGATGGAACCTAACATGGAGGAAATTTGGAGCATGGACATTTATGAGTGGGACATACAGACTAAAAACATGAAACATGGACAAATTTATAAAACTGAGTGTTTATATTTATTTAGCTTTGCACCATAGTTTTCCCACCAAAGAAATGATGACACTTCCTGAATGGTGTCATTGTAGGAAGGGGTTGTTTTCTTAAATGGAGAATTACAACAAACTAACAGGGTGGAAAGTGATATCAGGGACAGAAAATCTTAAATACAATAATCATGAAAAAAAAAACATTAATGAGATAATTTAACTAGGACTATAAAATTATGAAGAAAAAAAGTGTTCAAAATGCATACAATTCCCTTTCAAGATCCATATTTTGGTGTTTTTAAGGTAAAGGACACAACTTTATATTTAAAGCCTTTTGGAATCCACATTTTCCTCTAAATAAGAAGTGATATTTCCTGGGGACAGAAAAGACACCGCTTGGTAGGAATGACCCAGCTAGCAAGTTTAGCCATACAACGGTCGTAATACCACTTTCGAAGTCTAACATGCTGACCAAACCGGTGTGGTGAGATAACTCGATTTGTTGGAATACGGCGATACGAGGGCTTATTTCAAAGAGCGTTCCGTAACCCACGCCCCAGTGGGCAGAGCTAGACATATTGCTCTGGGACAGGTTTTAATATGAATAAAACCCTCTCGTTTTACAATGGATCCGCCTAGATTCTGTGTACAGTAGCGATGCGTGGGTAAAAAAATGCCATAGGCCTATTACAACCTATGTGTTGTGATAATTGCGTTGTTTGCTCGATAACCTGTTAGTTCATATGCCTTGACACCGTGATACACTATATATACAAATGTATGTGGACACCCCTTCAAATTAGTGGATTTGGCTATTTCAGCCACACCCGTTGCTGACAGGTGTATAAAATCAAGCACACAGCCATGCAATCTCCATAGACAAACATTGGCAGTAGAATGGCCTTACTGAAGAGCTCAGTGACGTTTAACGTGTCACCTTCATAGGATGCCACCTTTCCAACATGTCAGTTCGTCAAAATTCTGCCCTGCTAGAGCAGCCCCAGTCAACTGTAAGTGCTGTTATTGTGAAGTGGAAACATCTAGGAGCAACAACGGCTCAGCCCCGATGTGGTAGGCCACACAAGCTCACAGAACGGGACCGCCGAGTGCTGAAGCACGTAGCGCGTAAAAATCGTCTGTCCTCGGTTGCAACACTCACTGCCGAGTTCCAAACTTCCTCTGGAAGCAACATCAGCACAATAACTGTTAGTCAGGAGCTTCATGAAATGGGTTTCCATGGCCAAGCAGCCGCACATACGACTAAGATCACCATGTGCAATGCCAAGCGTCAGCTGGAGTGGTGTAAAGCTCGCCGCCATTGGACTCCGGAGCAGTGGAAATGCCTTCTCTGGAGTGATGAATCACGCTTCACCATCTGGCAGTCCGACAGATAAATCTGGGTTTGGCGGATGCTAGGAGGACACTACTTGCCCGAATGCATCAGCCCCTTAGTTCCAGTGAAGAAAAATCTTAACGCTACAGCATACAATTACATTCTAGACGATTCTGTGCTTCCAACTTTGTGGCAACAGTTTCGGGAAGGTACTTTCCTGTTTCAGCATGACAATGCCCCTTGCACAAAGCGAGGTCCATACAGAAATGGTTGAGATCGGTGTGGAAGAACTTGACTGGCCTGCACAGAGACCTGACCTCAACCCCATCGAACACCTTTGAGATGAATTGGAACGCTGACTGCGAGCCAGGCCTAATCGCCCAACATCAGTGCCCGACCTCAGTAATGCTCTTGTGGCTGAATGGAAGCAAGTCCCCACAGCAATGTTCCAACATTTAGTGGAAAGCCTTCCCAGAAGAGTGGAGGCTGTTATAGCAGCAAAGGTGGGACAATGAGATGTTCGACGAACCCTGAAACCTCCCAGTCAGATAGAACATCGCTGCCTGCCCACCTGTGGGGAAAACAACCTCTGGTTACCTCATTGGCTCACTGCAAAAACGTAACCTTTTTCAATCACAATTTTCTTGTTGTCTTATTGTTTTAGTCAATTACAAAAGTACATTTAAGAAAAGTACAATATGTCTAAAGATTACTTTTCAACACTGCCTGCTCCACATTCTCTCTACTTACATAAAAAAATAATATTGTCGGGCAGGATCATCAACTAGGTGATGGTCAGGGGGCCGGAACAGGCAGGGTCGGCAGCTAGGCCTGTAATCGAAAGGTCCCTGGTTCGAATTCCCGAGCCGACTAGGTGAGAAATCTGTAGATGTGCCCTTGAGCAAGGCACTTAACCCTAATTGCTCATGTAAGTCGCTCTGGATAAGAGAGTCTACTAAATCACTCAAATGTAATCATAATTACACAAATAATTTGTGGACTGCAAATTGACCACAAGAAGCCCAAACAGACATAGTTTGACTAAAACATAATCATTTCAAACCTTGCTTACATTTGTACATGATCACGTCTCTCTATTATGCGTGGGAATACTTGGGAACAGATTTCTTAAATAATAATCACCTGGAGCTTATGTCCTGGTGTTTTTACAGTCTGTTGTGTCCAATAATAAAATATGTAAATAAAAAAGTAATATTTTCCTCAGAAATTTGGGGGGCCAAATAAAACCACGGTCACCAGTTGGGGAACCCTGTTATAGGGCTTCCCTCATACCCCTTTTCATGATGGTGCTAGCAGCCACATGAGTGAGTGTTAGCTAGCTACTGACTTGAACAAACGGACAATACAGCTACAAGTAGTGAGTGGAGTTACAAACGGACTATGCTAAACAAATTAAATGTCTTAACTGTGATTAAATGTTTTCCACACACATAGTGTAGCAAGGTCCCCACATTTCCCACTCTCCCACAAAGAATAGCCTGAACCCACAGGGCTCTTCTTGCAGGTTCTATTTCCCTACGTGGGAGCATTACAGACCGTAGGTTGGGATTTTTGACCTGGTTACATGTACAAAACGCGGCACCGGTGTGCTTTAGGACCATGTGGACGCCTCAGAGTGGTCGGTAGGCTGTTTTCCAGTTTCAGCCAGCTGGATTTAGGACCACACAGACACCGCAGAGCATGAGGACAGGCTGTGTGAAGGCAAAGCTTCTGAAAGGCTGGCGCATAGGACCAGCACGGGAGAGATGATCAGAGGTAGCTGCTGTCTGGTTTGAACATTTTCTCAGAGATGTAAAAGCAAGCAGAGCAGAAACTGGCTACTCTTTAGTTGACTGATATAGCTGGCAAGGTAACTGCTGTTTGACAGAAAAAAAGTATTTATTCCCAGTGCTAAGCTAGTAGTGTAACTGACATGTTACGTTAGCCAATGTTTCATCCCTTCTCGACTGAAGTGAATGAACTACTAGCCACTAGCTAGTAGCTACCACAGCCAGTTCAGCTCTAGCTAGTCTCTAGCTATCTGTCAGGTAGCAGTATCTAACAGCTGTTGTGTGTATGAAAATGTTTTGTAGCTTTTGTTTTGTCCCGTTTCAACGGAAGTAAATTTGATGATGTACCTCAATCACACTAGACCTGAATCAAATGATGAAACCAACGGCCAAACGATTGAAGACAATATATTCTGACGTTTCTTCAGCATGTGAGTTTTATTAGTCAGTATAGCCATGTAATGTTATTGATCTGTCAGTTTCCCTAGCTAATTTCCTACTTTTTACACAGACACGGTATATAAAGCTCTACAGGCTTCACTGTCATGGTGCACAGTCAGTACACAACACTATGCTCATAATGTCTTAGCAGGATCAGACAGCCAGGGAAGACCAGTCTACGGAGCTCAGGTGAATTTTGCAGTACATTATAACAATCAGTGAATGGATACAAAGTTCCATCTTGAGTTTATGGGTAGGCTACAGTCTGGGATCTGGGAATAATGTTCATTTCAATTATTGAACAAATGATTCTATTCTTGGATAATATAATGTATAAATGTACACCAAGGTAATTCTTTGTCATGCCTCATCTGAGCAGGAACAGATAGTGACAGGGGTCTCAGCAGGGTCAGGCAGTCAGGGAAGTCCAGTCTGTGACGGCGCTGAGGCAAACTTTTGCAGATACAACACTTTATTCTCTCTGTGCAGCAAACTCTGGACAAACAAGAAGCTTCAAAGATTGAAACTATTTTAAGGCAGTCTGACAAACCTCTAAAGTAGATTTCCAAACTATATCAATGGTTGATAGTGGCTTTTCCCGATGACACAAAACATGTAAAACAAAAATGTGAGGAAGACCTGGGAGACGCTATTGATGATGATGAATGGATACAGATACAGTCAGGTCCATAGATATTTGGACATTGACCAAGTTATTATTATTTTAGCTGTCTACCACAGCATATTGGAGTTGAAATTAAAACATGAATATGAGCTGAGGGTATTTACAGTGGGGAGAACAAGTATTTGATACACTGCCGATTTTGCAGGTTTTCCTACTTACAAAGCATGTAGAGGTCTGTCATTTTTATCATAGGTACACTTCAACTGTGAGAGACGGAATCTAAAACAAAAATCCAGAAAATCACATTGTATGATTTTTAAGTAATTCATTTGCATTTTATTGCATGACATAAGTATTTGATCACCTACCAACCAGTAAGAATTCCG